CACCCCTTAACCTCCTCTTCTCCAGGCTAAAAGGAGTAAAGGATCCAAGAAAGATAGAGAAAGCCATCCGGTTAAAAGTGACAGAAACTTTTCCTGTTAAGAGGGCTGATGAGCCATTGCATTCAAAACAATATCAGTAGAATGGAATACTGGATAAAAGTGGAACTAAATGGATTTTAAGTTTTTAATGTCATCCAAAATTTCAAAATTCGATGGCAAAATTCGACGGTTTTGCTGTTACAGTGGTACCTCGGGTTATATACGCTTCAGGTTACATACTCTTCAGGTTACAGACTCCGCTAACCCAGAAATATTACCTCAGGTTAAGAACTTTGCTTCAGAATGAAGCATTAGCTAAAGCGGTGCTTCAGGTTAAGAACAGTTTCAGGTTAAGAACGGACCTCCGGAACGAATTAAGTACGTAACCAGAGGTACCATTGTATTTGTAAAAGCTTTTCACCTATTCGAGGGATACATTTGCTGAGTGATTAAAGGAATTAATGACTTAACACATCTACTTAATGGTGTTGTGGACCTTTTGTCATGCTGCAAATACTGGCGAAGACATCGTGTTAGATACTCAGATGTCATTGGCTGCTACTGCAGCAAAGGCAATGTGGGTGGCACTGTGGTCTGAGCCTCTTGGGCTTGCCGATCAGAAGGCTGGCGGTTCAAATCCCCGCGACGGATTGAGCTCCTGTTGCTCTGTTTCAGCTCCTGCCGACCTAGCAGTTCAAAAGCACGCCAGTGCAAGTAGATAAATAGGTACCACTGCAGCGGGAAGGTAAACAGCGTTTCCGTGCGCTCTGGTTTCTGTCACGGTGTCCCGTTGTGGCAGAAGCGGTTTAGTCATGCTGGACCCATGACCCAGAAAGCTGTCTGTGGACAAATGCCGGCTCCCTCAGCCTGAATAGCAAGATGAGTGCTGCACCCCATAGTCTCCTGTGACTGGACTTAACCGTCCAGAGGTCCTTTACCTTTTTTTTAACTGCAGCAAAACCTCCGGAAGTCAAATGGCGATGCTGACTGTCAAATATTTACACACCCAGAGAATATTTGTTATCAGAATTCGCAGGAGAGAATTTTGCCAAGCTAATCTATTTTTGGCTGTAGCGTACACATACCCCAGTGAGCATCACAACAGATTGTTATGGGAAGAGTGATGATTGACCTCACAGCTTGAGAGGAGGCAGATAAAACTCCTACCTCCTTCAGGCACAGTTAGGACACACAGAGACACAGAGTCAAGCTTAGGGGAAGTTCCCTCCTTTTAACAGCCTTGTGCATCTCTTTTTTTTTTTTTTCCCCTTTCTTTATTTCTGTTCGTTGTTGGCTTAGGGGGTGGGACACAGTACGGACGCACATCTTACACACAACACAAGCCACTGGGTAAAGACTCCGACTCGGCTGAAGCGAGAGGCAAGAGACCCCGTCCTCAGCAAGGCAGCAAAACTAGACATTGATCAGAAAAAAACAGGCCTCTGTCTAGCTTACAGGGAGAAGAGCAAGGCAGGAAGGCCTGTCCCTCCAGCACAGGGGGAAGTAAACAAAGGCCTGCTTGCACAAAAGATCCAGCTAACCGAGAATTGCCTTGGCAAAAAAAAGTGCTTCTCATTGTAAGGAAGGATGATGTTTGGATATGGTCAACCTGCCCCCTATCAGAACAATCCTGGTATTTAATAAATAAAAACAATTGTCCGTTCATGATGGTTTGTGCTCATAATGGTATTGCGGCCATTAGATGCCATGCCACACTGCCATCAGTTCTGTTTGTGTCTGCAAAAGTTTCGGGGTAGGCATATTGTTTTGTCTCAGATTGGCACATGTCCTTTAGCTCACTGCAGAAATCAAGTTCTTCCTCTGGTAAGTACTGAATCTCAGCATGTGCGGGAAACCGTCAGAAGAAAGACTCTCCACCTAAGAACAGCTGGATAAAAGTTCTAATGAGGCTTAATTTTTAAAATTAACACAAGAATTAGGGCTGAGGGATGTAACAGCGTGGAAACACAGGATTCCAGCAGCTAGGAACAGCTTTCATTCTCTAGTTACAGATGGAACAGTCTTGTGGGTATTTGCTAATCGACACAGCAAGCCTTTACAGACCCCCACAGGAACAAACTAGGGCTGACAATTGCAGAAAAACCCTAGTGGTTGTTTTCAGACGTTGCATCCTGGAACATTCCCACAGGGACAAAATTGAATATTATAAGAGGGATTCAGTGCTGCTAGCAGGTGCAGTGGACGCTAGGGTTGCAGATGTGCAGGATGCACATTTGCAACCCACAGCGTTCACAACCCACAGCTGCACGTCTGCGCACACGCAGATTGCAATTTGGTGCTTCTGCGCATGCGCAAAGCACTATTTAGCACTTCTGCACATGCGCGGCCACCGAAAGCCGGAAGTAACCCGATCCGGTACTTCCGTGTTTCAGCAGTCCATAACCCGAAAAACCGCAACCTGAAGTGTCTTTAACCCAAGGTATGACTGTATAGGCAAACTCTGGCCCTCCAGATGTTTGGGACTTCAACTCCCATCATCCCTAGATAACAGGACCAGTGCTCAGGGATGATGGGAATTGTAGTCCCAAACATCTGGAGGGCCGGAGTTTGCCTATGCCTATGCTAAGGCAATTGTTCCATATCCTCCAACATTTCTCTAATGAAAATAAGGACATCCTATTCCATAATAAGGGGACGCGGGTGGCGCTGTGGGTAAAACCTCAGCGCCTAGGATTTGCCGATCGCATGGTCGGCGGTTCGAATCCCTGCGGCGGGGTGCGCTCCCGTCGTTCGATCCCAGCGCCTGCCAACCTAGCAGTTCGAAAGCACCCCCAGGTGCAAGTAGATAAATAGGGACCGCTTACCAGCGGGAAGGTAAACGGCGTTCCGTGTGCTGCACTGGCTCGCCAGATGCAGCTTGTCACGCTGGCCATGTGACCCGGAAGTGTCTGCGGACAGCGCTGGCCCCCAGCCTATAGAGTGAGATGAGCGCACAACCCTAGAGTCTGGCAAGACTGGCCCGTATGGGCAGGGGTACCTTTACCTTTATCTTTATTCCATAATAATTTTTTTTTTTTACTATTTATACTCCACCCATGTGACTGGCTTACGCCAGCCACTCTGGGCAACATATATAAAAACCATAATAAACATTAAACATTTTTTAAAAACCTTCCTTATACAGGGCTGCCTTCATATGTCTTCTAATGATTGTATAGTTACTTATCTCTGATGCCGAACTTGAATTCTAAGGTCTCAAATATAAATTAAATGTTCATAAATGTACAAGGCAAACACATACATAACTATATAAACCACGTGTCTAAAATTGTATAGGAGAGCAATCCTGAAGCCATTTTGACTCTCCCAAATTGACCTCAAATATTCTTCTGCAGTAAGGGAGGGAAATGGGGAAACATTCCCATTGCCTTTTTGCTTGCAAATCCTGCCTTAAGGGCATATTTGTGTATGAATAGGGTGAGCCTGTGACCTGGATTCAGGAATTAAAGTATTTACTATCACAAAAGAATGGCCAGGCTGCCCAGGTAAAGCAATCAGTGACCATTAACAGATATCCTGGCAGACAGGATTTCTGCTGTAGTCCGCCTCCTTCTGGTGATGTATGTAGGATGGGCGGGTGGTCTTTGGGCTACAGGATGGCAATTTGAGAAAGTATAAGGGCTTGTGCACCATTGTTCAGAGTTCTCCTTCCTCCTGTGTGTGGGGAGTGGGTACCCTATGGCAACACTATTTTTCTATTGCAATAAAGATCAGCCTTCCTGGCCGCTTTGCTTCTCAATAAACTCTGGTTGGCCTCTCTTATTTTCTCCTACCAATAGGTAACCCACTTAAGGACTCTATATGGGCTCTTGAATACCCCATAAGGGGAAAGGAGCAAATTTTTCTTATAACATCTCCTTGGCTCAGGGGGTCACATAACTCCATACCTGCCAACATTTCTCCGATGAAAATAGAGACGTCCTACTATACCCTTAGGGACACAGGTGGCGCTATGGGTTAAACCACAGAGCCTAGGACTTGCAGATGAGAAGGTCGGAGGTTTGAATCCCCACAACAGGGTGAGCTCCTGTTGCTCGGTCCCTGCTCCTGCCAACCTAGCAGTTCGAAAGCACGTCAAAGTGTAAGTAGATAAATAGGTACCGCTACGTCAGGAGGGTAAATGGCTTTTCCGTGCACTGCTCTGGTTCACATGGCTTAGTCATGCTGGCCACATGACCCGGAAGCTGTACGCTGGCTCCCTCAACCAATAAAGCAAGATGAGCTCCACAACCCCAGAGTCGGCCACGACTGGACCTAATGGTCAGGGGTCCCTTTACCCTTTACCTTTACTATATTGTTGTTGTTTAGTCGTTTAGTCATGTCCAACTCTTCATGACCCCATGGGCCACAGCACGCCAGGCACGCCTGTCTTCCACTGCCTCCCGCAGTTTGGTCAAACTCATGTTAGTAGCTTCGAGAACACTGTCCAACCATCTCGTCCTCTGTCGTCTCCTTCTCCTTGTGCCCTCAATCTTTCCCAACATCAGGGTCTTTTCTAGGGAGTCTTCTCTTCTCATGAGGTGGCCAAAGTACTGGAGCCTCAGATTCAGGATCTGTCCTTCCAGTGAGCACTCAGGGCTGATTTCCTTCAGAATGGAGAGGTCTGATCTTCTTGCAGTCCATGGGACTCTCAAGAGTCTCCTCCAGCACCAGAATTCAAAAGCATCAATTCTTTGGCGATCAGCCTTCTTTATTGTCCAGCTCTCACTTCCATACATCACTACTGGGAAAACCATTGCTTTAACTATACGGACCTTTACCCTTACTATACCCTTCTGCAAATCTGGGACTGTCCCTGGGAAATAACGACACTTGGAGAGGGTCTGGGCCTGCACCTCTTCGTTGACAAGAGGCCTGGCTGTCTCTCTCAGAACAGCTGCACCGTGAGGGAACGTCTCCCCCGTGCTCCCTGGCTCAGCGTAGTGTCCTTTGCATTGCAGCTCCCTGTTGATGGACCAGAGAACCCTGAAGCTCCGTCTGGCCAGAGCATGGGTGGTCGTGCTCTGCCTGCAGGGCCTCTGTAGCTTGGTGCTGGCCAATCCTCCCGACTTGCTGTTGGATGGAGCTGCGTGGGCCCTGCCTGAAGATGCCACCCAAGAGCAGGGCTACTACCTGCAGCAGCTCTTTGGGCAGTATGGCGAGAATGGCACCTTGTCCTTCGAAGGCCTCACTCGCCTGCTGCTGAGCCTGGGGCTCGGAAAGGTGCAGGTGGTGGAGATTGAACATGAGGAGCTAGGCCACGGCCATGTGTCCCACCTGGACATTCTGGAAGTCCAAGACAACAAGCACTTGCATTCGCACTCGGCGCTGGAGCACCTCGGCAAGACCCAAGCAGAAAGCGCCACCCCCACCAGGTAATCTATAAATAATAAATGTAATAATACATTTTATTTATATCCCGCCCTCCCCAGCCGAAGCCGGGCTCAGGGCGGCTAACAACAATAAAATAGTACAACATTCTAAAATCATTTCATTTTAAAAGTAATTCAAATCAAATTGATGGCAACCATTGGGCCAAAGTTCTGTGAAGATTGCCAAAGGAGAGAGTCAGGCTGTGCCCTGGCCAAAGGCCTGGTGGAACAGCTCTTTCTTGCAGGTCCTGCGGAAAGATGTCAAGTCCCGCAGGGCCCTAGTCTCTTGTGGCAGAGTGTTCCACCAGATTGGAGCCACAGCCGAAAAAGCCCTGGCTCTGGTTGAGGCCAGCCTAACCTCCCTGTGGCCTGGGATCTCCAATATGTTTTTATTTTAAGACTGTAAGGTCCTCCGTGGGACATACCAGGACAGGCGGTCTCGTAGGTACGAGGGTCCTAGGCCGTATAGGGCTTTAGAGGTTAAAACCAGCACCTTAAACCTGATCCTGTACCCCACCGGGAGCCAGTGCAGCTGGTATAGCACCAGGTGAATGTGATCTCGCAGCGAAGACCCCGTAAGGAGTCTTGCCGCGGTATTCTGCACCCGCTGGAGTTTCTGGGTCAGTCTCAAGGGCAGCCCCACGTAGAGCGAGTTACAATAATCCAGTCTGGAGGTGACCGTCGCGTGGATCACAGTGGCTAGGTCAGGGCGAGAGAGGTAAGGAGCCAACTGCTTAGCTTGGCGGAGATGAAAAAATGCCGCCTTTGTTATAGCTGCAATCTGCGCCTCCATGGAAAGGGAGGTGTTGAAGATTACACCCAAACTCTTAATGGACGGTACTGGCACTAATTGCACCCCCGCAAGAGATGGGAGTTGCCCCCCCAATCCCATATCGTCCCGTCCCAGCCAAAGGACCTCTGTCTTTGAAGGATTTAACTTCAACCGGCTACCACGTAACCATCCAGCCACAGCTTCCAAACACCTGATCAGTGTGTCTGGGGCCGAGTCAGGATGGCCATCCATCAACAGATAGAGTTGGTTGTCATCAGCATACTGATGGCAGCCCAGCCCAAAACTCCGGACAAGCTGGGCGAGGGGGCGCATAAAGATGTTGAAAAGCATAGGGGAGAGTATCGCACCCTGAGGTACTCCACACACCAAGGAGTAGCGCGATGACAATTCCCCCCCAAGCGCCACCCTCTGTCCCCGACCAGAGAGAAACGAAATCTGCTTTGACCTTGGAAATATTTGGCTTTCTAGCAGGGAACCTGCGTTCCTCCTGAGGTCACTAGACTAGGACTCCCGAACACCACAGGTTCCCCCACACCCACCTCGCGGAAAAGCTTATTTCTTAATTACTGAGCATAGCACTCTCTGTTAAGTACAGTTGCCCAGCAAAAGTCAGTGGTTACGTGCTTCCGTCGCAACTGCAGAGGAGATTCAAGGTAAGATCTTTATGGGCAGTAAACATCTTGCAATACATGTCTTGCTTATCTCATTTGTTTGCAACAAAGCTAAAATCTTGCCGGAAGATCTGATCCCATTGTTTTTCACTTGGCAACGGCAGCGCGCATGCTGTTCAAACAGATTTCACAGGCTTGTTTTGCCAGGATGCTGTGATCTTGCTGGCTGGCTTAGCTATTGCAAAATATTAATTCGGCTCAATTGGCCATGCTTAATGAAATCTCAAAATATTTTAGCATTGTCAGTAAAAATAGTCAGAATTGTTCATTAAATCTGAAGGAGGTAGATAACGTTCGAAAGAGGAAAGGTGGTAGATTAGACCGTAAAACTGGTTAACAAGGCATCCCTCCTAAATTGTAGCACTTTAAAGTCAGTGGAATTTAGTTGATCTAATTGAATCGCAGTTGTAACCTAAAGCATAAATGTTATTCTTCTCTGATGATGATTTCTGCATTTTCTGCAGGCCTGGAATCCCTCAGTCGGGCCATGCCACTCAAACACCTGTTCATCCTGAACTCCGTGACGTCAGACCTGTCACCAAGCCTACCTTTTGGCAAACTCCAGAGCAGCCTGGGGGTGCCAAAGAAGACCTTTCCAAACCTTCCCAGGGCCACTCTGGCCTAAATCTTCTAGAGAGAGTTATTGCTTTGGATCACTCTGTCTACAATCACCTGCATGAAGATGTAAGTGTCGGGTGACCTGGGGTTTCATTGCCCTGAATTCCCTTACTGCAGGGAGCACATTGGATATACAGTGGTACCTCAGGTTGCAAACACCTTGGGTTAAAAACACTTCAGGTTACAGACTCCGCTAACCCGGAAGTAGTACCTCGGGTTAAGAACTTTACCTCAGGGTAAGAATGGAAATTGCGCGCCGGTTGCAGCGGGAGGCCCCTTTAGCTAAAGTGGTACCTCAGGTTAAGAATGGTTTCGGGTTAAGAACGGACCTCCGGAACGAATTAAGTTCGTAAACGGAGGTACCACTGTATTGGAGGACAGGAAGAGGAGTGGTTGATTTCTGTGCCAAAAGGAGGTGCCCAGAGACCCTGCCCTCTTTAATCCTAAAGTTGTAGGTAGGAAATAGTTGTGGCCTGTGGTCCTGAACGACTTCACAAAATAGCTCTGTTACTATTAACTCTCATCCCTAAGTTTAGTGGAAGGTGGGGAGAGGACTAGTTAATTGACAGCATTCTGGCTTTCTTGTATACCCAACTCAGGTTTAGTGTGCCATTGCCAGTCCTTGCTCAAACCAGCCTTCTTCAGCCTTGTGATGATGGCAGTAGATATGAGTAACACGGTGGGGAAAGCATCTGCTGAAGCAATCACGTGACCATGCAGTCATCTAGGGCATTTTGTTTATTCATTTTCCTTAAGCTGTTTATATCCCACTCTTAATCCAGAGATCCCAGGGCAGGTAACGACATGCAATAATGTTCTGCGGAACAGAATGTAAAACAATACATAAAACCGTGTTTGTTCTCGGGTGAGCAAATTCACTCCAGGACCAAACACTTTGCACGAGGAGTCACGTTTTAAGCTGGTGTCTAAAAGAAGCACCCTGTCCCACCCGAGGGATGGTGAGGAACAAAGGCCATAGCTGTCAACCGTCCCTTATTTGGTGGGAAAGTCCCTTATCCCAGCGCTGTGTTCCACTGCTGTCCCTTATTAATGATGTCTCTTAAATTTCCCGGGTTTCAAAGGAAGCAGCTCCTCTCCCTCCCTCCCTGCCAGCCAGGGAGGAGGGAGTCTCCAACTGTGTTGCTTGGCTGCATTGCTCACCCAATAAGGAGTCTAAGAACGACTGGGGGGTGGAGCTTGCATGCCTTGTGCCGATCAAATCAGCCATGTTGTCTGGGGATTCGCCTTTGCTCAGCGCTTCCCAGCGGAGAGGTGACGGTGGTTTTCCTTGCTGCATCCCCTTTGCTGGGTTGCTGCGCTGTGGGAACCACCGCTTGAGGCTTCGTTTGGCCGCTGGCTGGGCTTTCTGCCTTTGGCTCGGAGGGGCTCAGAAGCTGAACATACCTGTGCTTGGAAAATCCCTTATTTTGTCTGCTGATCCCTTATTTTTGAGGCTGCCGGTCCCTTATTTTCAAATCTGTAAGTTGACAGCTATGAACAAAGGCACAATCATTGGTGACTTGTGGCAACGGTTTGATTGCAACAAACAAGATGGATAGCACCAAGGGGGAAGTGTGGGTTTGGTATAAATCAGCAGCAAGGATGGCAGAAGGGAGAGATTAAACGTGAACCTAGATCTGTACTAGGCCATTATCCCCCTCACACATAGCACATTTCCTGGAAGCAGTTGTAGAAATAATTATACATTTGTAATTATAAATGTCTGAATGTGATACCGTACCTCTGCGTTTTTAGGCATGTTGTGCGATACAGGTGAGTATTTGTTCTTGTTTTGCATTTTTAACCCAGATCTCCTGTCGTCTATTGCCCCCTTCCCCCAATTCTTCATGCTGTCACTTTTCAACTCATTCCCCTTCCAAAACTGGTGACATCCCAACCCCAGCCGAGATTTCTGAGTTCCGCTTGATCTAGTGCTGCAAATGAAAACTTTAATCAAATTAATGACCGAGAACCATGCTGGCAGTCAATTAAACATTGGTTGGGGGTCCAGTACTCCCGTCCCATACAATTAATCATTCTTGCAATAAAGTCGTTTTTCTTCTTCTTTGTCTTCAGTGTCTCAACGTATCACAGCTGCTAGTCAATTTTGGGCTGAACTCTGTCTCCAAGATCACGCCAGAGCAGTTCACACTGCTGTGTCCTGCTTTGCTCTACCAGATTGACAGCCGCGTTTGCATCCAGCACTACGATGAGGTAGCTTTCGGCATGGCAGGAAGTTCTCTCTGGAGTGGTAAGGAACACAAGCTGTCTTCCTCGTACCCTGACCCAGGAGGGGCCTTGACTCCCAGCTCCAGCCTTACCCTTCTGCATCAGCCCCAGTACTGGTTTTGCGCCCTTAATTTTCATTCATTATTCCCCTGCTGACTACAGTCCTTCGACCCTCACCCCTACCTGCCCTTCAGTTACCACCCCTCCCATTTTGTCTCCCATTGTCATTGGCTTTCCAAGGAGTTCACGGTTTTGCAAAATATATATAAAGGTAAAGGGACCCCTGACCATTAGATCCAGTCGTGACCAACTCTGCGGCTGCGGTGCTCATCTCGCTTTATTGGCCGAGGGAGCCTGCGTACAGCTTCCGGGTCATGTGGCCAGCATGACTAAGCCGCTTCTGGCGAACCAGAGCAGCGAATGGAAACGCCGTTTACCTTCCCGCCGGAACAGTCCCTATTTATCCACTTGCACTTTGACATGCTTTCGAACTGCTAGGTTGGCAGGAGCAGGGACCGAGTAACAGGAGCTCACCCCGTCGCGGGGATTCAAACCACCAACCTTCTGATTGGCAAGTCCTAGGCTCTGTGGATTAACCCACAGCGCCACCTTTGGAATATATATATATTCCAAAATACCCCTCCCCACAAAATGTGTGTACTATGCTGTCCTCTCAAGAACAGCTCAGAATCTTAATCAAGGGCCTTTCGGGATGACCTGTTACTGAGCGTTCATCCTGATAGGTTTGCAAAGATGACGTGTCAAAGCAAGTGCGATCCTGCACTTCCCAGTTGATTTCCCCATTACTTTCATTATCATAAAAAAACAACTCTGACCTTCTGAGGAAGCAGGTTTCATGTGCAAGACCTTCCAATCCACTGTCATTGTGTGACCTCAATTTGGCAGTATGTGATTGAATCCTACCTGATAATAGCAAGAATCTGGAAGCGACGTCAGACTAACTGGGTACACTGTGGATACTGAGTACAATTTCAAGTGTATTGGCTCTCAGGATGCTTCAAGTTAATGTTCGAGCTCCAGTTTGGGGGAGCCTCTTATTCAGTGTTTCTTAAACACTAGACAATTAGATTCTCACCTTCAAAGTAACTAGATTTTCTGCGTTTCCTATCCCCCACGCCCATTCCTGCAACCTGGAAGTAATCACCATGGCACCAAGATGTTTTTGGACTATCAGTCATCCCTGAATATTGGTCATGCTGGCTGGGGGCTGATGGGAGCTCTTGTCCATCAACATCTTAAAGAGACTAGGCTGGCTACCCTTCTATATACCGAATTTCTAGGCTCCAGACATTGCCAATAGTGTTCAGAGAACTGGGGCCCTTAATTGTTTTAGGCGGCAGATAATTAGTTGTCAGGTTCCAGGAGAAGTGGCATGAAAGTCCTTTGGAACATGTGGAGAGGTGGGGCAAATGAGGACATGACTTCGGCCCCCACTGTATGATCCAGCAGATTGTTGATTTTAGTTCTCTTGTTCCTAGTCCAGTCTCGCTCATCCTCTTTGTTCTCCACAGGTCTGGGCTGGGGATGTTTGGCTATCACCCTGACTAGCTTGCCATCTGCCCTGGCCATAGTTCTCGTTCCTCTCTTCAACCGCGAGCTCTTCCATTTCCTTCTCGCTTTCCTGGTGGCCTTGGCTGTGGGGACGTTGTGTGGGGACGCACTGCTGCATCTCTGGCCGCACGTATGTACCGACTGTTATGTATTCAGTGGTCTGTGTTTGCCTGAGCTTGAGTCTGGATTAAGGATTCTGAGCTCCTGTGTTCTGATTCGATACATGATGTCCAATCACAGAATATTTCAGGATTTGGGCCACTGCCATTGGCCCTTAAACTCTGTGTCGTGATTCGCAGCTTGCAAGTTTAGACAGCCAATCATGTTGCGAGTGGGAGTGGCCCAGGCTTTCAGAAATGTATATAAGCAGTTGCTTTGCCCATTTCCTGGTTATGTAGTTCAATAAAGGTTCTTGCTGTTATCACTGTGTCTTACCTTGTGGGAACCTGTGTACACTTCACCAACCCTCTCCCCCAAATCTTTGTGGTATGATTTCTCTTTGGGGTCTCCTGTGGAGGAAGACGAGGTGGGAGAGATATACCTCAACCTTCTCCATATCATGGTGAAACCTGGGGTGCTTGGACAATGCCAAAGGGGAGCATCTTGAGTTTCTGTTTCCCAATGCCGGTGAACTCCCACCTGGAAACCAATGTCCTCACTGTGGAAGGACGTGTGGATCCAGAATTGGCCTCCACTGGAAGACAATCTTACTCGGCTATGAGTGATTGCCAAAGAAGAAGAAGACTGTCATTCTCTTACACATATACGCTGCCAGTATTCGTGTAAGGATCCCTATACAACTGTCATGCCCTGTAATATTCCTTGGGCATCTGGTCCAGTATACCTGAAGGAGCGTCTCCACCCCCATCGTTTTGCCCGGACACTGAGGTCCAGCACAGAGGGCCTTCTGGCGGTTCCCTCGCTGCGAGAAGCCAAGCTACAGGGAACCAGGCAGAGGGCCTTCTCGGTAGTGGCACCCGCCCTGTGGAACGCCCTCCCACCAGGTGTCAAAGAGAAAAGTAACTACCAAAGTTTTAGAAGACATCTGAAGGCAGCCCTGTTTAGGGAAGCTTTTAATATTTAATAGGTTATTGTATTTTAGTGTTTTATTGGAAGCCGCCCAGAGTGGCTGGGGAAACCTAGCCAGATGGGCGGGGTATGTATAAATATTGATGTGTGTATATATATATATATATATATATAAAATCTGGGAGGCCACCGTGAGAACAAGATGCGGAGATGGGCCTTTGGTTTGATCCAGCAAGGCTCTTCTTGCCTTCTTATTTCCAGCACTCCCTTGTTCTTCATCTCCCTGTCATTTCCCTGTCAGCCCAAACCCAGGAGACGAGGACAAATTGTCTGCAAACCGAATTTGTTAGTGGTTGGAGGGAGTGGTCCTTTTTCGGAAGGCCTTGAGGGTTTTCATACATTGCCTTTCAAACACTCTTGCACCATTTATGTGAGCATCTGGCCACTCTTACCATAAAAGAGAGGGATTTGTCAAGGCAGCTGAGAGCCCTTCTGACTAGGGTAGGTTTTTTTATAGTTGCTTTTAAGGTGCAGCTGAAGTAAGAACTGCTTTAGGCCCGATGAGCAGAGCAAAAGAATACCTTCTAACCTTTCTTAATGATTTATGCACAGTGGAGAATCCATTTTTTCCAGTGGGAAAGAAATACACTTTGTGGTCTGTAGAGTGTGATTGCTTATCTAGCTAATACGAAGCAGGGATGGGCAGTCTTTTTGGTTCTGAGGGTGGGTCACACTCACATGCACCCTTCTCCATCTCTTACAGAAAGAGAGACCCCACACAGAACAGAAATCCCATCACCCGTCCCATCTGTTTGGCAACTAGAAGAGCTCAGGAGCTTTGCAACAGAAGCTGCTTTTCTGAGATGTAAAGAGGTTGTCCCTGTGAACAAATAATGTGGTTGCCATTCTAGCCACACAGCCTAGCTAATTCTCTTAGACCTTGAACAGGTTCTTATATTGAGTTGTGAACTCCACACATTGGAGCAGGCCGTTAGCCCTGATCCCTCTGAATACCAGTTTTTGGGAGTCAGACATGGGGAGCGTGCTGTTGCACTCAGGTCCTGATCCATAGGCATCTGGTTGGCATCTGGTAGAGAGAAAAGGATGCTACACAAGGCAAATCTTTGATGTGATTCGCTGGATCTCTTAACCTTTTTTTTAAAATAATAATAATAATAATCGTATTTTTCCGTGTCTAAGACAATGTTCTTTGCTTAAAACTTTTAGTCCCAAAGTGGGGGACATCTCCCACAAAAAGCTTAACAACTTTTGGTGATCCGATCTCCCTACAAAAATATCAACACGCTTTGTTTTGAGGGGGCAGAGACCAAAGGGGAAGCTCAGTTGGTCTGTCGCTTGCCTGCCTGCTCTCTCACTTGCTTGGGGTGGTCTGGAAAGAGGAGCTGAGGTGAGGAGCCCACCGCCCATGGACAACATGGGCTAACCCTAACCCTAACCCTAACCCTCAAAGCACAGCAGCAGGAGATAACACGATGATTCTGGTTTGTTTCCAGGACGATGGAATCTGCCTCTTCTTCCTTAACTTCCTTAAAGAGTTTTCCAGCAGTACAGTGGTACCTCGGGTTACATACGCTGCAGGTTACATACGCTGCAGGTTACAGACTTCACTAACCCAAAATTGTACCTCAGGTTAAGAACTTTGCTTCAGGATGAGAACAGAAATTGTGCTCCAGCGGTGCGGCGGCAGCAGGAGGCCCCATTAGCTAAAGTGGTGCTTCAGGTTAAGAACAGTTTCAGGTTAAGTACGGACCTCTGGAACGAATTAAGTACTTAACCCGAGGTAGCACTGTACAAAACTGGACATCTTTTTGACCGAGAGACTGCTAGAGTGATTTCTTCATTCTTGGTTCAAAAAATAAAATAAGGGTCACCTTATACATGGAAAAATACAGTACTTGACTGTTTATTTTCTGAATTCTCCCTTTCTCCACTCAAAAGAATTGTTTTCATTCAGGCTCAGGCCAGGCCCCATGGACTTCTGTCACCAAAACAAGAACCAATGACCTCGGCGGAAGACGCAGTCCTGAAGGGCCTCTGCGTTCTGGGCGGTATTTACCTACTGTTCCTAATTGAGAATCTCATGGGAACGCTCAAGAGGATTCAAGTCAAAAAGGTAAAGGGATGGAGTGGCCTGCCAGTGGCCTGGGCAACCTGATGGGCTGGCCAGGAGATTTCAAGAAAGTGATCCCGCCCCTGCCAGTCGACTTAGTTCTCCCCATCATCTTCCTTAATGTCCCAGGCAAAAATCCTATTTCCATGTGGGTCTGTGAAAGGATCCCTGGATGCTGTTATAAGAAAAAAGGACTCCTTTCCCTTATGAGGTATCCAGGAGCCCATATAGAGTCTTTAAGTGGGTTCCCTATTGCTAGGAGAAAATAACAGAGGCCAAACGGAGAATATTGAGAAGCAAATTGGCTAGTAACCCTGCCACAAGGTCCTCACTCACCAAAGGCAGGAGGGGAGGAGGAACCCAGAACAATCGTGCGCGCGCCCTTATATAAACTTTTGAAATTGCCCACCCTGTAGTCCAAGGTAAAGGTACCCCTGACTTTAAGGTCCAGTCGTGGATGACACTGGGGTTGCACGCTCATCTCGCTCTATAGGCCGAGGGAGCTGGCATTTGTCCGCAGACAGCTTCCGGGTCATGTGGCCAGCATGACTAAGCCGCTTCTGGCGAACCAGAGCAGCACACAGAAACGGCATTTACCTTCCCGCCAGAGCAGTACCTATTTATCTACTTGCACTTGGACATGCTTTCAAACTGCTAGGTTAGCAGGAGCAGGAACCAAGCAACAGGAGCTCACCCTAGGCTCAGTGGTTTAACCCACAGTGCCACCCACGTCCCCCTATAGCCCAAGACCACCCCCCATCCTACATACATCACAGAAGGAGGCAGTCTACAGCAGAAATCCTGTCTGCCAGGATATCTGTTAATGGTCACTGATTGCTTTACCTGGGCAGCCTGGCTATTCTTTTGTGATGAATCCAGGTCACTGGCTCACCCTATTCATACACAAATATGCCCTTAATATAGGATTTGGAAGCGAAAAGACAATGGGTAGGCTTTCCCCATTTGCCTCCCTTACTGCAGAGAAATATTTGAGGTCAATTTGGGAGAGTCAAAATGGCTTCAGGATTGCTCTCCTGTACAATTTTAGACACGTGGTTTATATAGTTATGTATGTGTTTGCCTTGTACTTTTATGAATGTTTATTTTATATTTGGGACCTTAGAATAATTATAACAATGCCATGCAGCCTAAGCTATGTCCAACCAGTCAGAAGCTTCTCCCATGACCGAACCAAAAAAAGAGGAGGAAGAAACAGCTAATAATGTGTGTTTTACGTGTGTGGTTTACGGGAAGGTCCGTGTTTTGGACTGAACCACCCATGCTGAGCCTGTGAGCCTCACTTCTGCTCTTTGGATGAGTAGCAAGCAACCTATAATTAACAAGGTCACCATTTGGCTTGTTGGTGCCAGGTGTGCTAAATCTCTGTGGCAGTGGTTGTTTTAAAACAACAAGCACACACATGTTTACTGGAGAAACCCCTTAGGAACTTCTGCTCCATATAATGTCATGTTTTGTGACCACCACTAGAGGGAGATACCACTGCTATACTGTACCACCCAACACCTCTAGGGGGAGACAAAGTATTGCAGCATCACTAGGCTGGGCTTCTCATGACAACCTCAGCTTAGTGTTGCTTAGTCATCAGTTTTGCTTTCTTTCTGTAGAAGGGCGCCACCGGAAAGCCGCTTGAACCATCTCCAGCTGCGGTGGGTGACAACGGCATTGCTGGTTTGAGGACATCTCATGGTGAGTCACACCATCTGGATAGCTTTAGGTTTTTATTAGTATCATGGCTTTCTTCTGTGCTCTTAATTGTGAAAAGTTTTGTTGTCCCCCTACAGAAGGATTCATGTGTCATGGCTGCAATCCATGCACACTTTGTGGAATTAAAACACAGCTAGGCATTAGGTTGGAAGGAACTTGTTTTCTCTAATGCCTTTCCTTCAACCAAGATCTGCCCATCTGTTGGGCAGGTGGGGCAGTTGTCCCAGTGACCGTTGTCCAATGTCACTGCTGTTACTATTTTCCCCAGCAATATGCTATACTTTAGTCCTTAACGCAGCCCAGGTGGTATAATGAACATGTTGCCTAAATGACCTTGGCCCAGTATACCTGAAGGAGCGTCTCCACACCCATTGTTCAGCCCGGACACTGAGGTCCAGCTCTGAGGGCCTTCTGGCGCTTCCCTCACTGCGAGAAGTGAGGTTACAGGGAACCAGGCAGAGGGCCTTCTTGGTAGTGGTGCCCGCCCTGTGGAACGCCTTCCCATCAGATGTCAAAGCGATAAACAACTACCTGACTTTTAGAAGACATCTGAAGGCAGCCCTGGGGGAGTTTTAAATGTTTGATGTTTTATCATGTTTTTAATATTCTGTTGGGAGCCGCCCAGAGTGGCTGGGGGAACCCAGCCAGATGGGAAGGAAGGAAGGAAGGAAGGAAGGAAGGAAGGAAGGAAGGAAGGAAGGAAGGAAGGAAGGAAGGGAGGGAAGGAAGGAAAAGGAAGGAAGGAAGGAAGGAAGGAAGGAAGGAAGGAAGGAAGGAAGGAAGGAAGGAAGGAAGATTATTCACTGTAGAAGGCCTTTAAAATTCCTTTAAGCTTCATGTATTAAAAAACTCAGTGTACAGATGAGTTTTTTCCAAGTTTCTCTCTTAGCTAACCTGCCGCTTCATAGACTCGTTGCAAGGACAATATGGAACGCCTTTGCAACCTGTCTTTGGAACGGGTGGGAAAAGACATCTAGCTAAACACAGAGCAGAGCAGGTGATGGCAGAAAACATGTTTTCACAAGTCCATCCGGACGGACCAGAAATTATTTTGGAATGCATCCTACAGTTGCATGGGGGGGGGGCTGTAGCTACTTAGGGGAACAGCACCTGCTTCATATGGGGCCTTGTGGGTCTGCCGTGGGTCAAGCTGAACAGAAGTAGCTGACGAGGCCAAGGTCCGCTGTGCAATCAAGCTGTCTCTGTATTTAGCCCATGAAATATACTTGGAGTCGAGTGTGGATTTCATGCTCTTTATTCAGCTCATAGTAGTGAGGAATGGAAGTTCCCCCAAATGTCTGCTTTATATACATTATTTACACAATGGGCAACACGTGATTGGCTAATTCTGGGATTCTCCTGTAGGCCAATCAGGTTGCGGATTCACTTCCACCTGGAGCTGGATTGGGTGGCTCCTGCTGACCAATCAGACTGCTGCATTCTGGATCCTATTATTCTAGGACCAATCAGAATGCTGCATTCTGAACCCTATTGTTCTAGGACCAGTTAGACTGCTGCATTTTGGATCCTATTCAGCTCAGTACATAACAGCCCATTATCTGTGAGTTCCAAGAGTGCACCCACAGTACTGCTTGCTTAGTCACAAATGCCAGTGATCTGTGCCAGGGTTAGGGGTGGGCAAGTGGATCTGATATTTCCCTGCTTGGTTTGGGTGTCAGGTGCTGAATCCCAGAGCCTGACGGTGGCAGAAGGAGGAGCTGACAGCCTCTACGGGGAAGTCCAGGACTGCTCTGTCCAAATTCGCAGCTCAGAAGAGTGTGGAGGAAGTTCAGAGAGGCAGGAAGAAGAGCTCCATCAGCACCATGCTCACGGCCATTCCCACAGTCCAGCTGGAGCCCTCAAGGCTGGGATAGCCGACATCGCTTGGATGGTTATTCTAGGGGATGGGATACACAACTTCACAGATGGACTGGCCATTGGTGAGTGGCGTTGAGCCAGGGCTAGGTTCCTGCTTGTGCCAGAAGCAAATAATAATAATAATAATAATAATAATAATAATAATAATAATGGCAGGGCACAATCCTACAAAAGTTAGGCTGGAACCAGAAAAGTATTTATTAAAGAAAATTATTTATTAATTATTATTTATTTAATAATTAATTAATTATTAAAATTATTAAAGGTTGAGAGAAATTCCTTCCATTTATTTATTTGAGTTTATAAACCACTCAATAAAGACATCCCTAAGCAGCATACAGGGACGCGGGTGGCGCTGTGGGTTAAACCACAGAGCCTAGGACTTGCTGATCAGAAGCTCAGCGGTTCGAATCCCCGCGACAGGGTGAGCTCCCGTTGCTCAGTCTCTGCTCCTGCCCACCTAGCAGTTCAAAAGCACGTCAAAGTGCAAGTAGATAAATAGGTACCGCTCCGGTGGGAAGGTAAACGGCATTTCTGTGCACTGCTCTGGTTCGCCAGAAGCGGCTTAGTCATGCTGGCCACATGACCCGGAAGCTGTATGCCAGCTCCCTCGGCCAATAAAGCGAGATGAGCGCCGCAACCCCAGAGTCGGCCACGACTGGACCTAATGGTCAGGGGTCCCTTTACCCTTTACCTTTAAGCAGCATACAAAGAACAATTTAAAATAATCATCAATGTGCGAATAAAAACAACAAAATTGGTTTTCCTTATTTTCATTTACATGTCTAGATATGCTTGCTGCACCAAAGGAAGCTTTTAAAAGGATCTGAAATGGCACTATGAGAGTCGCGAGCTTCACATGTAATGGACTGTAGTCTTCCTCTTCTGCAGTGTCAAGTGTTGCCCTTGTACTACTCAGCAGGGAGGAGGGCGTAAAACTATAATGAGCTGGCTCTGTCCATCATTGGCTGTGTCTCCAACTACTATTGGCCCCTCAGCACCCCTCTCCCCGCCCCCAGTGGGTACTGGCTACCACCATTGGTTCTCTCCAGCCTTCAGTTCCAGAAAGGCTTGTGTTAGACCTCTGCCACAGAATCATGGAAGCTTCCCACTTAAATTCCAGATGGCTGGACGTAATCATAAATACCTTCTTTCTTCTTCTTTGGCGATTGCTCAAAGCCAAGTAAGACTGTCTTCCATGAACAGGGTTTTAACAGTGAGTCTGTAAGTGACTATGGAGGCCAATTCTGGATCCACACATCCTTCCACATAGGTTTCCGGGCGGGAGTTGATCACTGTGAGGGTTTGCGAAACATGACTTCCTCTTAGCGCATTTCTTCCTTTGTCCTGACTTTGAGCCTCTAGAAAGCCCATGACTCCTTCGGTAAAGGCTGTTCTCCAATTGGAGCACTCACAGGCCAGTGTTTCCCAGTTGCCAGTGTTTATACTACATTTTTTAATATTTGCCTTGAGACGGTCTTTAAACCTCTTTTGTTGACCACCAGCATTGCACTTTCCATTTTTAAGTTCGGAATGGAGTAGTTGCTTTGGAAGACGATAATCAGGTATCCGAACAACATGACCAGTCCAACGGTTGATGTTGAAGAATGATTGCTTCAACACTGGTGATCTTTGCTTCTTCCAATACACTGGCGTTAGTTCGCCTGTCTTCCCACTCGAGTGAAGACAAACTAGCCAATCCACCTTGAGCCAATCCACCTGGAGAGATGGGAGAGGAAATGCCTCTTTTAGGTTCACTTACCTTTGTAACCCTTTTCTCCTAGGAGCTGCTTTCTCTGATGGAATCTCCAGCGGTTTAAGCACTACGGTGGCAGTATTTTGCCACGAACTGCCCCATGAACTTGGTAAGGAAGATCCCCAGCTTTATTCTTCAGGCTTTCCTGACCTCTCTTACTTTTAAATCTGCTTTGCTTTACTATTTAATATTGTAAAGATTTGGGGCTCAGTTTGTGTGTGTGCATTTTAGAATGTCATTCACACACCTTGGGTGCAAATTTCCACTCTCCTGTCGTGGCTGCAGGCTTGGCCATTGGTGGATTTGATATAAACTCAGATCCAACAAACCTTTTCCTATGGTCCTGCGCTTCTGATGACGGAAGATGATGCTGATGATATCAGTTAATCCTATCATATCCTCCTGTCCGGTGTCCAAGGAAGACGCCACCCCTTTACTTGGATCTGCTCTGGTGTTGTGGTTGCTCCTGCCCTTCTGTTGAACCCATGCCATTCTGGGTTTGTGGGTCCCACCCATGTGACCTTACCTGATGCTGTGGTTACAGGCAGGGCCGGATTTAGCTTTGATGAGGCCCTAAGCTACTGAAGGTAATGGGGCCCTTTATATGCCCAGCTGTCCTTTGTCACAGCGGGTGGCGCTGTGGGTTAAACTACAGACTTGCCAATCAGAAGGTCGGCGGTTCAAATCCCCACGACGGGGTGAGCTCCCGCTGCTCGGTCCCAGCTCCTGCCAACCTAGCAGTTCAAAAGCACCTCAAAGTGCAAGTAGATAAATAGGTACCGCTCCGGCGGGAAAGTAAACGGCGTTTCCGTGCACTGCTCTGGTTTGCCAGAAGCGGCTAAGTCATGCTGGCCACATGACCCGGAAGCTGTATGTCAGCTCCCTCGGCCAATAAAGCGAGATGAGCGCCGCAACCCCAGAGTCAATTAAAATACAGCATATGCATGGCACATTAAAAGGTAAAGGTAAAGGTACCCCTGCCCGTACGGGCCAGTCTTGACAGACTCTGGGGTTGTGCGCCCATCTCACTCAAGAGGCCGGGGGCCAGCGCTGTCCGAAGACACTTCCGGGTCACGTGGCCAGCATGACAAAGCTGCATCTGGCGAGCCAGCGCAGCACACGGAACGCCGTTTACCTTCCCGCTAGTAAGCGGTCCCTATTTATCTACTTGCACCCGTGGGTGCTTTCGAACTGCTAGGTTGGCAGGCGCATGGCACATTACAATTACCCAAAGAGGCAGAAAAAGCTTCAAGTCGTCCACAATTTGCAAGTGGTCCATTGGGGTGGGGGGAAGGTGGATTTGGGGATCACTGGTTTTAGAGACATTGCTTGGCTTTGAGTTAGTTATGGTGCCTCTGTGAAGATGTGTCCATTGCACTCTTAACTCCTCTTTTCTTTGGCAGGGGATTGCGCTGTCCTGCTGCAGGCTGGCATGCCAGTCCGACAGGTGTTCCTCTTCAACCTGCTGTCTGCTTTCCTGGCTTACTTGGGCGCAGTAGTAGGGACGCTCATTAGTCGGAGCACCATGCAAGTCACGCCCTGGATTTTTGCCATCACGGCTGGTATTTTCCTGTACGTGGCACTGGTGGACATGGTAAGGACAGCCGCCTCTTTGCAAACTTCTTCTGTAAGCATGACATTAATCTTTTGGGGACCCAGGGTTTAGTTATTCCCTACCTGGGCCTCGGGACACGCGTGGCGCTGTGGGTTAAACCACAGAGCCTAGGGCTTGCCGATCAGGTCGGCGGTTTGAATCCCCGCGACGGGGTGAGCTCCCGTTGTTCGGTCCCTGCTCCTGCCAACCTAGCTGTTCAAAAGCACGTCAAAGTGCAAGTAGATAAATAGGTACCACTCCAGCAGGAAGGTAAACGGCGTTTCCGTGCACTGCTCTCGGTTCGCCAGAAGTGGCTTAGTCATGCTGGCCACATGACCCGGAAGCTGTACGCTGGCTCCCTCGGCCAATAAAGCGAGATGAGTGCCGCAACCCCAGAGTCGTCCACGACTGGACCTAATGGTCAGGGGTCCCTTTACCTTTATCCCTGACACAATACCTATCGGTGAACATTTTAGGCAACGTAGCTCTGATACCATTCGCATTGCAATCTGACTGAAGAAACAAACGGCTTTAAAGCACCACCGTGGGTGAAAATGACCCAAGGGCAAGAGCTTGGGTCTCCTTTCTCCTGATTTGCTCAAGGACCCTAGAAGCGGAAAGGTTGCAATGCGATTAAGAGTTGACCTCACAGTAGGCATCGCTGTTATTGTCTCCTCAAGGAGAACGGCCTTTCTGGCTTAACTGCAAGCTGCCGTAACAGCAGCTGCCAAGGACATCATGGCCTTTTGTTGTTTTTTCTCCCTCTCTCTCTAGCTGCCTGAAATGCTGCAGAGGAGCTCTAGCAGGGGCAAGAAGGGCTCCCTTGCCCACTTCCTTCTCCAGAACCTGGGCTTCCTCACTGGAGGAGTCCTCATGGTCTGCATCGCTCTCTTTGAAGGGCAGATCAGTTTCCATTTGGACGGGTAGCCCTCTTCAGCAGGAAACTCCAGAACACAAGATGGATCGAAGGCGATGCCCCCTCCGACTTCAAGCACGATTGCACCTTTCCTCTTAACTCTATAAGAGGGGCTACAGATTTGCTCCATCTTCCTGTCCGCAGGAGTTGGAGAAAGAACTCAGTGGGAGAGAACAGAAGGAACAGCTTATTGTCCCCATGTTTTGTGTGGCAGCAAAACAGGGTGCCAAAGTAAGGGCAAGAGTGCCTTTGTGGCTTGGATGAAAGGAAGAAAGTTGTGCTTAGTCGCTGCAATCAATGTGTTGAAAACTCCTTGTGCTTTCTAAAGAGCACTAGTTTGCTCGAGAGAGACTGGACCTATTGCCACCTCGGAATGCAATGTGAGAGAATTATTCAAAGGACTACAACTTACTTAGAGAGCCGCTGATATGCAATTTTTCATGTTTTGGAGCTGAGTTTCCCCAGCAAGTTATTTCCTGTAATCCAAGGATAGAGAACCAGCAGCTGTTGCTGGACTACAACTCCCATCATTCCTGTCAGCCTTGCTGGCTGGGTCCAATGGCAGTTGGTCCAATCCCTGATGTAAGCTATCAGTGTCCTGAGCATTCATTAATATTTAAGTTGGCATTAAAAAAGGCAACTGGTTACCAAAAGCTTCTACACCAAAATTTCAGGTTTGATGGAACAGTGCTCTCTCTCTCTCTCTCTCTCTCTCTCTGTGTGTGTGTGTGTGTGTGTTAATGCAAGGAAGCCTGGACCTCTTTAGTTATGGGATGGGTGTGTTTGTGTGAGCAGCACATGACAAAGTTCTTAAGGACAAAACTCATCCTTATAATAGGAGATTCAGAGGCCTGCTGCTTTAAATTCCCCAGGTGATAACCCCACCTGGTTTGCCTGCAAGGGCAATTGCTTGAAGTGCAAACGAGCCAAGTTGTTGTATCCTTTGCACAACTCCTCATGTACCCCCTACCTAGAAGGAAGCCTAAAAACCCCTCTAAATAACAGAACACCTTCATTAGTTGTCCTCTACAGAATTACAGAATGGGACGCGGGTGGCGCTGTGGGTTAAACCAGAGCCTAGGACTTGCTGATCAGAAGGTCAGCGGTTTGAATCCCTGCGACGGGGTGAGCTCCCGTTGCTCGGTCCCTGCTCCTGCCAACATAGCAATTCGAAAGTGCAAGTAGATAAATAGGGACCGTTCCGGCGGGAAGGTAAACGGCATTTCCGTGCACTGCTCTGGTTCGCAAGAAGCGGCTTAGTCATGCTGGCCACATGACCCGGAAGCTGTACGCTGGCTCTCTCAGCCAATAAAGCGAGATGAGCGCCGCAACCCCCGAGTCGGCCACGACTGGACCTAATGGTCAGGGGTCCCTTTACAGAATTACAGGACTGGTAGGGAATCTCAGCACTGTGCCTCCTATCTCAGCAGCCACTGAGAATCAAGGCCATATATGCCGCCAACAGTGGCCTGCGCACTGGTCTCTAATTTCCATTCAACAGCAAACAGGTTCCCCACACACAACCTTGCACACCTGAACTGTTCCCCACCCTGGTATCTGCACAGAACAACTTAGGTGAGCAAGGAGAGAGCCTTCAAAGTCCACCTGTTGCTTTTCACACTGGGCGTGTAGGAAAGAAAAGGACGCTCACAATGCGTTAAGATGGAGTTGCACAATAAGGGCTATTTGCCCTGGGAAAAGAGGGAAAGCGGTCTCTCCCGTTTCCATGGAGGGTAAGTAGCTGAAATGGAGGATGGCTTTAAAGGCAGCTCAGAAAAGAGGAAAACGTTAGTGGGTCAGTTTCACACTTAACTTTAGGGGCATCCCAGTGTCTTTGTTCATCCAAGTTTGATATTGGTACATGACTTAAGCAGAATATCCAATACAATGGTACCTTGGGTTAAGTACTTAATTCGTTCTGGAGGTCTGTTCTTAACCTGAAACTGTTCTTAACCTGAAGCACTAGTTTAGCAAATGGGGCCTCCTGCTGCTGCTGCGCCGCCAGAGCACGATTTCTGTTCTCATCCTGAAGCAAAGTTCTTAAGCCGAGGTACTATTTCTGGGTTAGCGGAGTCTGTAACCTGAAGCGTATGTAACCCGAGGTACCACTACAGACGGCCCAAGAGATTGAAAACGAAACATTGACTCCCAACTATTATTAACGGTTCTCGTTTTGTTACGATTTACAACCTGCCCTTCACCAGGTTGAATTAAAACTAAATCGAAAGTAAATCATGGGGCGAGACCTGGCAAGGGATATAGCACTTTCCCCTTGTCCCCAAACGTGCTAAGCAAACTGCCTCCAATTCTGTTCCAGGGGAAAGTTCCATTGTGCAGCTTCTCTGGTTGGAGGCAGCATGCTTCCGAATACATTGCTGGAAAACTGACGGAAGAGGTCATGCTTGCATGTTTCCCATAGGCATCTAGCTGGCCACTGCAAAAACAGGATGCTGGACTAGATGGAGGCACAGGCCTGCTCCATCGGGGTTCTTCTCGTCTTCTTATGTCCTTCTGTTCATGCAGTGATCCAGATACCTCAGGCTCCCATCCTTAAAAAGGAGTTACTTGAAGTACAGGTGAAACTCAAAAAATTAGAATTGAGAGACCATTTAAAGGCTCAGGAACCAATTGCAGGTGTTATGGATTGAATAGCTACCGTACCTTTTCACAATAATCTAATTTTCTGAGATTGTTAATTTGGGTTTTCATCAGCTGTATGCCATAATCATCATAATTATAACAAATAAAGGCTTGACATATCTCGCTTTGCATGTCATGAGTCTATCTCATATATTAGTTTCACCTTTTAAGTTGAATTATTGAAATAAATGAACTTTTCCACAATATTCTAATTTTTCGAGTTTCACCTGTATCTTTCTGGACTTCAAGGGCCCAGTGTTTTATAAAACAGAAATGGGCAGTGGCAACACCTCCTTGGCCTAAGCAAACCAAGATCAAGAGTGCCTTCCCTGGCTGGAGGAGGTGTGTTTCGTGGGCAATAAAGACAGGTAAATGATTTGAAAGCAGCCACTTGAACCGCATTATAGAATTAGGATATAAAACGCAGGTGTGGTATCAAATTTCCACCCCTTTCCCCCAGTATTTCCATTATCCTTACCCACCCACCCCCAGCAAATATCTGGAGACAAGGTGGGGGGAAAAATGAAGGCAGAGGCAGATAGAAGCAACAGCATTTTAATAAACATAATTGATTCAAAGCCACAATATGAATAACAGGACCTGGTCGCAGCATACATTGTAGAAAATAGATCAAGTCTGAATGCTTTTGTTTTTTTAATTTATTTTAATTTACTTAATTCCTGGTTGACCCCCTCCCTCCCTTGCCCTAACCCCAAAAAGGTGATGCAGAAATTCTGAAAATGCATATTGTAACATCAGAGACAAAAAAAAGGTAACCAGTCGCTTGGGTTCACATCAGGGGCGCTTATACAAAGGTGGCTTTCACACTGCGCAAGGGGGGGGTGTGGACAAGGGGGGTGGGGTGGATGGCTTGCGGTAGCTCTCTCGTTTTCTTTATTGGTCTCCAATATATATTTATATAGAAGTTTGAATATAATTTATTTACTTCATGGAACAACCAGGCGGGAGAAAAGTGTCGGTGGCGGGTTTGACAAGTCTGCATTTCCTTCTAGGAACCGAACGTAGGTTTATCCTTTTTTTTTGACACACAGGCAAGTGCTTCATTTTGTCAAGAAACCCCCCCCCAACTGAGGAGTAACGGGGGGGCGGGCGGCGGCAGGTAACGAAACCACTGAGAAAGGTGGAAAGGTGAGCGGCCAAACAGAAGCGGCTGCAGCCTCTGGGCTAGATATAAGGTGGGGTGTAGAAAAAGATTCACACTTTGATTGCACATCGGAACACATGGGGGGGGGACGACCCTCTGCTGCATGGAGGCTGGAACTGGCCACTGGTTTTTGCGTGTGTGTGGTATTTGCCTTGGAAGCTCCCACAAGACACCCGCTGCGGGAGCATTTTGTTTTGAGTTTATCTCTTTGTGCTTTAAACCAGTTTGAAGGAAGATCGTGTACCTGCAAGCAGGAAGGTAGGCCTGTGAGCTGATCTGAACGTGTCTTTTCTACCCCCCCCCACCTCTTTTTAGTCTCTTCTAAACATTGGTCCAAGTTCTCCACTACTAACAAGACCACGGTGCAAAGTTAAGCCTCCCTGCCAAAAACTGTGGATCAAAAGGCCAATAGGTTGGGGGTGGGTGTTTGTTTTTTTGGGGTGTGTTTGGAGCGGGGGAGTGTTTTGTACGCAGCACTTCCATTTGCACTCCCCGCGGCCATTCTGCAAAAAGCAACGCTCCCCGTCCACCCTTTCAAGCTTGCCTAAATATAAACAAAGGCATATCTTTTTAATTTTTTAAAAAGAGTCCGCCTTAGCCAAATAACTCCCAATTAAGGCCCCTGCCTCCAAGGAGGTAAACATGGCTGCATGCTGGTTTTGATCAGCAGGGTTGTTAGGTTTAGTGCTCTGAAGGAGAAATCACAAGTACTCTTCTTCCCCACCCGACCCCAAACTTATTGAACAGGAAACAAAGGAGATCTTTTAAGTGTGAGGTGTTGATTTGTGACCTAGCTTCTTCTATCCCCCACCCAAATTTATGCTTGCTGAAGTTATCACAGGAGGAGGAAACAGACCCAATACAGAGCAAGGAATGTATTTTCCAGTGCAACTCTCTTGCCCTATATAGCTTTCTTTTTCCTTGCATGGACTCCCATGTCTGCCCTTAGTGTTTTAAGATGAAGAGCAAGGAAGGCTTTTACAGTGCCCAAGCCTGCTCCTTTTTTTGTTATTCTTCTTATTATTGCAAGAGGTAGGTAAGACCACCTGCTCTCCCCCTCGTCCCCTCTAAATTAATGTCTGAAAAGGTGACAGAATCTCACATCAAGACATGCCCCTTCCTAACCAAGGCATTCTAAATATGCTAGTTATTGCAGAGCTCCTCTGCGCTTGGTGGGGCAACCCTAAATATAAATACGCGTTTGGCCACTGGCCCGGCAAAATAAAATCAAAGAACTAAAGGCGAGTCTGGGCAGCTGTTTGAGGTGGTAGAGTCACAGCATGGCCAGCATGGCTCTAACACAAGAGAGAGGGAGGGAGAACAGAGCGTTCTACTTCCCGGGATTCTTTCGAGAGGCAGTGCAGACATTGTACTTGCCACAGGGATTGCTCCCTTCCAAGCGACATAGGGGTGGTGGCAAACTGACCACTGGGCTTGTGTGTGTGAGAGAGGGGGGCAGAATTGAAAAAACGAGTAACTGTAATATGCCTCTGGTCCTAGAACACTTGCAACTCATTTTACTGAACACACGCACACAGAGTAAAGTGCTCACACCTAGGGCAGACAACGTAAGGAGGAGAACTGGCAAGTTCCATGCCCCTTCCCCAAGTCCACTCTTTCACACAGGTTCTCCTAAATTGCTGGTCCCCTTGCATCTCAAAATCCCTACGGCTGTGGCCCAGAGTGGGGAGCACTTTAACGGGGGGGGGGGGGGCAGGGAAAGGAAGCAAGAGGGCAAACGTGGAATATCACAGCCCAATGTCAGTTGGGCCTTTGCTCAGCCTTTGCAAGCTTGGGACGCCAGGGTGTGTTCAGATGTCAGCTGAATACTCTAAAGGAAAAGGAAGCTGAAAGGAAGCCTGCAGAAGACTTCTGAAGTGGTACCTTTCTCCCCCCATGGCAAGCTCCCTGAAGAACAGGCACAGCAGCAAAAGCAACGCTCAAGTCTTTTAAATAAAGGGAAAAGGAACTGGCCCTGAATGCGGTTAAAGAAAAGGCTGTGGAGGGTGCTGATAGAGAATTAAAACCTCACCCCAAATACATAGATTAACCTAACAGAATGCTGAACTGAAATACATATTTTTCTCTGAACACCTTTAGGATTTGACAGGAACGACAAGCATTAGAAAATTCATCCCACTCCACAAAAGGCTTCCTCTGACAAGCAGCAGTTACAGGTCAAGCAGAAAGAATACTGTACTGCCTTCCCTCCACTGTAGGTGAAAATTATTCAGAATTTCCCTTCGGGATGTTAGGGGCCCTTGGATGCTGCAGCCCAAGGGTATAACAGTGTTCTATACCCCTAACCCTTTCCGCGGCTCAGATGCATGCCTTGCCACTGGGGAGAAAAGGTGGAGTAAGGACCAGAAGCACAATTAAGAGGCTCATGCAAACATACTCCATTTAAGTCACCCATTACTACGAAGACCACCACAACGTACTGGCTGTACCTACCTCACACAAATACAAACACACAATTAGAGCGCCCCTTGAGTGACACACGCCATCTGTGTGTCCAAGTGCAAAGTAATCTTTTTTGGGGGGTGGATGCAACTGTTAAGAGGGGGAACACAACTGGAAGAATGAACAAGGTCAAAGATGCAAAGAATAAGTGAATAACCAGGGCTTCCAAAAATGAAACCCTCACTGGGAGTGAAATTAGTGCTCATGTTGGTCTGACCTCCATCCTTCAAAATCCTTCCGTTTACAGCTAACCCCCCCCCCCACTAAACACATTCAAGAGTGCAAGCTATACAACAGGCTACAAACCCTCAACACAGTAACTGATTTCCCTCACCCAACCCTATCCCACCCCTTTATTGCTGCTCCCAAGGAAGAAATTTGTTTTGAAGCACAGGTAGTTTTTGAAGTGCCCGCAGGATCAGAGCCAACGAGTATTGCTATAAGACAAGCGCACACCCAGCAAAACAAAAGCATGGATGCTCTCTGAGCGTGCCTGTAATGAACAGAACGTAACAAAAGCAGCTCCTGCTGGTCTTCAAAAGAATCGCCGCCACACACTCCAGCTCAACCATTTGTGGCTTCAGTTGCAGACACAGCACGGCCAAGCAATTCAAAACACAACATGCAACAGGAACGCTAACGATAACACGCACCCCCCCAAAAATTAAAAGACCACAGCTCCACCTCAAGAAACCTAAGCAACAAATGCAGTTCGTCAGAGGAGTTTATGCAACCAAGGCAAATAGATATTGTTTACCTGTTAAGCTCTGTGTCAAGATTGTCAAAATGGAGCCCCAATCCCAGTTGCAAAGCAAGACTATCAAAGACAGAAATATGAAGGGCATCGGATCACATGTCCAAAGACAATTAAACTACAGCAGCGTCTCATTGGTGCAACATATTATTTCCATGCAACATATAGTGCAGAAACTCATTCATCCTGTTTTCCCGGATCACCCTGATTTTGACAGTTTTTGCGCCCCCCCCCCAAAAAAAGAGGTTTGGAAATTTTCTACTTCACATTTTGCAGATTTTAAAACCTGGGACAGTCTTTCCCCAGTCTGGAAGACAAGTGACGGTGTGAGCCAAGGCAACCCGGTTCTCTCCCAATAACTTGAGCTCCAAATGGTATCTTTTGCTGGGCTCTACTAACTTAAGGAACAGTGAAAAGTCGTATAAGCTGCTCCCCGATGACGGCTGCATCCCTGCATCAACAAACTCTCACCAGATCATCACAGCATACATTCCTTTCTTATGTGCATCAATGATGCGCCCGAGGCCTCAAAGGATTTAATGAATTCTTGCGGATGGTACCGGTGAGAAGGGATGTGTGTGCGGAGATGGCAAGAAGGCAACTTCGCTGCAAGTTAGCCAGCTGGGCTCTGACCCGGAGTTACTGCCAGGTTCTTACGTTAGTGACCCTGTTGTGGAAAACTTCTCTGTTTGTGCTTAATTACCATGGCCAGGGGAATTGTGCCAAAGATACGCAGGAAGGAGGACCATGTGCACTCTGAAAACGGAAATCTCTCCCTCACAACCAGCCTCGAGCAAGTAACCAAATACAGTGGGCAACAGCAGAACAGCAAAAGTCCACTGGGCCTCCCACGGCATCAAGGAAATACTTCAGAATGGAACATCATAGCCCAGAAGCAAACCATTACAATCTCAAATTCCTACCGGTCCTTCACAACAAGGCTGAACCAGTTAAGCTGGGAATTGCTTATGAAAGAAGCTGGCCCTTGATTCTCTTGTTACTCTCAATTAAAGAGCTCAGGAAACAGTGATCATTTCCTGTTCCCATCTGAAAAGCCACCGTTGGAATGGAAGGACCACAACACACGTATGTAGAGAAGCTCTGCCCTATCCATTATTTGCCCAGTGTTAGCTCCCACCCTCCAAGTGGAAACGAGGAGAGTTCATCCAATTACACTGTTGCTCTCAAGTTTTACACCTATATTTTAAGTCGCCTGCAAATATTGGAACTGCAAATGGATGCCGCTAAGACTGAGATACTAGTTTAGCAAAGTATTAATTAATTGCAAACAGATCTTTTTGTAATGGAGAAAGTTATGAAAGGAATTAAGATGTTTTGCAACCGAAAAAAATCCAGCGTGGTACCCCTTAGCTGAGTGAGAAGAGAGGAGGCTGTTAAATTAAGGACAAAGAAAGAACAGATCCACTAGTATCATCCTCCAGGAACAGAAGAGTTTTTGGTTTGAAAAAAGGAGGATAAAGACTAAACAAAGGAAAGGTCAGAAACTGGCACAAAGCTATATTTAGTGCAATTTTTAAAATTCTCAATCTGTACAACACACACTCATGACATCAAGTCACTGAGGGGAACAGGTGGAAGGGGAGGGATTAAACAATTAATGCACAACACATTAAACAGATGCACAGAACCTTGGCAAATGCAGAAGCAGAAAGACTTTCTGTGTAAAGTTCCTTTTTCATTTCCGAAATGTGGGAGATTGGGGTCTGCAAGGCAAGGTTTCGCAGGTACTAAAGGAAGGAAGTGGGCTGCCTTGGGATAAGAGCTCCCAGACACAAATAAACCAGCAGGAGGACACGAATGGGCAAGTACAAAGCAAACAGCATACCCTTTCTGGTGGCTGCGCAAAGACTGACTGAACCTTTGGTTTCCATCAAAACTGCAGAAAGGAAAATCTGTACCCTGCAGGCACTCTAGATTGCAATGTTATTTAATTCCACATGCAAAAACTGCTGCATCTATTAGCCGTAGTCCCCTAAGCATGACAAGGAGCTAAACATTTTTGTCGTGACGAAGGCAAGTCAGGCACTAGGACAGTGTCCAGAAACGGTGGAATCAAGCCTTACTATTCAACATCAATGAGATGGAAGAGAGGAGGAAGGTGCTTCAAACTAAATGCATTAAGAGGAAGGAACAGTTATACAAGTTGTGGGAACAGAGGAGATGGCTAGATTAGGACAGAAGAGGCCAGCTAATAATTTGTATTTCTTCACTACACCTGAGATGCAATATACTCAGGTTGTTATGTTGACTTAAATCATATGCATTCATAAGGCTTTACATCTAAGGGGAGCTCAGTTTAGGAAGCGAGCTTGCATACAAGATGCAGAACTCTGTGTGTGTTTGTGTCTTCGAGATAAACCCTAATCCCCCACCCCGTTAAATATTCCTTTAGGAGAGGGATGAAAAAAGGAAGAGATCGTCGATCAAGGGGAAGGAGAAAGGCCCAACTTCTTTAGGCCCAGTGCTAGAGAAAGAGACGCACCTGGTTTCAGGTGTGAGGCAGGATGGGTGAGGGAATGCTGGGTAATACGTGCCCAATTTCTGAGCATAAGGCCTTCCGATAAGAACGCACCTGCCCATTGATCCTTAGAAAAGGGCCCCTAGTGGATTGTGAGCTTTTCCACCGCAGGAAGATGGAAGAGCAATTGGTCTAATTTGTTTTATCACCTTGCAACGTGCTTCTTGAATGTAAACACAAGTTACGTGCTAGAGGTCTAAAGCTTCTGGAATGATTTATTTATTTAAAGTTATTAACATTTCGACACAATGTCCGTTTCTTATTTAAAACAACCTTCCGGACAACATCCCCAAACAGCTACAGAATCAGAAGCCGGAGGGGGTGTCAAAAGGGGAAACACCCAGAAGAAGGGGAAGGGGGAAAGAGAGAGAGAAAGCAACCATGGGACATGCCAGGAGAACACATTTGGCTGCGTTTCCCTCAAGTCACCTGCACAAGGGTCAACAAGCAGTAGGTATGTACAGCGCCTGGACCAACCGAAGCTCATCCAGTCCATAACAGGAACCTTTTGGCAGTTAACCATGTTCAAGACACAAATGCAAACACGAGCAGCCATTTTGGGTACGTACCTTCAAGCGGACCAATGAAAAATGCCTTTCAAAAATACTACACAGTAGACCGTTAGCACTCCGGATGCAATAATGCCCTATTTGCTTTTCGGTCTGCAAAGGTTTCCTCGCCTTTCCAGTTATCACCATGAGGGGTGGCGTTTTCTGGTTTCCTCCTTTTGGAAAGCTAGTTCTTTGATCATCTGTATGTCAGTGCAAAAAGGCCTTCCATTTCATACCCCCTAGCCTATCCGTAGCAGCCTTCTCAAAGGTGTGCCGTGACTGCAAGCAGTGTGTCTTCAGGACACAAGCGCATACAGGGACCTCCTCTCCTCCTGCCACCTGAGTTTGGGCACCGGGCTCCCTGCAAACATCGGAAAAGGCTGGCTTTCTCTCTCCTTTTGGTCACTTCGCAACGCTTCGCCTCTCCCCTTCCCACCCAGAGTGCACACTGTTCATTCTTTTGTATTCTCCCCCTCCCCTCCGCTTTTGCCTAAGACACCCACCAACTGGCCAGACAACACATTAGTGCAAAATACAGGAATTAAGGCAATGCCCAGAAAGTGAGAGCCTAGACTTCCTTCCCAACGCAAGTATCACAGGCTTGTTCTCTAGGCTGCAACATGGACTTTGGGGGGTGCTGCCTCCCTGCCCTGGTTGGACTATGACTATATCTACATCAAAGGAAGGACTATTGGAGGGGTTTCATTCATTTAACAGGAGCAGGTGTGTTTTGAAGGAATGGGCTCTGGCCGAATCCTAATATACCAAGTAGCCAGACTTGTGTTTCATTGCCCGCATGATCGCGCTGACTGATCCAATGTTGGTTTTACCACACTGCAGCCAGGACGGATCTGGGCCAAAAAAAAAAGTATTATTCCCCACGGAGTGGATGAACAAACACACTCAACACACATACAGATCTACAACCCGAAGCCAAGAGACGATGCAGGAGTCGCTTCCAGAGGTCAAGTCAATTCGTGCTTTCTCCTGAGGTAGTCTCTAACTCTGCTGATGGGAAATCTCCGTTTGGAGGTATGATCTGTAGCTCTGCTCTATACAAAATGCAGCAATCACCTATGCAAGTCAGACAACTTTAAAAAAACCCACACACAGACTGAGGCAGTACATCAAAATGCAACAGAAGTAGTAACCCGAATTAAAAGGCTATCTCCTGATGCTTTGCAAAATGTTTGGTCTTGGGGGCTTAATCTGCCCTTTGGGCAAAAGTCATCCTCTTTTTTCCAGTTTATTGCCATCACAAGCAGTGATGTTTGCTGGTCCTCCTAATTAAACACTAACTTATGAGCACAGATGTCAATGGCTTGTCTTTGCTACTTCCAGTGTAATTAGCATGAAAGGAAAGCCTTTAACTTTCACCCTCAAGCCCTTACAGAGCCCTAGAAAGGAGTGGTGAAGCGACAAGCGAGAGCACCTCCAATTCACAGAGAGACAGTCCGTGTCTATACGCTGCCTGTCTGGTTGATGTCTGAAGAGGATTTCAAAGTCTCACCACCTTCTGGAAATGCTGGTCTCATGAAAAAAGGAAAATACAACTCGAGGTTATTCATGCAGTGCTAAAAAGGTCTTTCTTCCAATCAAGTCAGGGGAGAAACCCCACAACTCCCAAAGGTTTTGAGAAGGCAAAGGCAGGCACAAGTTGGCATCATCAACCCGTGCCATCCTTTACAGAAAACAAGAAAGCTGGACTTTTAGAAAGAGCCACACGTGGCTGAAATTGCATACTAATTTTTTGTTTGTTTAGAAAAAAGTTTACTGCCACCCACCGTACACACAAGGCTCGGCTAGTTTCAAAGGCTTTCATGCAATTTTGCTTTATTATATTCAAGTTGTCAAACTAATAGGATTGGGGTTAAAAGTAAGGCTATTTCTCTCTCTCTCTCTTTTTAAAATCCTTCTGTCTTTGCACCGAAAGTGAATTTGAAAAGATGCTTGTCACACACAGATGCACACACGCAGACGCACAAACACACAAACTGGAACTCTGACACACAGAAGAGGAAGAGTAGTTTATACCTGACTGGTGATGAGGTCTGTCCTATCTTATTCAAAAGAAATGTTTATGTGCATAATATACATAGGTGCAGCATTTACACATAGGATACTGAAAAAAGACACCAAGAACTTGCTACAGATGCCTTGAAGAGTCCTTTAAAATTCATTTCCTGCCCTCCCCCCGGATTACTTTCTTCCTCTTGTAACACCAAGGACTCATTTTTGACCCAATATTCATGATTCAAATGTAATCATCACTCCAAGGTTCACAGGAATCCCTAATACCCATTAATGTCCTTCTGGCTTAAGCTGGGAAACATTTTTTTGTTTAAAGCACATCCCCACTGTCACTTTTTCTTCTTCCGGCTAACATGGACAGTTTCCAAGAAATTAAATTGAGCAGAAGCTACGTTTGATTCTTAAAATGCTGCATGCTCAATATTGAGCATCCAGAAAAATTCAAGTCAAGGGAAGATGCTTTAAATAACTGAACGATCCAATGTTTTCGCAACTGTGTTCCCAGCACAGATTCTCACCCACCTGTCCACCCCTTTTCTTTTCCTGGACTTGGAAGGGGGGGGGACCTCAAGGCAAAGGTGAGTTAGGCTTGTAGTCTGAACGGATTGTACAAGATAGTACATTTAAGCTGCAGTTTAAAATGCCAACCCATTCACATCAATGCATCTGGCCAAGGTGGCCCCCTGGCACACTGCAAGGGATTCTGGGGTTTGGGTCTACTCTCAGTTCACACTCTGCATCAGCTGGGCAAATCTGCTGTCCTGCACAAATGGGAGTTAGCCCTAAAAGTTGCTCAAGCCTTCCCTGTAGCCGAGTAATGTGGGAGAAGCTCGGTCGTGGGGAGCAAGCTGCCATCAGGCACTTTGCTGTTACAGACCTTCTCATAAGGTTCCCCCAGGCTCTGTGGAACACAGTTTGAAAACCACAAAGACTAAAACTGACTGCATGCAGGGATTTTGGATGCGAACTGAGAGATGATGTTCCGGGACGTATGTAACCAGCCCACTCAGAATTCATGTCTTACCTTAGAGCTGAATGTGCACTCTTGGGGTGGGGTGCCTATACTCCATGATTTCACTCACCTTTTCAGGGGCAAAGGAAGCTTACAAATGATTCAGAATTAAACTAAGGAAAGGTCTCCTAATCTCCAGCAATTTGGGGAACAAACAACCAAAAATAAGCAAAAGAGAACAGCATCATTTCATCAGGATTAGTTATTTCAAATTCAACGAAGTGCCCGTTTAGGAATAGAAGATCAATTTATCGTTTCCCAGTACTTGCCCTCTACAAGGACATTTACATTCAGTGTTTGTCAATAGTTATATGGCTCAGCTGGGCTCCATGCCGGTGGCCCTTTTATCTAACAATGGCAGTGCAAATACACTTGTCAAACTGAAATGTATTTGTGCTGTTTTTTTTTTTAAACACAACTTCCCTTTGTTCATTAATTTTCCAGAGACATGAAGTTAATTCAAACAAAAAAACAAAAATACTGCCCTCCCACCCCATGCAAAACAAAACAGAAACCAGACTCCTCCTGGTCCCCCCTTCCTTGTTTGCTGGCCTTTCCTATGGGTTGCTATAAAGAGGGGGAACGAGACCCTCGTGGTTGTTTTTTTAAACAAAAGTGCTTATTTTACGTGTAAAGCAAGTGCTTTGGAGAAAGGTGGTTGGAGAGAAACTTCCTTATTTGGCGGGGTTTAAGGAGGGAAGCCCAATGATTGCTTTCGAGACAAATGGAGGGAAATGGAAAGGTGGTGCCTTTTGAGGTTGAGAGAAAGATGCATGGTCCAGACCTAGGCCATTCCTAAGGAGGGAGGCAACAGGGAATCAACAGCCAGCAAGAACCTTATGCGCAGGAAAACAACATCCCGCCTGCCCCTCTCCCCCAACCCTGTGGAAAATACTGCACATCTTTAAGCCAAATGTGTTTGCAAAATACTGGGCAGGGGGAGAGAAGGGGAGAGAGACAGCAAGGGGGGAAAAGGAAGTTTGCCTCCAGCCCTCTTTTACAATGCACTAGGGAAACCGACTCTCATCTTAGCACAATAATGCAAGTTATTACCACCAGCCACTTCGATTATTACTTAAAATTGTCAAGCTGTGCTGTCAAAATGTACACGTTACAGTATTAAAGGAGAACAAGACTGGCAACTCTGCAACAGAACTGGCCACGTTTCGCTGACACCCACCCGAGGCCTACCTTCCCTTCCTTACAAAAACAAAATTAAAACCCCACAAAATTTATTCTTAATTCACGTATGCGCTGCTGGAATTTTTCCACTCCATTTTCTTCATCTTTTTTTTTTTTTAAAGGAAAAGGAAAAAAGAACAGGGGCAAAATTGAACGTAAAAAAAAATTATTAATGCATGATGCTACAGAACTAAGAACACTGAAGCCCTTAAAGAGATCACATTGATTGTCATATATTGAATTTTTATGTTGACATGTGAGGAAAAGAACACATTATCAGCATGTTAGGTACTATTATTATTATTAATTTTTTTAATAAAAAAAAGATCAAGTGTCAGTTCATCATTTTTCCTCAGTTAATAAAAAAAACGTGCCTAACAACCCTCTACAATCCTAATAAAATAAAATAAAATGCAAGCACAATCCATGTATTACTAGGGCTAGAAGATTCCCTCATTTTGAAAGGCTCCTTGAAAACCTATGCTCATTTCTGCTCCTCTGTCTCTCCACATCCCACATTGCCATTTCAAAACACAGTTAAAATTTGAGATGGGCACATCTGATATTCAAGCAACTATGCTACTGCCTAAGGAGCCCGATTTCCTGGGCCCTATACTTCTGTAACACCCCACAACCAATTCCACCAGAGTTTTCTGTGGAAACAGGCACAGCAACAACCCCAATTTAACAGGCTGTGCTTTCTCAATAGGAATACCCATTCCCCTGGGTTAACAGGAAAATGCTATCTGTTGCCTGGTACAAACCTGTGAGCGTAGAGTCTGTCACATCCAAGGGATGAGGGAGAGGGTTAAGGTCTTTCCAAATTGCAGCACAACCGTTAGGTTTCCTCCCTACTGCCCCAGTTTCTTGAAAATACCTCAAGGCCCTCCAGAAATGTTTCTGGTCCGTAAAGGAGGATTAAATTTAGCCCTTTTTTTAAAAAAGAAAGTGTGGCTTCAGACTTAATTCCCTACAACTTCCCTCCCTTTCTCCCTCCCCTACCCCTGCCACGGCCCGGCAGTTCAAAATTAGGCCTTTAGAAGAAGTTACAAGTTGCTAGTACCTAAAAAAAAACAAAACGAACAATGTAAACAAGGTGTTTAAAGTTATTTTCAGCTCTCCCTCTCTACAAAAGTAGTGAAAAGGACCTTCCTGTATTGAAAAAGTAGGGGACGGGGAGGAAAGGGGGAAACTTTCATTCAAGTTTTGTTCACTTCTATTCCAACGTGAGGTATTTTGGTGTAGAAAGGTTAACACTTTCTTTCAAGGTAGAGAACTTGGAGCAACTGAGGGCAGAGAAAACTAACCCGACCGTAGTGCAGCTAAAATAATAATAATAATTAATGGCCAATCTGCAACAGGCGGTTGCTGTGCTTTTTGGCAAGTGCATTAAAACCTTAATACGCTCATATCTAGCAGCTGCGGTGAAAAGATCTCTCACGATTCCTTGGGCATCAAAGAAAGAAAAAAGCTAAGCTAGTAGCGCCCTAGTCTTTGTGGAAGGCTTTGTTGAAGGAAATGGCTGGGTTCGTTAGAAGACTAGAACTCGCTACCTTAAGGCCCCCAATTTTTGCAACCTATCCGTATGCAGCAAACCAACGAGACATGCAGCTAGCTGGTGCTTGAAGAGCTGACTCAAGATGATATGCAGTGGTCTGTGGGGAAAACAAAAGTCCATTTGGTGGGGGATTAAACAAAAAAAGAAAATGGAGAACCTCTCTTTTAAAAATGCACTGTTCACCAAAGGACAACGTTGCAGCTTCAGTATTTGGCTCTGGGAGTTTGGCTTTGGTATATTAAAAACAGTGCCAAAAGGGAATGGGGGGTGGGTGGGTTTTCTCACTTTAGATTTCAGTTTTTGCCTTTCTTGCATCAGGATTAAGCTCCGCTTAAAATAAAATAAAAAGGAAGGAAGGAAGTGAGGCCATGGAAATGGAACTGGTGCCTATTCTAACGTCAGCGTCAAATGAAAAAGAAGAAGAAAGAAACGAAGAGACTGCTTTCAGTTTTAAGTTTTTGGTTAAAGAAACAGTAATTCGTTTTAAACCATGAAGCAGGATGGTTCAAGCACATACCTGGCTCATATTTTCTCCTTAACAGTCTAGCTGATTCCCTAAGGAGAAGCTGGTTGGGGAATTACTAGCCCTAACAAGCTCACTGGTCCAAACATGCAATGTTTTGAGAGTAATTCTATAGGCACCAGCATAGCACTGCAGGACTGGGAAGGAGGTGGAAAGAAGATTGTTGGATTAAAAAAATAAAAGTTTGCCCTGGCAGCCCTCAGCCGATTGCTACATCCCAATCTTTGGCTTTGAACGTACTTGTGATATGGTATATATATTTTTTGTTGTTAGTTTCTACACATGATACAATTTACAGTACAAAAAAAACGAAAAGAAAAAAAAAACAGTGCATACACTCAAAATGCGTAAAACCTGCATTTTTATAAATATATTTTTTTAAAATAAAAACACACACACGCATACGCACACATACACCAACCCCACAGGCATCCCTACAAACACCCACGTGCACATTGTCCTAATGAAGCCTTCTGGATGGCATTCGGGGGTATAAATACAACTGCAGGATTGTACGGTTCTGAAGTGCGTTGTTTTCCTTAAAAAAAGGTGAAACTTGCAGAAAGCTCTCTCTCATTTTTTGCTATTTTTTAAAAAGATAAATGCTTGTTTCTTTATAAATAATCTCTTTTCTTTAAAGCAACACTGACTTGTCTAAACGGGGAAAACACTGAGCGACACACCGAGGGTGGGGTTTGCGGGGAAGAGAACCGCGAAGGAAATTCTCTTTGGGGATCCAACGTTTCGTAACCCTTCCCACCCCCTGCCTGCCTCAAACAGAAACCAGTCTCCAAAACAGAGAAAAATCCCTAAAGTGCCTGATATGGTAGGGATGAATTCTGGCAGCGCATACGCAAGTTTCGTCAGAGAGGACCGCGTCAGCTGGGCAACAGCACCCATTTTGCATACGAGGGAGTACGAGCTGCCTAAGGTATCATAGTGTCCCAGGTACAGTAGTTCTCAATTCAAGTGTTTTCACTGGAATCAAAAAAGGGGGGGGCAAGCACAACAAACGAACAAAAATAACCAAACGAACAAAAAGAGAAAGGAGCAGTTATAGTGGCACTTTGCCGGGAGCTGCTGCCCTTCTTGGCGGTCCCTCGTTCATCAAACGCCTAATGCCAAATAAAACCAAGAGGTTCAGGGCTTCTGCTCCCTGCCTAGAACGGCACGACCCACAAAATTTAACGTTATCAAGTCAGGCAGCACACAGAAAGTTACCACAAAGCGGGAGGGAGATGGGAACGCTAGGACACCCTGTTTTAAGAGCCTGATTTTTTATTTTTATTTTTATTTCAAATTCAGGCCCCTCCAGTCGTGTGATGTGCTCATTAATCGGCAAGCATCCCTGCAGGAAATTAAGTTGGCTTGGCCCTTCCTTCAGTTCCCAGAAGCAGCAAGCAAGAGGAACTGGAATTTAAACAGCTGGCCGTTCCCTAAATCTTACCAAGGCCGTGGCCTCAGAAACGAAGGGCAACAGCATTTGGGCAAGTTTCTGTGCTGATTTAGACTCAAACAGAACTGTTTAAGGTATTGCAAATGGACCGCTGCGGATTTGTTTTGAGAGCGGCATTGCTTTTTGTTAACTTTGACGGCAAGAGATGCTCGTGGTGAAAGCAAAGGTCTAAACAGGAAGCAGAAGCCAAGATCCCCACTCTCTCTCCCTATCTTTTTTGGTACCTAGGCCATTTTGGAAGGCCCATTCCAGTCTTGTTCTCCTTTAAAGTGTCCTATATTTATAGAATTCCTAAATAAATAGAAGATATTAGATCACCCATCGTGGTTTGTTTGTTTTTAAGCTACTCCGAGTAACAGCCATCTAAGCCGATGGCATTGTGCCTATCCTTGGTGTAGGGGCAGCTGTTGCCGTTGGGCAGGGCACTACAGACTGCTGTCTTGGCAGCAATACTGCAGTTCTTGAGGAGGTTGAAGCTGAAAGGGCTGATGGCGTCTTTTGGTGGAAAAGGCTTCATGGTGGAAAGGATAAGTGCCAGGCAGTCGGCCACGTCCTTGTTGGGGGCGCAAGCCAAGGCTGGGGTATGGCCTGAAAAACAGAAACACAAACTCAGTCCCCTAAAAAATAATAAACCCCCCCATTCTTGGGCAACCCGCCCCCCAAAGGATCTTTTCCAAGAAGGGTTGGACAACCTGTTCAGCACATAACATCAGTTGTTTTATCATGAACTGGCTGCTGTTTCCTTTTATTAAAAACTGGCTCTTCCCCTCCCTGACCCTCAGCATAACATACCGTATTTTTCACTCTATAAGACGCACCAGACCACAAGACACACCTAGTTTTTGGAGGAGGAAAACAAGAAAAAATATATTCTGAATCTCAGAAGCCGGAACAGCAAGAGGGATCGCTGCGCAGTGAAAGCAGCAATCCCTCTTGCTGTTCTGGCTTCTGGGATAGCTGCGCAGCCTGCATTCGCTCCGTAAGACACACACACATTTCCCCTTACTTTTTAGGAGGGAAAAAGTGTGTCTTATAGAGCAAAAAATACGGTAAGTGGCGTAACTGCACTAGTGCTACAGGTAAGTCGTGTTATCGCCACTCTGAACACTGACTATGTGAAAGCTCCTTGCAAACTACTCTTTGTGCTATCCGACCACCACCTGCACAGCAACTCTCTGTACTCCTCTCTCTCTCTGCGTGTATGTATGTAAAAAGGAGTGGTAAAACTCAGTCCGTGACCTGACCCACTCAAGAGATCATACTCTGTGGATACATTTCCATGCCCCCTTTGTATACACAACTCCTGCTTAAGAGATACATTCAGACAGAGCACAGGAACTCCCTACAGATGGCCACCATTTCTCTAAGATCCTGAGAGGAAATGTTACGTCTGGTTGTTGCGCATCCTCAGTGGTTGAAGCTCACGTTTCCTACCCCACCAACCACCTGCAACAGAGCACAAGTGTCAAGGGAGTCTTTGGACCAATGGAATACAGTGGTAACTTGGTTCTCAAACGCCTTGGTTCCCAAACGCCGAAAACCTGGAAGTAAGTGTTCTGGTTTTTGAACGTTTTTCAGAAGCCAAATGTCCGATACGGATGTCGGCTATTGTTTCTTGGGCACCAGGACCAATAAGAAGCTGCGCCTTGGTTTTCAAACATTTCAGAAGTCAAACAGACTTCCGGAATGAATTAAGTTTGGTGCTTTTGTTTTTGCTATTTATTTTGCGTTTTTGTTTTTGAGGCATTTTCGGTTAATTTGTTTTTGTGATTGTGTGGAACCCAGTTAAGCTATTGATCGATTGATCCAAACAAACAATGACTATCATCAGTGCAGGTAAGGAAAAAATAATAATTTAATTTTTAAATCATCTACTGTCTTATTTATTTTGTAGTACAGAACATTGACTATTGCTTTAATTTTATGGATCAATGGTTTCCTTAGATAGCAAAATTCATGTTAAAGGGGTTGTGTTTAAAAGTCTGGAATGAATGAATCTGTTTTGCATTACTTTCTAAGGGAAAACGTACCTCGGTTTTGGAACGCTTTGGTTTTGGAACGGACTTCCGGAACGGATTAAGTTTGAGAACCAAGGTACCACTGTACATCAAGCTTCTGAAATTTAATCATCCTGCTTTGATAACCATTTTTAGAGCGCCATCAGCGTAATCCTATGGAACTCGGTGATTGCTCAAATTCTATAAAGGGCTACCTTCCTCCAGCAATGAAAGTGTTAAAAAAATAATTGAAAAGCCATACATTCCTGGTTCAGCTGCACTGTGTTGTGTCACACAAACACCACCAACCCACCAGCCAACAGATTAAGAGCATGACATCTGGAGTGAATGGAAAGGGAACAGGAAGGAGATGGTCTCACACCATTTCAAATAAAAATACAGAACGTGTGTAAACATGAACACCCCCCCCCCAACCAGCCTGCCCATGTAGACTCAACAGATTTTGCCAACATATATACATGAGCATCTGACCCCGCTCATCCGGAAGGGCTTCCAGGTGTGAAAATACGCACCTTCTTCATCCACAGCAAGCACAGTGGCACCTCTGCTTAGCAGAGCCTGAACAACAGAGGCCAGTCCATTCCGGGCTGCAATGTGGAGCGGCCTGGGAATGGCAGGAAGAGAAAAGGAAAGACATTACTGGATGAACCTTGGGAGAGGACGTGAGAAATGCGTCTCCTGGAAATGAAGGCATTCACAAAGTTTATCTGACTCGTGTTCCAAGAGAGGAATGTATCAGAGGATTTTCACGTAAAACTCTTGTTGGGAAACTGTGTACGTGCAGCTACTCACACAGTCAATTAAGGTTTGGCAGACAGCCAGAAGGCAATCTGAAGGAGTAAGTCTGCCTGGTGATAACAGAGACATGGAGGCCGCTCCCTGATTGGTCAAGCTCTCTAAAGGGAGTGATCATTAATGGCCTACTAACTGGAATGTGTTAGTTCAGTATTGCAGTGTTCAGAGTTCTGTATCAGTGTAGGAGTTGTGAGTCGCGTCAGAGAGAGCTAGCAAAAGATCCATGTTCTGTTCCCGTAAATAGTCCACTGTATATAATAAACACCTAACTACAAGTTCCTGGTTCCTGCTTCGTCTATCCTGTCTGCAGCCAAGTTACCAATTGCTTCCGTGGATTCTGTGTGTACTCTACTAGGTCTGGCTAAGCTCCTGCAACTGGTCAGAAAGTTGCGAAACACCAAATAGGTTTTACCAATAACTCTGGCCCTCCAGATGTTTGGGACTACAATTCCCATCATCCCTAGCTAACAGGACCAGTGGTCAGGGATGATGGGAATTGTAGTCCCAAACATCTGGAGGGCCGGAGTTTGCCTATGCCTGATGTAAACATTTAATTCTGTGGGCCAAATAGATCTGTAGTCCATCCTGCAGTATGTTCTGTGAAAGTTGGAAAGGCTTTTCAAATTGGTTTTTGCAATGTGTTAATTCCAATAGTTTTCAAAATCATATGGCATTAAGAGCCCCCCTACCCACCTTTCAGTTCTTTAGGGAAAATACGATTCTGGATTACACTTCTGTGGGAAATTATGCTCTGGGAATTTGTAAACAGAATCTTTTTCACAGAATTGGTGGTGATGCAGCAGAGGGACCTTCTCTCCAATGGAGGTCCACCAGGCTGCAATCCATCCCTGTTTCAGACTCAAAGTTTAAAAATTTCTCATCAAGCCTTTCAGATTTTTGATACTAGACACCACGACACAGTATATTAGTATTATGTATATGTAACATTATATCTGTATAGTTATCTTTGTTATCTTAAGCAACAAGCACACCCACCTGATTTTTATATTACTATTAATTGGCTTGAGCTCCTAATGATTGCAAAGGTAGTAAAGATTTTTTTAAAGAAATAAATACAACCAAGCACAAGACTTCCCAGGCTTAGTGTGCTGAGGTTATTCAGACCCTGATAATAGGGCTCCGTGACAAACTTCCAACAGAAGATCTCTTAGTTCCCCAACACTGAGGAGTTACGTAACAAGAGTTCTGATTTGTCAGCTAGCCTAGCCTCCCCTTTTCATACATGAAAGCTCATATACTGAGTATCTCCAAAGAAGATGGGTGAGGCCTAAGATCACACCACCCACATTCCTGGCTGTAAAATCCTTTAAGACCAGGAGCATCAAAATAAATGCTTTTCTTTTTCCATGTCTACTCACAGATGTAGAGCGCCCGTCCAAATGCAGAAGACTTTTTTTTTTTTTTTAGGACCGACTAACCAGATGCCTACCCTTGTCTCATTGCTAGGAATGTACTTGGTAAGAAGGAAAACAAGGAAAGGCAGGGGGGACCAAACAGTCTCTCGTTTCCACCAGCTGAACAAATACTCACATCTGCAGAGCACTGTTAGTTGCATTGATAAGGCCAAGGTCTTGGGTTTCCCCCAGAATCAACAAGGCACACTTTTCATGACCCTGGAAAGAAAAGATAATTTATTTAAAGGAATGATTCGTTTGGAAGGCAGGTGCCTTTCTTAAGCTACACCCCCTTCCCCAATCTCCACGCACAAATTCCATCTAAGTACGGCTTGCTATGTTGTGCAAATCGTACAAGCAAGCTTGTAAATGGGAAGGAGTAACTTTTGTTGTAGCTGTGCTGTTCAGCTTTTTATTTTAGTTGCTTTTTTAAATACTGTTTTATAGATTGTAATTGTTTTACTGATGATTTGTTAATTATTCTATATGATTTATGCTGCATTTGCGATGTTCTGTTATGCTCCATTATGTCATTTGAATGAAAAGCAGCATAGAAATATAAGAAATAAAAAAGTGCAGGACACATAAACCCATGAGGAAAGGAAGAATTCTGAGCACGCAGTTTAAGTGCTTCTGGCTCTTCCTTCCCAGCCTCTGGTACAGTTAATTGTCTTTTTTTTTAACTGCCCTGCAGCAACAGAGAAAGGCAATATATTCCAAAATTGCTTAATTAAGGAAGAATCTGGAATGCCCTCCGGACATGCTCCCGGTTTTTCCTTTCAAATATGAATGCACTCATTATTCCATTGAAGTTGAATCACCTGAAATCAGGTGATTGACAGGTGGGTGGTGCAAGGAGTGGGGGAATACCGCTTGCAGGTCCTCCCTGGATATTTACCTTACTGCAGGCCAGGTGAAGAGCTGTGTTCTTGTTGACATCCAGCACAGTTAGATCCGCTTTTGCTCTGTACAGCAGAAACTCTGAAAATAGGTGGAGATGCCAAGTGAGAGTTGGTGCAAACTGTGACATACTTCAGTAAAAAGGAAAAAGGGGGAGGGAGGCATAAATGTAATGGATGCTCTACTCACCAACTGCTGCGGTCTGGCCATTCTCAGCAGCCATCATAAGAGCGGTCCTTCCCAGTTGGTCAGTCACGTCTACCTCAGCCTGGTGGCGCAAAAGCAGTTGTAAACCATGGATGTTGTCTGCAAAGGCAGCAGCGTGAAGGGGGGTCCTGGAATGAAAAAAAAACCCAAATGCTTTTAACATGCATAGACCCTGGCATTCTTCCAAATTCCACCTTTATTCCTGCTGAACTAACACCTCTTCAGAATATTGTTTCTTCACTCAGTCAAGAGTGCAGCTAATACTCCTTTTAAAGACCCTGTTATCATCATTATTGTGGGACGCGGGTGGCGCTGTGGGTTAAACCACAGAGCCTAGGGCTTGCTGATCAGAAAGTCGTCAGTTCGAATCCCCGTGATGGGGTCAGCTCCCGTTGCTCGGTCCCTGCTCCTGCCCACCTAGCAGTTCGAAAGCACCTCAAAGTGCAAGTAGATAAATAGGTACCACTCCGGCGGGAAGGTAAATGGCGTTTCCGTGCTCTGCTCTGGTTTGCCAGAAGCAGCTTAGTCATCCTGGCCACATGACCCGGAAGCTATACACCGGCTCCCTCGGCCAATAAAGCGAGATGAGTGCTGCAACCCCAGAGTCGGTCACGACCTGACCTAACGGTCAGGGGTCCCTTTACCTTTTATCATCATTATTGATTTAACTTATTAAATTAATATTTTCCCAGGGTACCTTTTCTACAGGGATGTCCTATTTCCCCAGCAATAACACAGCAGCATTTTGCCACTAGGAAAGCAACCCCCCACCCCAACTAACATATGCATTGCAATTTTTAGTGCTGTGTGAAATGTAACTGCCCAAATCTCACAGGGATAGCTTGAGCAGTGCCTGTCACATCGTCAAGTGAGCAACAATGCAACTTTTTCCAGCATGTGCCGTTTTGTGAACTTTGCAAAGGAAGCAACATCTTTCACTCTTTAGAAGCTGTGCTTCTCTCTCTGCTCAATAACATGCTGCAGGTGTTATTATGTGAAACCATCACACTCAGGTTTTCCCGCCCTCATTCCGCTTAACTGGCTGTTGGACTTTTCTGACTTTTGGCCAGAGTTTTTTTATGACCACCATAATGTCTGTTTCCACCCTAAGAAACTGGCTGCAATGTAGGGAACTGAACCAAATTAGTAGTAACTAGGTGGTGCTGTGGGTTAAACCACAGAGCCTAGGACTTGCCGGTCAGAAGGTCGGTGGTTCGAATTCCCATGAAGGGGTGAGCTCCCGTTGCTCAGTCCCTGCTCCTGCCAACCTAGCAGTTCGAAAGCACACCAGTGCAAGTAGATAAATAGGTACCACTCTGGCAGGAAGGTACCGTATTTTTCGCTCTATAACACGCACCTGACCATAACACGCACATCGTTTTTAGAGGAGGAAAACAAGGGAAAAAATATTCTGAATGAAACAGTGGACGTATCATTTTTGTGCTTCATGCTGTGGCCACAGACATGTGATCTGATGGTGAATTTGGGGTGACCCAATGCAAAAATCCTGAGAATCCCTGTGGATCCATGCTTTGTAACCACGTTTTTGCACCATTGCAGCCCCAGGCAACAGTGGGTGCGTGATTTTTTGGGGGGGGCAGGCTGTAGCCATGGACATGCTATGTGCTCTGATGGTGAATTTTGGCTGACCCAAAGCAAAGATCCTGAGGATCCATGTGGATCCATGCTTTGTAACCACGTTTTTGCACCATTGCAGCCCCAGGCAACAATGGGTGTGTGATTTTGGGGGGGCAGGCTGTAGCCATGGACATGCTGTGTGCTCTGATGGTGAATTTGGGGTGACCCAATGCAAAGATCCTGAGGATCCATGTGGATCCATGCTTTGTAACCACATTTTAAGTGGGGAGGGAAGGAAAAACACAGAAGGCTAAGAATGCAGGAGAGGGCTATAACGTGAGGAAAGGAAGGCAAAAGTTTCCCCCCACCCACCCACACAAGCCAGCCAGCGTGCGCTCTCTCTCTCTCTCTCTCTCTCTCCCTCTCCCTCCCACCAGCATGACAGAATAAAGCATTTTAACTGCATTAAGAACTATTTAGCAGCGAAACCTAAGCTTTGCCATCCCTTAAGAGGTACAGACACTGTAATCTTCCAGATCGCATGAATTTACAGGCAAAACACTGTTTAAGGATTTCATCCTTTTAAATGGAAGAAAGCATATTTGAATGCTGTGTGTCTCCAAAAACAAAAAGCAGGAAGTCAAATCAGAATTTTAAGCCGAACCTGTAATCTCTCTTCCCTTCACAAACATTGTTCCCTCCGGAGCAGGGAGAGGAATTAGAAAGACGCTCTGCTCTCCTCTCTTCTTGCCAGGAGGGGAGGGGCTTTCCCTGCTCTTTGTTCCGTTTGAGCAAACACAGCAAGGAAACAGAGCAGGGTGGGCAGTAAGACCCTGAGGCAGAATGCAGGAAAGCAACCACTTCCTCTCTCACGGAGCTCCCTTCTCCCTGAAGCGCGGTTTGATTTTTGCCTCATTTTTCGGCTCCAGGGACCACACATTCGCTGCATAACACGCACAGACATTTCCCCTTCCTTTTTAGGAGAAAAAATCTGCGTGTTATAGAGCGAAAAATACGGTAAATGGCGTTTCCGTGCACTGCTCTGGTTCGCCAGAAGCGGCTTTGTCATGCTGGCCACATGACCAGTTAAGCGAGATGAGCGCTGCAACCCCCGAGTCGGCCACGACTGGACCTAATGGTCAGGGGTCCCTTTACCTTTACCTTAGGCTTCAGTTTAGCCTCACCTGACATTGCTAATGTGAGGGACTCCTCATCTGCACCTTGTTAACAACTCCTCCAGCATCTTTGTCAATTCTTGAAGCAAAGTTTTCTATCCTAACAATGGCCTAGGCATTGATGACTGATGAGTTTCGGAGGGGACCGTATACCTAGAAGGTCCACCAACGACAATCAGCAAGGCTGCACACTCACTCACCTTCCTTTGGCATCTCTGCTATTAACAATCTTGGCACCCAATGCTTCCACAAGCATCTCAGAAGTGCCATCCTGGTTGTTAATTCTGCAAAAGGAAGAAAATGGAAGAAGCAAATGAGCTAATGTGGCTTGGATTTATTTTCTTCTGCAGTTCGTCGAAAGGGAAGGCAGCTCAGAATACGGCATGTATGGGGACATCTATTGCTCAGTGGCAAATTACATGCTTCACATGCAGGAGATCCTAGCTTCAATTTGTGGCATCTCTGCTTAAAAAGGACTTCAGGCAGGAAGGCTGGGAAAGGCCTCTCCTTGAGACACATGGGCAGGGATGGGGAATTTACGGCGCACCAAGTGTTGTCAGACTCCAGCTCCCAGCAACCCCAGGTAGCATGGTCGATGGGCAGGGAAGATGGGACTTGTAGTCCAGCAATATCCAGAGGGCCCACAGGTTCCCCAGCCCTAGAGAGCCAGTGGCAGTCAGAACTGACTACGACAGATAAACCATCAGAATTGGTATAAAGCAGTTTTATAAAGGTAGCCTTGGAGACAGCCACTGAAAAACAAAGGAAGAAACTGCTCTGGAATTGTGATCTTTGCTGATCTTTTATTTTCCAATGCTGTTTATAACTTGAAATGTACAAGGAAAAAATGTTTTTGCCGATCTTCCTTCCGTAAAAACACACAAAAAGCCATTAAAACACAAATAAAGCATTCTCAGTGACTTCTGTCAGCTATGGAACTACCTGTCCCTGGAAACTCTTCCAATGTAAATCTGGACACTGTTCAAAACCACTTCAAGACCTACTGGTTTGGGCTGGCTTTCAGAGGTCAAGGCTAAGCTAGATGTAATGGAGACTTGATAGTATTTTAAGGCGGTTGCATCACATTTCTGAGCTGTTAGGTTAGGGTGGACTAGAACGGTCAATCAATCAATCAATCAATCCAGAGAGACCACAACACTTGGGGACAACGACCCCTTCTAGGTGTTCACACTATCAAAACTAGGGGTACAACTTTGGTATCCTGACCTCAACTCTCTTCTCTGGTAGAACAAACGAAGTAAGAGCTAAGAACTAGGTCAGCAGAGCAGTCTGCTATTCGGACTTCCTACTACCCACTCCCTGTAAAGCTTGCACATTCTGGGAGAAAGCCTAACATTGCTAAAACTGACTCATCATTTTGCTTGTGGTGAAGGAAGAGCTCTGCAGGTTAGACATGCCCTCTAGCGGTTCCCATGAAGACTGCATCCACAGAAATACATCCAGAGTCAAGATTGATCTAACTAGAATATAACATTTAGGGTGTGAATATGCTCCAAATTTAAGCAGTTTGAAACTGGCTTGCCTGTGATGGCACCCAGGGAGGGAAACTATAGTTATAAGAGGGGGCTAAGGATCTCTAGTAAAAAACAATCAGCACTTCATGAGACTAGATGCTCCGCAGTCTGGGAGAAGCCACGGCAAATTGCAGGGCTAGTTGTTTATCTGTTATGGAGGCTCATTAAGAATGCAGTATATGGTTAACAACAGGGTCTCTTGAACTAATCACTTAGGCTCCAGGCCTAAGGTACAGTGGTGCCTCGCAAGACAAAATTAATTCGTTCCGCGAGTTTTGTCGTCTTGCGATTTTTTTTCGTCTTTCAAAGCACGGTGTCGGGAAAGTTTTGGAAAAGCTTCAAAAACCTCAAAAAGCTTTAAAAACCTCAAAAAAGGCTACCACACCGCGTGCTATGAGTTGCTCCTCGAAGTCAAGTCGCAACTGTATTAACGGTGTTAAGAAAAAGGAAACAAACTTGCAAGACGTTTCCGTCTTGCGAAGCAAGCCCATAGGGAAAATCGTCTTGCGAAGCAGCTCAAAAAAAAAAAAAAACCCTTTCGTCTTGCGAGTTTTCCGTCTTGCGAGGCATTCGTCTTGCGAGGTACCACTGTACATCTTTTGAGATAGTTTATTTAGAAACACAGAAGTCCAGCCACTCATCACAAAAGCAAACATCCACTTTGGTCTTTGCTTCCACACCCCGTCCCACCCCCCAAAGGACCAATTGAGACTTACACCGCACAGTGCAATGGAGTAAAGGGGTTTCCTTCTAGGTATGCAAATGGATTGTGTTCAAGTAACAATTCAAGACAATCTTCATGCCCTGGCAAAGGGAGAAAAGAGGCAGACGGCATTATCAAATGACCTTCAACATCCAATAAATTATTATGAGCAGAATCAAAAGGCGCCTTTGCCCAAGGACTTGAAAAGACCCTTTGGCCGGTCTCCCAGATCAACAAAACAGCCATAAACTGGGAAGGTGGTGACTATGAGTTTCTGCAGCTTGCTTTAATAAGCCAGGATGCAACAGACTGACATACACTTCCAGCAGGGGAATGCGTCTCTCAGAGTGGTGTCATCTGCAGAACCAAGTTCTGCACTCAGAATATGTAGAGAGCTGTGTACCTGCTACATGCTGAGTATCCTATTAGTGGCCCTACTGAACAGAACCCCAGTTGGACTGGTTCCCTGCCTTGGCACAGGAAAAGAACAATCAGAATCAGGCATAACTCGTACCGCTGTAAGAAGCCCAGTGCATTGGTGAGTAGCCACTATAGTCCACCACAGAGTCCAGAGGGTCAGTAGAGAGCGCTGCCTGCAGCAAGGTCCTCAGGATTTCGGAATGCCCACACACCGAGGCAAAATGGATCGGGGTCCGGCCCTTGAAATCCCGACACAATACAAAGGCATCATGGTCCAGCAGTGCTGCAAGGCAGTCTTCACAGCCAGTCACAGCCTGGGAGTGAGCAAAGAACAGTGAATGATGAAAGAACGTGCCCAAGCCAAATACTGATAACGCTGGGTTACTATAAAGGAATCTTGGCAGTGCCAGGATAACAAAGGGTGCTTCTCTTTAGTGGCACGTTGAAACCAGCAGGACATCTGCTTACGACATGGCAAAGACAGACACAGCAGTCAATTGTTACTTATAAGGGTTTTTAATGACATTGTAAATTGATACCATCAGCCAACAGCCAATTATTTACTAGAGCAAATCCTGAGTTTGTAAACAACTGAAAAATATTTCTCCTTTTTCTCTCTCATCCTGTTCTAACCTCACTTCCCAAACCAAAGTGCCTTGAAATGCTTCTGTCTGGCACATGCAGTTCTTTGCCAACAGTTTAGGACAGGCATGTCCAAAGTCTGGCCCGGGGGCCTAATCTAGCCCCTGTGGCAGTTTATTTGCTGGTGTAAAATCCTAAGAAAAGCTCAACATCTTCAATCACAAAAAACCAACAACTTTGGGGTAAAATTGCAAGCAAAGCTCAACAACTTCAATCAATCACGTATGTTCATCAAATCTGGCTCTCTTTGAAAAAAGTTTGGACACCCCTGGTCTAGGATATACCGTATTTTTCGCTCTGTAAGATGCACCAGACCACAAGACGCACCTAGTTTTTGGAGGAGGAAAACAAGAAAAAAATATTCTGACTTTCAGAAGCCAGAACAGCAAGAGGGATCGCTGCGCAATGAAAGCAGCAATCCCTCTTGCTGTTCTGGCTTCTGTGATAGCCACACGCCTGCATTCGCTCCATAAGATGCACACACACTTCCCCTTGCTTTTTAGGAGGGAAAAAGTGAGTCTTATAGAGCCAAAAATATGGTACCTTCAGTATCATCCGGCCACTGTGATGAGCCAGTGCGTTCTGACTGGCTGAAGTTTTGGGATGTTCTGTGATGAAGTCTCTAATTCGGTTTTCAACATAAGTTATTGAAGGACAACTTAGGGCAGGAAGGGGGAGGCTGCGGCCCTATGGAGGTTGTTGGGTTACATCTCCCATCATCCCCAGTCACTGTTCAGGCTGGCTTGGGGATGATGGGAGCTGGATTCCAGAAACACCATAAAGGCCACTGGTTCTCCTTCCCTTGTGCAGCCAGCACATGTAGTGCTCACTGCAAGGCTATGTTACTATAGCCTGTGAATGCAGTAGCAGCTTTTTCTACTCACCCCCCGGTGCAGTGCAGTCCTGCCTCTCCTGTCTGCTGCATCCACTGTGGATCCCTTCTCAAGTAAGAGGTGGACACAATCCACATGGCCGTTCATGATCGCCAACATCAACGGGGTTCTGGGAGGCAAGAAATAATGGCTCAGGCATAGCAACATTTGGCTCGGCCCCGTTTTAGAGGCCTAAGGGTCTTCCACTGATAAGGAAAGGTGCGGAGGCAGCACCCCAACAATTAGAATGAGAAAAATCAGAATCAGGGCTGCCTTCAATTCCAAGTAGGGTTCTAAACAGAAATAACAGTCAGAGCAAGGGCTGCTGCAAAGCCAGGAGTGAGGCTAGGTGTCGTATAGGACTTTTGTTGCAAATCAAGGAGAAGGAGCCATCAGGATCCATAGTGCTATTCTCAGCTATTGGAGAAGGAGGAACATAAAAGTGGCAGAGGTGAGGCCTTGGTGGGTAGGTTATTACGAGAAAGCTGCTGTTTCATGGCTTTGCACAAAGGAGGGGAAGCTCCTATACAGTGGTACCTTGGCAGTTGAACAGCTTAGTTCCCGAACGTTTGGCTCCCGAACGCCGCAAACCCGAAAGTGACTGTTTGCAAACTATTTGGAAACCGAACATCTGACGCGACTTCCGATTGGCTGCAGGAGCTTCCTGCAGCCAATCAGAAGCCGCGCTTTGGTCTTCGAACATTTTGGAAGTCGAATGGACTTCTGGAACGGATTCCGTTCGATTTCCAAGGTATGACTCTAATTAGAATTTATTTGTATAACCGTTTGGGACCCCTGAGGAGCGAAAAGAACTTATCAGGAACAGAAGGAAGGACTTCCAGCCCAAACACGCAGAATGATTAACATATATAAGCCAATGGAAAAACTCACTGTCCATGGATGTCCATGACATCTGTGATGTCGACTCTCTCCCCACTGTCAATGAGAAGATGTAAGGAATCGGTGTTCCCATAGGCAGCTGTAAGAAATGTAAGAGGAAGAACTAGGGGGGGAAATAGTACTATGTACACAACTTCCCTTTTTCTAATCGTTTCTCAAACTGCCATTTCCGCAAAAACCTACTGTGTGCTCAAGGTTTGTTTGCAACAGCAGTCACGAAAAGCAAGCATCCGAGAATGCTGGAATGAAGTTACATGGTTTTAGCAGAAAGGTTATAAAGAACTAAGTAAAAATGGACTGTTAATGGGTCAAAGTGTAGAATTTAAGGCCAAATTGTGTTAAGATAAATTATAGAACAAAAATTGAGAAAGATGGAAAGGATTTGCTGAAATGGCTACTTGGATTAGAATACAAAAAAGGGAGGTGTGAGGAGGTCGATGAAACAAGTAAATGAAAGATAAAGATATGGAAATACTGGATATGTTTTTAAATGTTTTTGTTTTCAAATGTTTTTCTTTTTCTTATTGTTTTGTTGTATTGCTTTTTATTGTGTTTTTTATTTTTGAAGTATTGTAATTTTTTTATTGTCTTTTTTCTTTTTTCTGTAACTGTTAAACTTTTAATAAATATCATTTAAAAAATGAAAGAAAAGAAAAGAAAAGCAAGCATCCGAGAAAAGGAAATGTCATGCCCTCACCTGCAGCATGTAGGGGAGTCCACTTCTTCTTTTTCTCCTTCACAAGAGCAGAAGCACCATGGCTGGTGAGCACCTCCACGCACTCCGTGGAGCCCCTCTCCGTGGCAAGATACAAAGCCGTCCGCCCTTTGTGGTCCCGCACATCCAGGTTCACCAGGGTCTCGGCAAGTGTCTTCAGGGCTTCACAGTGACCATTATAGGCCTGGAAGCAACATCAGTCTTTAGTTCATTTTGCATGGCTTGCCTCTTTTTGCCTACGGTACATGCCGTGCAATCCCAAGCATGATTACTTTTTAAAATAATTTTTTAAAAAACCCACCAAGCAGCAGTAAATAAATACATTGCTTCAATGGGACTCACTCCTTAGTAAGTGTGACTGAGCCTAAAACGAACCAAGAAAGAGTCAACTTGCTGCCGTTTGCCTAGATCAGGGGTCTGCAACCTTTAAGACAAAAAGAGCCACTTGGACCCGTTTCCGAAGAAAAAAAACTGGGAGCCGCAAAACCATTGCGACATAGAAAATTAATCAGGGCCCCAGTGTACCATAAATCATAATCAGTGCCTGATGTAAATAATAATTAATAATGAGGGCCCAATGTCATCCTCGTCATTATAAAAATAACTTTTTTGTCACTTTTTTATTATTTCTTTGTTTGACCCCTCAGAATTACTCCTCCTCATAGAAATAAACGTTAAATTAACAAGCTACCTTTTTGTGTGTGTGTGTTCTTCACTCCCCTTCAAAACAGTGACCAGCGTACATGCCCCCTTTCAATGCAGTGACCAGCGTACATGCCCCTTACAATGTAGTGGGCGGGCGGGAAGGTGACGTCGGGACGGTGCGTGACTAACGCACGCACTGCCCCCATGCGACGTCACAGCCAGTACAGCACCCGCCACAGTGGGGAGTGTCGGGGTGCACAATGCGCCTCCTCCCCTCGCTAGTATCCACCCCGGAGCCGCGGCAAAGGTGTAAAAGAGCCACATGCGGCTCCGGAGCCGCGGGTTGCAGACCCCTGGCCTAGATTTTAGCATTCACTTTCATTGTACAAGCTGCTGTTTTTTTACAGTCCCAAGACACAGCCCACAACCTTGCAAAGCCAGATTTATGATAGAGATACTTACAGCTAAGTGCAAAGGGCTGACTGGAATGGTGCTTTCCACATCGTCCAGGCAGTTAAAAGACATTTCCAGGAGCTACAAACCAAAAAGGCACAATGTCCATTCACGTCCATTCAAATGCTGTATAACTCTTCTAGCCTCCAGAAGCCGCAGCAGCAATGATGCCAGCAGTCTTTAGCTTCCCCAGGCAGGAAATTAGCATTCCACCAACCCCCAAATGCATTCACAGGACTACCAAGCAGAAAAAAAGCTTGATGGGCTGTTGAGTCTAGAAGTGCAATCTAGACCAGTGTTTCCCAACCTTGGGCCTCCAGCTGTTTTTGGACTACAACTCCCATCAACCTTAGCTAGCAAGACCAGTGGTCAGGGATGATGGGAATTGTAGTCTGAAAACAGCTGGAGGCCCAAGGTTGGGAAACACTGGTCTAGACAACCGCAATCATATGCTCAAATGCTTAAAACTCAAAATTGGAATGCCAATACACTTTCCAAGTGTATCTCAGTAGCACAACGGTAACAGTATTACTTTGCTACCTTTGTTAAGGCACCTTGGGGCATTAAGAATTCTTATGCCGAGACTAAACCCTGGCTAAAAAAAAGTATTTCACACATTTGAATATATGAAATGCAGTTAAGTGGTTTCCCCCACTGTAAGTACACAGAATGGGTAGTCATTGTAATACCAGATTAATGTCCATTGGAAATCACTATTTTTATTGATGTGACCTAAGACCATTTTTATCTCTGTGCATTTTATAGAGCAAGATGTGTGCTAATTTGTTGGTTCTCCGGTGGGCTCTTGACTGTGTTTACTTATTTCTTTGCTGCTCAAATTATTATGTTGCTGCTGCCTTTATTTTTATAGGCACTGTTTTATGCTGTTTGGGGGCTGGGATCAGCCACAATTTATTGATAGATATTACTTTGTCTATTTCATAAAAGCCATTTGGGGCATTAACATTTTCTGCAAACACACACACACACACACACACACACACACGTCAGCGAGAAAGATCACATTGTTCTCATACACTGATTGTGCAAAGCTATTACTCAGATCCTAAGCAAAACTGATATCCATCTAACCATTCAAGAGAGGTTTTAAGGCAACAGCTGAGTTGCCAAAACTCCTGCCATGCCCTCCACCCTGGACCTAGACATACGCAGCTCCCTGCTAAAACTGGTTTCCATGTAAACAGCCTGTTTGTGCTACTGGAGAGGATTGATTAGATCCTCAAAGCTTATATAGCATCTGATGTTCTATCACAACATATACACACAATGGCTGCTTTAGCACCTAACACTAAGTCAAGGTACGTTGCATGTTTAACCCATAATGTTAAAGAGGTACCGTATTTTTCGCCCTATAGGACGCACCGTCCCATAAGGCGCACCTAGTTTTTTTGGGGGAAATAAAGGGGGGGGATTATTTTCCCCCCCAGGCGCGGGGCTGGGGCGGGGGAAGCTCGAGCTTCCCCCGACCCCAGCCCCCAAACAGGCAGCTCTCTGCAAGCCGTGGGAGCGCTCCCGCTGCTTGCTGAGAGGTGCGCGAAGCCTGGACGCGCTGAGCTGAGCGTACGCAGGCTTCAGCATGCAGGCAACTCTCCGCAAGCAGCGGGAGCGCTCCCGCTGTTTGCGGAGAGGTCCATGAAGCCTGGACGCGCTGAGCTCAGCGCGCGCAGGCTTCAGCATGCAGTCAAGTCTCCACAAGCAGCGGGAGCCCAGCGCTGGGCTCCCGCTGCTTGTGGAGAGGTGTGCGAAGCCTGGAGAGCGTGAGGGGTCGGTGCTCGCCGACCCCTCTCGCTCTCTAGGCTTCAGCGAAAGCCTGCATTCGCCCCCATAGGACACACATACATTTCCCCTTCATTTTTGGAGGGGAAAAAGTGCGTCCTATAGGGCGAAAAATACGGTAAATGCTAATGCCTGCAACTCAAGCTCTACCATTTGGCTCCTCCTTTTGTCCAACTGGGAGCAACAAACCATGAACCTTGGCTTACTTTGATGTCAGAACCAACAATTCGTGGAAATTGGAAAGCCAAAAACAAACCTTGGCTTTGTATCATGGCTTGTTTTAGGCAGAAAAGAAACCAAAAGGGCAGGTTGTCAGGCTAAGCCAAGACTTCTGGTTTGTTGCACCTACCTGACCAAAGGGAGGAATGAAATCTGGGCACCTGAGCTGCATGCACCAATACACTGCTCATGCCCATCATGGTTAACAAGTTGCAAACCCTGGCTTAGTGGGAACGTGACCAGTTTCTATTCAGAACAGGCTCTCAATTCCATCAAAGCGACCAGGTGCACAATAGCAAGGTACTCAACAAGAGAGCCTGTTTCATCAAGTTGACTGTGAATACAAATGAAGGCTGCACCCCAGAGTATGGCTCTTCCAAACTTCCACAGAAACATTCATTCCTCAGTCTCCCCTCCAAAATCACGACCCAGTTCCTCCAATCCCAATTCGAGCTTACCAACTCAAGGTTCTGTCTGTTGCCATAGGCAGCTGCGTAATGGACAGCGGTGTATCCCTGCTTGTCCCGGAGAGAGGGGTCAGCACCATTATCCAACAAGAACTCTAAACAACTGGAGCAGATGTGAGTAGATTAGGTCAGATGCCTTGAATCAGATGCATGTGAAGGGCCTAAATGTTGCTGCGCAAACAGCCTTTGCCGTGGTTTCTTATTAAAATGTCTAGCAACTGTGCTGCAGGAGCCACAACTCTCAATGAAGAAAGGAGATCCCCCTCATTCACAGAGTTTGACAGAATAAGAACAGCTGCAGCCCTGTGTAAAACATTGCTTTCGACCCAACTTGTATGGCACGTATGTTGGCAGCTCAAATACACCTTCAAAAAAACAACAACCAACTTTTGTGTCTGGATTTTCGCTTTTGGAAATAAGGCAGCCCTAGTTGGTAGAAAGAAACTCCACTGTTCTTCCCTGCATCACAACCACTTCCCAGTGCGAGTATGATACATGTAAGATTTAGAAGCAGTTACTGAACTCCCCTCTCCATGTTAAACTGATGTCTGTGCACTTTATAAAAATCCACTCAAATTCAGTTTCAATAATGAAAAGGCAGTAGAGGGAGATGAACAAAGGTCAAAGCATCTTTTATTTTGAAAAGGTTTGGAGTGCATTTTAAAGATGAGGTTGGAGGAGCAAAGAAAACCTGGAGAGACTGTGTCCCACGCTGGTTTGGTAAAAGCCCAACTGCTGGTTGATTTAAGTCACAAGAATAGGACAGAACCCCCTAACAATGGCCACTGCCCAAGCCCAAGCAGTCACTTAAAAACTGGCAGTGAGGTGATAAATTCAAACTGTCACTCTAGTTGGTAAAAGACATGTGTGTGGAGGCAGCTGAGCTCCTAAAGCTGTATGCTAAGGCAAGTTAAGACGGGCTACTCACAAGATTGCCTCCTTCAGTCGTGACTCCTTCAGTGGCTCCTCGTCAGTGTCATGGCTGTTTCCTGAATGAGTCTCAGCTCTGCAAGAGTGAAAGCCTAGATCAGTTTTGCTGAGACATAGTAGAAGAGGGACTGTGCAGGAACACGTAACAAAGTACTGCATAGTTTTCAAAGGAATCCCACATGTGGAAATCCATTGCAAGAATAAATTTGTGGGGGGAAATGTGCATGATAACTGGTCAATCAGGACAGGTTACAATGAGCCAGTATAGTTCAAGCTTGATGACCTCAGTGGCTCCGACTGAATTTATCTATGAAATTCATAGAAGCAAAATACGATCTGGAAAAAAGACGTTGCCATAAGCCTGAGCTACCTTTCAGAAGTCATCATTCATCAGCCTGGCATCACACAGGAGAGTAGGAAAAGGATTGTAGACATTTAAGTAACTTCACTAGCCCAAGAAGGCATAGTGCAAGATGAATTTCAACTTTAACTATTTTTGGAGAAATGTTCTTAAGTCTCTACAGACAGGGAAAAGTCTGAAACATCTGCAACAGCAGAAAGCAAAGTCATGCACACCCCAAATAAGATCTGAAGTATAAATTCTCTATTGCCATTTTTTACTTTGGTTTCTAACGTCTAAACATTTAGGCAGGTAGCACCATGATTCTTAGATAAAAGCCTCAAAGATGAGCATTGCCATTTTAAATCATTGTTTAAATAAACCCAAAAGACCAGAATGCACCAGTTAATTATCCCCCCCCCACACAATATTTCCAGTGAGGGCTTTAATGCTACACTTACCCACAAAAATGCTAGAAAGGGAGAAGAAAAATACTGCATCTACTGCAGATCTTTCTAGTGAAAGAATTGCACTTGACTGCTGCCATGTTAGGCAAATGCCCCCCCCAGCCCCCACAAGCCCTTTCTCCTACCTCCTGTAAGTGTCCGAAGCAGCAGCATAATGTAAGGGGGTGCAGCCTTTACAGTCAGCTTCGTTAATACTGGCTCCGGCAGTGACCAATGTCACCGTACACTGATAGCTGCCATTAGCGGCTGCATAGTGCAAAGGAGTCCTGGATGGGGAAAACGAGATTTGAGGCACTTACTAAACACAAAGCACCTTTTAATACGTTAGCATTGTAAGCAATGAATGTGATTCAGAGTTTCCATTTCCTCAATCTGTTAACAGAGTAGGCTCCGTTGGGTTAATATGTCAACTTTTGGTCCTGCATGGATCTAACCTGGGTTAGTTTGCTGTGTTGTCCTGAGCTAGTCCTCAGCCGACGTGTTCTTTGCATCCCAGCTGATCTACTATGTCTTTTATTTACGCCCACTTTATATCGCTCATTAACAAAAAGTTCTTTGGGTGATGTAGAGCATTCACCCTCAAAGCCACTTTCTAAGGGTTCCTCTGCAAATGCCATTTTACAGATAGAGAACAAAGACTGAGGTTATGAGTCCCTGACCAAAGAGGGACGTTAACTGCGACCTTCAAAGCAGACACGTCATCCAGTGCATCAGTGGCTCTTGCTAATGTTGTGTTGCATTAACAAACAGAAAAGCAATGTATAATCCCTCTCCTTCTAATTCAGCTGTTCCCAACAGAGCAGCACTGAGCTTTGGTTGAGCAAAAACATTTCTGCAAGTGAGCACCTTAAGCTCATCCTCAGTGCAATAAGCACTGAGTCACACTTATAAAAGCAGTCTCCTGTTAACACAGTGCAAGGCCTTCACAGCCTTTGGGCAGGTTTCAATGCCACTGAACAACAGCCTTTCCTTGCCCAAAGGCAAAACTGCGTGGTGCTCTTAATTTACCTTCCAAACTTATCTCTCCTCCTCAAGTCAGCTCCGCTGCTCAACAGCAAGTTAAGACATTCAACATTCCTACAGAGAAGCCAAAAACAAATATAGAATACACATGAACAATGTGATTGAAACAAAAGAGGCTGTTAGAATGAGAAAGTAGAGAGATTTTACAAGGTGGGAAGCCTCAGGAGGATTTAAAGGCACAGGGGGGAAGCAATCTCTTAGGAAGGAGATAGCAGAAAAGATCAAGGACGATTTCCAGTCAAGGATGTAGGCTTGATAAAACAGAAAATGCACACAATTCACTCAAGCTTGCTTTTTACCAACTGATTAGAAAATTAAAGGGCTAGCGGAGTGGTAGCAAAGTATGTCCTATTTAGAGCAGAAAACATAAACTGCCCTCCAAGTCAAGGATGTCGTTGTTTCTGCCACTTCAAGCAAATGGACCAAGACAACACCCACCAGGTGGTGTCCTAGTGCCCACTCGAGAAGTCAAATAAAAAAATAGAATACATTTGAACAATGTGATTGCACTCTAAAAAAAATAGAGAACTGACCCAAGACTACTGGGTCTGCCTGAATGCAGAGTGAATTGTTTATATAGACTGGAGATTCAAAATGGTAGCTACTAGACAAGAAGCACACAGATACCCTCTGGTTTTTTTTATATTTACATGCAGGGTCAACCTGAATCCAGGTTTTTGTACACTTTGGAAGTATAACAGCTTCAATTTTGCTGGCACACATTTTAACTAACTGTGGCTGTTCCACATCCGTGGAAAATGCTGTCCTGAGAGCACAGTTCCCAAGAGCACTATATATTTGTGGGTGTGGCTTATCCTCTAGCTGGGATGGAGATCCCTGTCTAGAACCAGGTCCCTACCGCCCACAAGTGGGTGTTTCAGGATTCTAGGTGGGCGGTAGGGGGCTCTATGGCACAAGCTGAATCCTCCTTCCATCGAGCACTGGTGGGCAGTGAAGAAATTTTACCATCAAGAAAGATGCATTAGTGGGCAGTAGGTATAAAAAGGTTGACTACCCCTTGTCCAGAGCAACTGGGAAAGATAGCAATGCAGGCAGGGGATTCTATTACTCCAGTGATGATGAGAAACATTTTTTCTCCTGTCCAGTATGTTTGCTGGATCAAAGCAAATCCTCTCATATTTCTTCTGAAGTGCAACTGGAAATTCCACTTCACACAAACAAGGAATCTCCCAATATTAGCTCTGAACACTGGGGATTTGAAGAGAGCTTCAATTTGATTACACCACCACAGCTGTACCGTACTTCAAGGCAATGGAAACCTGAATCTGTTCTAGTTAAACAGAAATAAACAAAGCCAGACAGTCTTTTAACCTTTCCCTCCTCTTCACTTAACCAAAGGTAGTCAGTGAGATAGGAATAAGCAACAGGAAAATAAAATAATGCAGATCAGTTCTGAAGAATATCCTGCCTAAGTAACAAACTGATTGACAACTCACCCTCCGGAAGCAGCAGCATGGAGGCAGGTCCTCCCGAGGTTATCTGGCGTATTGATATCAAAGCCTGCAGACAGCACATGCTCATTGCTAAGTGAAGAGACGATGCTGTACAACTGACCTGTGAATCAGAAAACAGCAGGGAATTGGTCAAGGTTCATGGTCAAGTCCATGATTCCGGCCAGCATTTCCATGGGAAGTTTATTATCTGGAGTTCAGATTTCTAAAATGTCTCAATAATCCTTCACAAGTGCAGAGCTCAATTGTTCAGTTGATGGGCCTTCTGTGCCTTGTTACTTGTCAGACAGTGAAGAGCACATTCTGGTCCTCAATGATTTATATTTCTCCTACCACACTGTTCCTTACCAGCAGTATACCAGCTCTATAAACCCAAACCTAAATCTAGGAAGTCAGGTAGGATTTCAAAGGCAAATACCATATTTTTCCATCTATAAGATGCCCCTATGTATAAGGGGGGGGGAGAGAAAAAGATGCCCCTATGTATTTTCGCAGCAACAACCAATCGCCAGTCCAGCCTTGGCACTATCCATGTATAAAAGGTAAAGGGACCCCTGACCATTAGGTCCAGTCGTGACCGACTCTGGGGTTGCAGCGCTCATCTTGCTTTATTGGCCGAGGGAGCCGGCGTACAGCTTCTGGGTCATGTGGCCAGCATGACTAAGCCGCTTCTGGTAAACCAGAGCAGCGCACGGAAACGCCGTTTACCTTCCCGCCGGAGTGGTACCTATTATCTACTTGCACTTTGATGTGCTTTCAAACTGCTAGGTTGGCAGGAGCAGGGACCGAGCAACGGGAGCTCACCCCGTTGCAGGGATTCGAACCGCCGACCTTCAGATTGGCATGTCCTAGGCTCTGTGGTTTAACCCACAGCGCCACCCGCATCCCTATCCATGTATAAGACACCTCCTAATTTTTGACATTATTTTTTAGGAAAAAAACCTAGTCTTATAAACGGAGAAATAAGGTAATTAAGCTAAGAAGAAAGCATGTGCAATGGACAACGTAATGCAAAGTAAGCAAGCTTGTGTATTATTCGAGCTCAGAATGTGTGTGCAAAAAACTGTGGGGAGCGGTGCATTTTGGCAGATGAAGGAATCAGAAAATTTCACTCCACTGTCTGCCCTCAGAGCAAGATAAGCAAAACCTTATTTTTCTCAACAAGCTCTGGGTTGTCCCTGGCCCTAAACAATGGAAAAATACGGTCTCCCAGCAACCTCCCTTGGACAAGATGTGGGGAACCCTTGGCACTCCAGATGTTGTTGAACTACAATTCCCATCAGCCCCAGCTAGCTGGCTTACTCTGAATTCAGGCACATATGGAGAATGGACTGTGGCTTCCTATGAACACAACCCTAATCCAAAACTTGAAGTGAGAGGACAAGCAAGGGGTGTGCTATCCACATACCTGAGGAAAGTAGCTTACGACAACAGTCTGAGAATCCAAAGAGAACAGCTAAGTGCAAGGGGAACATGTCATGGATCCCACGCCTGGCAAAACAAAAGAAAGAATTATTGTGAGAGAGAGAAAGAGAAACACACACACACCACCCAACATCAAGGTGGAAAACACAGCCAGCAGCAACACAGAACTAAGTTTCCGTGTCGCTAGCGCAATAATAATAAATAAATAATAATAATAATAAAATTTATTTATATCCTGCCCTCCCCAGCCAAAGCCGGGCTCAGGGCGACTAACAACAATAAAATAATACAACATTCTAAAATCATTTTATTATAAAATTCATTCAAATCAAATTGAAGATTGCAAAAGGAAGATTGCCAAAGGAGGGGGTCAGGCTGTGCCTTGGCCAAAGGCCTGGTGGAACAGCTCTGTCTTGCAGGCCCTACATGTCAAGTCCCGCAGGGCCCTAGTCTCTTGTGACAGTGTTCCACCAGATCAGAGCCACAGCCGAAAAAGCCCTGGCTCTAGTTGAGGCCAGCCTAACCTCTCTGTGGCCTGGGACCTTCAGGATGTTTTCGTTTCAAGACCGGAAATTCCTCTGTGGGACATACCAGGAGAGCCGGTCCCAGAAATAACCCCATTTCTGGGTGAGTATACAAAATGTACAAAATTTTCACTCTGCATGAAGCTAATAGTTGGTGAATTTGCAATCACTAATGTAGGGCAGGTGTTACTCCATACACACATGCACGAAAAAGGTTGAAAGCAGCACTCAACCATCCACCACTCTTTATCCAAAATGTGTGTGCAAAAGAGCGGTGGCTTGGTACACGCGAACTCGTAATTCATTACAACTGATCTGAAATGTGACCCACTGTATCTTCCTCCTGACTGATGCCACATTAAGAAGAAAAAGTCCTTGCCTTGCAGTATCAGCACCATTCGTCATCAAAGTACTAATTAGCAGCTCGTGGCCGTATCTAGCAGCAACATGGAGGGGGGTATTGCCATATTTGTCAGCGCAGTCAATCTCACTGCCTAGAAAAGCAAGCAGGATTCATTATTTACTTTGTTCTTCAAACTGACCAGAAGCAAGGGACAACTCTGGCTTGGCAGGAAGGGAAGTGAAATGTACTAGATCAGTGTGCCCATCAATACCTCCTCAAAAGGTATCAGTAAATATCCCTTCAAAAATCCCCAACGCACAGGAGACCACTTGGTCTCCCTGCTCAGTTCGTTTGCACTGGCTCAGCCTCTCCTAAACATGCCTTCTTCAACATATATATATATACTTATTCAAATATATAAAAAATACATGCCCATTACAAAGTATCTTTATATATATATTCTAAGCTAGTTAGTCTAAAAGAGAACAAAGTCAGAAGGAAGAAAATAGGAGAAACCCAAAGAAAGAGAAAACAGGAGAAAGGGAAAAGAAAAACCTAAGGAAAGATAATCTTTTCGATATGGCAGCCATTTTGTGGTATGCCACAACGCCAAGACAGCCATTTTGTGTAATGTTTCACTCCAATGGCAGCCATTTTGTGACTAATGCTCAAAGCACTTCTTCGAAATTCCAGCTGGCAACTCCTGTACTAGATCTGACAAGGAATGATTTTCAGTCCTTTTGGCTCTACTGCTAATGCCTTCGTTTTACTTTAAATAACTCACTTATATTTGGGGCATGACTTCAGAACAGTAAGGACATGAGTTAATCGTGGACCAACTGATGCTTCTGTAGTTCAAGGAATACTGTGAAAACCAAGGGGTTAGATCTGATTTTTATGGAACGATGTAATGCTTTCATTGTATTAAACCTCCTCACAGTAAACTGGACTTTGGTTTTGACTGCCGACCTCAGCGTAAGAAAAGAATTTGCTTAAATTATACACGAGGTAAACCATTGCAAGTGAAACAAAATACGTACATCTGAAATGTCTACAGGCACAACATTACTCTGCAAATTATAAGGAAGAACTGGGAAGGACTGCAAGGAATAGTGAATAACTCTGAAGGAAGACTGTTAAATATTAAGCATAAATACCGATGGGCGACTGAGAGCTTACCGTTTTGTATGAGAATTTGAGAGCGTGTAAACCGTCCGTGAATGGCAGCCATGTGCAAAGGACTCTTCCCTTCTTTACTCTGAAAACATCACAGCAAGTTAGCAAGTGGACATGTCCTGTTAACTACGATATAAATTTACTTTTAGTTCTCCCATCCTCGCTGAGACTCCCCAGCTCCTTCCCTCAAAGCCTGACCGAATCCTGACTTGAGTGCTCATACCTGAAAGTTCACGTCAGCTCCGTTGTTGACGAGAAGTTCCAGGCACAGGGCTCCGTTGGTGGAGACGGCAGCAAAGTGCAGGGGGGTGAAGCCCTTCTCATTGGGCTGATTGACATTGGCGCCGTAGTTGACCAGTTCATTGGCCACAGCATCCTGGCCCATGTAACAGGCAATGTGAAGTGCAGTGTTGCCAAAGAAATTTGGTTCATCAATCTACAAGGACAAGTGTGAAAAGGCAAGCATGTGAACGTGCTGTATCAATGCTGCACAGAGAGGGCTTGGTGAGAAAGAAGAGCAGCAACTACATTATTGGGCTGCCCAAGGCCACAGAAGCTCCTTCAAATACAGTGGTGCCCCGCAAGACGAACGCCTCACAAGAGGGAAAACCCCGCTAGACGAAAGGGTTTTCCGTTTTGGAGGCGCTTCGCAAAACGAATTTCCCTATGGGGTTGCTTCGCAAGACGAAAACATCTTGCGCGTCCCCGCGGTTTTTTTCCGCCCCCCCTTTTCCTAAGCCACCTATCAGCTGTTCCGCTGATAACCCGCTTAACAGCTGATCGCGAAAAGCCGCTAGACCGCTGTAGCGCTAATCTGCTAAGCTGTCAATGGGCTTGCTTCGCAAGACGAAAAAAACCGCTAGACGAAGAGAATCGCGGAACAGATTCTTTTCGTCTTGCGAGGCACCACTGTATAACAACAACAACAACAACTTATTATTTATACCCCGCCCATCTGGCTGAGTTTCCCCAGCCACTCTGGGTGGCTTCCAATCAAGTGTTAAAAACAATACAGCATTAAATATTAAAAACTTCCCTAAACAGGGCTGCCTTCGGATGTCTTTTAAAGAGAAGATAGCTGCTTATTTCCTTCACATCTGAAGGGAGGGCGTTCCACAGGGTGGGCGCCACTACCGAGAAGGCCCTCTGCCTGGTTCCCTGTAACCTCACTTCTTGCAATGAGGGAACCGCCAGAAGGCCCTCGGCGCTGGATCTCAGTGCCCGGGCTGAACGATGGGGGTGGAGACGCTCCTTCAGGTATACACTTGCTTCTTAGCCCAACCTACTGTGCTTGCCTGCTCACATTAACTTTTTATTCAACTTTTTATTTTTTCATTTATTTATTTTTGGGAAAAATAGATCGGCTAGCTAAAAGCAGCAGCAGCAGCAGGTATAAGCAGGGAGTTTGTTGAAGCTGGTATAAAACCTTGGGTTTCAATTAAAAGATAAGCAGTACATGCCCTTGCATACATATACCTTTTTCCAGCCTGTTGCACTGGTTGTGGAGACAGAATCCAGCAGGCATTAGAAATCACCGGTAAAATAACACCAAGACGGCAGTTAGCATCCACATACAGTTACTGCCAAACATTTATTTTTAAACACCTGTATCTTGAAAACTATGGAGAAAGCTAGAGAGTTCCAGAAAGACATCTACTTCTGCTTCATTGACTATGCAAAAGCCTTTGACTGTGTCAACCACAGCAAACTATGGCAAGTTCTTAAAGAAATGGGAGTGCCTGATCACCTCATCTGTCTCCTGAGAAATCTCTATGTGGGACAAGAAGCTACAGTTAGAACTGGATATAGAACAACTGATTGGTTCAAAATTGGGAAAGGAGTACGACAAGGCTGTATTTTGTCTCCCTGCTTATTTAATTTATATGCAGAATACATCATGCGAAAGGCTGGGCTGGATGAATCCCAAACTGGAATTAAGATTGCCGGAAGAAATATCAACAACCTCAGATATGCAGATGACACAACCTTGATGGCAGAAAGTGAGGAGGAATTAAAGAACCTTTTAATGAGGGTGAAAGAGGAGAGCGCAAAATATGGTCTGAAGCTCAACATCAAAAAAACGAAGATCATGGCCACTGGTCCCATCACCTCCTGGCAAATAGAAGGGGAAGAAATGGAGGCAGTGAGAGATTTTACTTTCTTGGGCTCCATGATCACTGCAGATGGTGACAGCAGCCACGAAATTAAAAGACGCCTGCTTCTTGGGAGAAGGGCAATGACAGGCCTAGACAGCATCTTGAGAAGTAGAGACGTCACCTTGCCAACAAAGGTCCGTATAGTTAAAGCCATGGTTTTCCCAGTAGTGATGTATGGAAGTGAGAGCTGGACCATCAAGAAGGCTGATCGCCGAAGAATTGAATTATGCTTTTGAATTATGGTGCTGGAGGAGACTCTTGAGAGTCCCATGGACTGCAAGAAGATCAAACGCATCCATTCTTAAGGAAATCAGCCCTGAGTGCTCACTGGAAGGACAGATCGTGAAGCTGAGGCTCCAGTACTTTGGCCACCTCATGAGAAGAGAAGACTCCCTGGAGAAGACACTGATGCTGGGAAAGATGGAGGGCACAAGGAGAAGGGGGCGACAGAGGACGAGATGGTTGGATAGTGTTTTCGAGGTTACCAGCATGAGTTTGACCAAACTGCGGGAGGTAGTGGAGGACAGAGGTGCCTGGCGTGCTCTGGTCCATGGGGTCACGAAGAGTCGGACATGACTAAACAACAATATCTTGAAAACTCGTATCGCAAGGGGGAAGCATTGTTAACACTGGGGCTACCCACATGCATTTCATGATGAAGATCCGTGTGACAAAGCTGCTTCCAGGTTTTTCCATATTGTTGCAATAATCTCCTCCCCTGCAGCACCTAACCTGTCTGAAACTATGCCTGCACATGTTTCAAAGTACAGGTACGCACTGTTAAGAGTACTGTCAGAATAAGCAGGAGCAGTGCCCACTGAGTTGGTAAAGCACTTGCCTCTACTCCAAGCCTCAGCAGGTGTTTCACAACCTCGATCTGGCCACTGGCTGCCGCCGTGTGCAGCAGTGTGTAACCCTTCTTGTCCTTGCACGTAACGTCAGCTCCTCGGGCCACAAGCAGCTTCAAGACTTCCAGATGCCCTGGGAGGAGGCAATGTACAAGCACAGATAGGTATAACAAACATAGAGAGGCAACACAGGCAAACACAGAGACAGCAATTGGAACAAGGCTTCCCACTCCCATACAGATCTGCTCCTTATGTTGGAAGCCAATGAAGGTAACATTGGGCTATAAGGAGGGATAAACCACTCCTGAATCCACAGAATCAAAAATTGCCACGCTTTTTGCAATATTTTGGCTGGTGCTAATAGTTATTGCCGAGCTGTGGATTTTGTTGCCTTAAAAGGTTGTCTGAGCCAATTCACGACGTTATAGACAGCCAAATGTGGTGATTTCTGCAAGATTTCATTTCTTTGTCCTGCCAGGAACTTCATGAGATCAGGAATCTTTCTCCCTCCTCCTTCCATGGACTGGGTGATAGAAAAAGCACCCAAAACGAGGATATTCGAATTTTAGATTTAGCGTCTACCATAAAATGAAAGATTTCAAACTTTTCTTCTCTGCTGCTCTGTGCTTAACAGCTTATGGGCAGATATAGAGGGCATCTGACGCAGGGACAGGGCTGCACACTGTGATCTATATGTTTTCCCTACTTGCCACTTCCATATATATTTATCTGCTCAACCTCTAGACTTACTTCAGGTTTCTATGCTTTGGCAGTCCATTTCTTTGACTGACACCTTTTGTTTTGGTGTTTTAAAAAAAGATAATGGCAGTTTAATTTGAGCACAGTTTTACATTATATAATTTCATAAACCAAAGCTGTGGCCCTAAAAGGGTAAATTGCAACCTGTGCACATTTAACTCGTTAACATTCAGCTTTACATGCTTGGCAAAAAAAAAAAAAAAGTAGAAAGAGTACAAAAGGGATGATTAAGCATGCAGCTTTCTTCTTTAATGTAGAAAAAAAGCAGCTCTCCCCTCTCCCCCCCTTCTTTTCTCAGCTGAAGCGCAAAAAAAGACTAATGAGGTGTTAATAGCTCTAGATAGTATGTTAATAGCTGCTGGTGTATCTTAATGACTGTTTGTGTGACTAGGTTCCCTCTGGGTGGAGATATCTTTGAATGAAAAGAAGCCTTCCCCTAAAGAGAACTCCTTCCATTAGGAGAAAAAGAAACAGAAGGTAGTCTTTAAGCAGCAGATTTAACAATCAATCATCATTCTCATCACCATAGCATATTGCGATGGCCTAACTCTTGAGGCGAATGAAGCAAGCACAATGAGTACAAATGCCCATGTGCCATTTTCAAAATGGTGCCCAGAGTTAAACCCATCCTTAAGCATTGGGAGGCACCACCACATCATGAGTTTGTACAGTGGTTGGCTCCTACTTGTGACTCCTGCTCACATGGAGTTCCCTCTGAAGTCATGGTCTCCATTTGCTATGTGCAAATGGCCACCCTGTTACTTGGTTTGACTCAGGCTCACCATATTGTGGAGTGACTGGGAAGCTGAGAGTGGTGCAACCCCAAAGGCATTTTATGTAACATTTTCTGAGCAATCAGGGCACATCGCGTATCTCTCATTAAAAGGCAAAGATAAAGAACTCCTGACAGTTAAGTCCAGTCAAAAATGGGGTGCGGCACTCATCTTGCTTTTCAGGCTGAGGGAGCCGGTGTTTGTCCACAGACAGCTTTCCATGTCATGTGGAAAACATGGCTAAACCATTTCTGGTGCAACTGAACACCATGATGGAAGCCAGAGCGCCGCAGCAGTACCTACCGTAGATTCCAGTGTATTAGGCGACTGGGTGTATAAGACGACCCCCCCAAATTGGCAACTGCCAATTTGGGGGATTGACTTACATGCCCAGTCTTGGCTCCAATATCCTGCATTCTTTGCTGGACATGTATTCAGAATATTTTTACATATAAGCTCCTCCTCAAAGATCCATGTATATGATTACAACACATACTCTCACTCTCATGTGTGTGATCACAACACACATGCTCTCTCTCACACAAACGAGAAATAGAGAGAGAGAGAGAGAGAAAGAAAGATCAGAGGGCCTGCAAAAGTAAGAGAAAAACATACCAAGGAAGGCTGCCCAATGTATTGGCTGTCTCTCCTTCTTGTCGCATGTGCTCAGATTGGCCCCTTTATTTAAGAGCAGGTTAACCATCTAAGAAAAGGTGGAGAGAAAAAGAGTCACAAACAGGAATTTTTATTTTTTTTACAAAAGCATGTCCATTTACTTAGAACTTCCTGCTGGTGCAGTGCTGCGGAATCAGCACCTGTCTCCTTGGGCTTTATTATTTACAGCTTTTTAAGGCAATCTCTGTACTGCTTAACATATGAAAATATATCTAAGTGATGTACAGGAAAATAAAACAAAAGCAACAGCGAATGTCACAGAAATAACAAATTAAGCCACATTAATGAGTAAATACAAATATAAATTCTGAGCCATTTCCCCACTCAACTCCTCTCTTCTTGGCACCTACTCATACACACTTTTCATGCACCACTGGCACACCTAACAGCAAACAGAAGCAGCAAGGGAAGGTCTAGGTTAGGTGATGCCCCAAAGACCACCTTTATTACATAAGAGAAATGTGTCCTCGACTGTGAGCCAGGTTTTATTTCTCAGCAAAGCTAGCTTCGGAAGGCAGATAAGCATGTAACTGCACCTCTGCCTGGCAATTAAGTAGGAAAGCGAGACTATACACAATCTGAAGACAGGGGCCAGCATTTTGAGCTTCCAAACAAAATGAAATTCTGGCACTTTTACAGCTGAGATTACCCTTTCCATCATTCTGTATGGTTTCCCTTATGGTTGGCATTTCTGGGGCAGCAGGATGTATCCAACAAGAGTCACACTCAGAACAGATCTGCTGATATTAATGGACATAACGGAGGTATATTAAATGCAATGGGTCATCTGTGAGCAGGACTCATGTTAGATACAACCCTGCATGCTGAACTTTTGTTCCTGTTTTGTTGTTGTGCAGGAAGGAAGGCTGAAATATATACCGTATTTTTCGCCCCATAGGACGCACCGGCCCATAGGGCGCACCTAGTTTTTTTGGGGGGGAATCAAGGGGGGAAATTTTATCTCCCCCCCCCCCCCCGCAGCCATCCCCAAGAGGGAGACGGAGCGCTCCGTCTCCCTCTTCTGCCTTCAGGGACAGCCTCCCTAGGGCAGCGGCTTGCCCCGTTGTCTCCTGAGCTTGTGGGGCTGGCGGTGGGGAGAAGCACTGCCAGCCTCCAAACCAGGTCGGGGAATAGCGGGATGGTGGCGCTCCGCCTCCCTGCTGTCCCCCGAGCTTGTGGGGCTGGCCGATATCTGCCCAAAGCCCAGGGTGTGCTCCGGAGCGTTTCCGGTGCTTCGGGCTGCCACCCGCAAGCCTTGCGAGCCCGGCGGGAACTCCTGCCGGGCTCGCAAGGCTTGCGGATAGCTTTCTGAAGCCTGGAGAGCTAGAGGGGTCGGTGCGCACCGACCCCTCCCGCTCTCCAGGCTTCAGCGAAAGCCTGCATTCGCCCCATAGGACGCACATACATTTCCCCTTCATTTTTGGAGGGGAAAAAGTGCGTTTTATAGGGCGAAAAATACGGTAGTTCACTCTTCTGTGCGCATCATCTGTGTTTGAAATACTGGTGGCGGGAGAAGAGGAACCACATTTTCTGAGAATCTTCTTTAAAGCTATAAGGACTAGAAACTTGTTTCTCTTCAAAAAGTGAAAGCACAGCCAGCAGGGTCCCTGTGACAACTGCTAGATTCTACATTATAGGCCATATGACAGGCTCCGGAGCACAAATGCAAGTATGCAACACCCTGAACATATTGCCCAAAGAGTTCCTGTCATCGTTCAGGGAGTCTGTAGGAGGAGCAAACGATCCCTTCTTGTGATTACAGGACCCTAAAGGTCAGAATTACAAACATATGTATCAACACCACTGCATCTGCTTCTGTGACTTGGTTGCATCTGCTCTTACATTGGTTTTTCAGGTGCTTTATTGTTTTTCAGGTGCTTTTGACGGTTTTTTAACATTTTCATTTTCTTCTTAATTGTATTCTTTTAATCAAAGAAGTCTTTGCCAACCTGGGCTTCTTTGGAAGGAAGTCAATAGACTAAATAAATATCAGGGGGAAGCAGGTTTTAGGAAGGGCCAACAAGGTGCACAAGCGGCAGAGGGGAGCTGAACTTGCTCCCTACCTGTTGCTTGTCTGCTGCCACCCAACTCTGACAGCCTGCTCTTTTTGCCTGAAGGCAAATCTCTCCTCCAAGAAACAAGTTTGAAACCGTGGGAGGAAAGAAGTGGCTTGCAAAGGGCGGGGTCGCACCAGAAAAGTGTCAAGCAGAAAGGTGTTTCCTCACAACAGCAGCAGCTACTCGAGTTTTACAGCGTGAGTTTTCCACGCAGTGTTGTTCTGTCTTAAGCCCCAAATGCTTTTCGGACTAGGACCCCCCCCCCAATTTCACTACTTATCCAACAGAGCTGGAATGCACAGAAAACCCTCCATGAAAAGAAGCGCACCCTTACCTCAATGTGCCCACTGTGTACAGCATGGTGCAGTGCTGTCCGGCCGGTGCGGTCTGCCACATTAACACTACTTAGCAGGGCGATGATGGCCTCAGCACACTTGGTGGCTCTGTTGGCAGCGGCAACGTGCAGTGGTGTTTGCCAATACTTGTCGCGAGCGTTGACGTCCGCAGAGTGCTTTAGGAGGAGGTTAAGTGCCTTCTGCCAGGGACAGAACACAGAGAGAAAGGTCTTTTTTAAAAGACTGCTTGAGCAAGGCAAAGAATCGCTAGAGGAATACAGTGGTTCCTCGGGTTACATACAATTCAGGTTACATACGCTTCAGGTTACAGACTCCGCTAACCCAGAAATAGTACCTTGGGTTAAGAACTTTGCTTCAGGATGAGAACAGAAATTGTGCTCCGGCGGCGCGGCAGCAGCGGGAGGCCCCATTAGCTAAAGTGGTGCTTCAGGTTAAGTACAGTTCCAGGTTAAGAACAGACCTCCGGAACGAATTAAGTTCTTAACCCGAGGAACAAGCTGCATGGCAGAACTGGAATTTTAAAACAAAGCTAACCTAAAACACTGCAGAATCTGCTGCTGGGAAATATCAGAAGGACCAAGAGCATCCTTTCATGAGGCACTACAAGTTGCAGTGATCTAGAAGAGCTAAGCAGGGGCACAATGAGGAACCCCACGAAAGCTGATGGCCGAAAGAGGAGCCAACACTGTAAGGCACAACTCAATATATCCCTCATCATATTACCAATTCCTTCTCTCCTTCATCTTCTTAACCCTGCGAGGCTCAAAAAGCCCCAAACCAGGGTAGAACATCTGGGAAGTTAAGAAATCAGGTCTTGGTGTCAATTATTGGCTGGTCTGCTGGTGGCAAAGAGTTTTAAGTATTACAGGCACCTGCAATATGCAGAATATTAAATAAAGCACCTGAATTGATACAACAACTAAAAGGGCAATAATGTGAAACGGTCTCCTTTTGCCCCAATTCCCAAGGTGCCAAGAATGTTCGGATTCATACTTTCAGTGTGTCAAGCCTTCGAGCTGAAATGAGATTAGTCTGAATTCTAAGGAAGTCTTCTCTCTAAAAGCAGCTTACTGTCAGGTCAAAGCTTCAAGATCTAGACAGCTAGGGCGAGAGTGTTAGAGACTACCAGAGAAGAGGGTAGGGAGGCAGCAGCAAGGGTTCATGTGAGGTGCGGGCAGGAGATGAGAACCCAGCCAAGAAGGGCTTTAGATCCAAGGCCTCACAAACACAGCAGCTGGCTTGGTTTCAATAATATGCCCACGCTGCCTGGTATAGGATTACAGCCAACAAAGTAACTGTGCAAGCAGAAGGACATCCGCTCATGCAATGCGACTTCTGCCACATCAGCTCTGGGTTTTCCTCTAACGCTCCAGAGCAGATTTGGGGAGCGTCCGGAAGAGAGGGAGAGTAAGACAGTTTTCTCTGGTTGGGGTTGCACTCCCATGGAAGGAGCAGGTTTGTAGCTTGGGGGTAACCCCTGGATCCAACATTGTCACTTGAGGCTCAGATGACCTTGAGGACTGGGCCTTTTTTCAGCTACACCCCCTTTTGGGAAGTGAGGACTTGCTCATAGTACTCCATGCTCTGGTGGCTGTGGAATTCCCTCCCCACAGAGATGCATCTGCCACCTTCACTATACAGCTTTCAGCAAATGTTGAAGATCACCTGTTTACACCTGAGAACTGTGTTTTTAAGACCCACCCTATTTCTGTGGCTGTAATTTGTTTTAACTGTTTTTAATACAGTGGTACCTTGGCGCTCGAACAGCTTAGTTGTCGAACAAATCGGCTCTTGAACGCCGCAAACTCGGAAGCACTATTTCTGGGTTAGCGGAGTCTGTATGTATGTAACCTGAAGCGTATGTAACCCGAGGTACCACTGTACCTGTACAGTGGTACCTCGGGTTACATACGCTTCGGGTTACATACGCTTCAGGTTACAGACTCCGCTAACCCAGAAATATTACCTCGGATTAAGAACTTTGCTTAAGGATGAGAACAGAAATCGTGCTCTGGCGGCACGGCAGCAGCAGGAGGCCCCATTAGCTAAAGTGGTGCTTCAGGTTAAGAACAGTTTCAGGTTAAGTCCGGAAGTCCGGAACGAATTAAGTACGTAACCCGAGGTACCACTGTAGTAGCAATGATACTACTACTGTACAAGCATGTAATTTTGCTCACATAATCACTTTGTCGGATTCAACCCATACAGTTTGCTGAAGCCACCATAGGAGTTCCTCGTTCTCTCTCTGGTGACTTCTAGAGTGATCCTGCCGCTAAGTAAGGAAATATACCACAGTCTCTCCTCGCTGCCTTACAAACTCAGGAGTAGGAACCACCCACCCTGCCCCTGGAAGTCAAGCATCAATAAAAATGCTGACGCTTTTCTGAAGCAAAGAGGTGAATTAATTGAGCCAGCTTAAGTGGTGCTTCTCGGCTGCTGGAAATGGCCTGAAGCTGTGAGGTCAGCAGGAAAAGGCAATTACACAAGTTAACAGACTCTGCTGAGGAACAGCGGAAGCTTTTCCAGGAGGACAGTCTCTTGGGAGCCCAGTCTTTGTGCAATTAAGGGCATAAAACTTACTCCACAATCATCTGTACAAAAAAAAAAGCGACTTTCTGCTTTTACAGAGAAATATAGCAACACATTACAACAGCACCCTTAGGATGAAAAGCTGCTCTATTATCAAGTTATGGATGTTATTCTACTCACGGCAATGCAAACTTCTCTACCTCTGAATTAATGTAGCAGCGTGTAAGATAATACATCAGTTAGGAAAGGGGTGGCATTTTCTACAATGCTGTGTCAAGAACAGACTGTGATAATAATATCAAATATATAAAAGAATGAATGGGTTACGGTATTTTTCGTATACAGTGGTACCTCGGGTTACATACGCTTCAGGTTACACACTCCGCTAACCCAGAAATAGTGCTTCAGGATAAGAACAGAAATCGGGCTCCGGCGGTGCGGCGGCAGCAGGAGGCTCCATTAGCTAAAGTGGTGCTTCAGGTTAAGAACAGTTTCAGGTTAAGTACGGACATCCGGAACGAATTAAGTACTTAACATGAGGTACCACTGTATTTGCATATATATATATATATATATATATATATATATATACACACACACAACACACACCTACTGTATATATTCCTACACATTTTTGTGCCTTTTTATTTTTCTTTGTATCAGTTTATTTCTTTATAATTGAAACCTTTTCAATAAAATATTAATACCAACATTTTATTTTATTTTTTAAAAAAGAACAGTCTGAGAGAAAATTAAGGCAACTTTAGTTTACTGCACTATTTAGATCACTGAGTGTGCATGTGCGTGTGTGTGCGGGCAAAAGGGAGCTTCCACATCCATGCATTCTGCGCAAATCTCCATTCCTAATCCTGCTAAAAATGCTCACTGGGAGCAGCCTTGTCTCTGTGACACAGGGCCAGATTAGGTTCATAACGCATTCAGCTTGGGCAGAAATTGCAGATCTTGGCACTCTGGGATACAGAATATTGATTTATGACTTTAAAGTAAACCAGTGAAGCCTTGCAAACAAGTGTACAAAAGTTACTAACCTTATTTTCTACACAGTCCTAAATTAGCTGTTTTTGGACAAAAAGTTGGGAGTGGGGAGAGGAGCAGCTTTTACTGAGCTTTCCTGCCTGGTCACCTGATCCTTTCTCTGCACCAGGTGACAAGCCTAGACTAACTTGTCCAGTTATAGGGGACAGTTTCAATTTGTACAGCTCAGGCATATGGACAGGATCCGTGGAAGGGTGAGGCCTACCTATGTGTGTGCTCCACACTTGCCCTTCTTGGCTTATAATAGCTGCCAAGGGAGCTGACCGAGCAAGGGCCCTAATGTCTTTTAAGAAGCTTCCTTGAACCTCATCATATTGGATAATTTCTCTTGCCTGTCCCCAACACTCCATTTCTGGGCAAGACGCCTGAGTTTGTGAGTGGCATCACATTCCAGGTAGGCGAGGTGGATTATTTAGATCCATTTCAATCTTACTTCAAGTCTGATTATGGGACTGAGGCAGATTTAGTCACCTTAGTGGGCTATATACACCAGGAATTGGCAGAGGGGATATCTCTCTGTTGGTTCTGCAAGACCATCTAGGCAGCTTTCAATACCATCAACCCTCGTAATCATCTGACTGGGACAGGATTTGCAGGCTTCATTTTGTGGAGTTCCAGGGGTGGTTCTGCTGGGGGATTCCTGTTAGACCCCTTGGCCAATGTCCTAGTTCCATCTTGTACCCAGTTCTATTTAGCATCCACATTAAACCACTAATTTTTAGGGCTTGGTGTCACCAACGTACTAATGATACCCAACTCTCTCTCTCCTTTCCATCAAATTCCAGGGAAGCCGGTCCATGTTTTGAATTGGTAATAGACAAGAGTAAAGGTAACAAATTGAAGCTTAATTCAGACAAAATAGGCATTCAGTAGAAATGCTGACTATGGAATGGGGGTTATGGAACGTAACACACTATCCTGTAATTTCCCTCATTCCAGCAAACTTCAAGGACCGGTAACTCTGACTTCATACTCTTTTCAGGTACACAACTGATTTTTCCATCCATTTTAATTAAAGGGGAGGGGGAAGGTACTGGCTACAGCAATCGGAAATCTGAGGGACAAAAGATGTAGCAGGACCTCTTCTCACTTGAAACTTACTCAGCTACATTAAGTCACAACAAGGCCCACAAAGATGGACTGCAAGGAAGGCAACAGGTCTCGTTCCACCTTTCACGATTTAGGTAACACTTGTTTGCAGACATTCAAGATAGCTGCTGGTTTTCATTGTGACCCAGGGTAAGCACTGGCATATGAAGGGGGAAATGAAGTTGCCCAAAGGGTGGCTATAGGAGGGCCCTATGAGAAAGAGCATCTCCTTTGCCACTTTAACAGGATGAATGAAAACAGGTCAACGGAACTAGTACCTACCTCATTGCGAGAAGCTGCAGCACGGTGTAACGGGGTTAGCCAAAGGGTGTCCTTTGCATTAACGTTAGCACCTGCCCAAGGCGGATAGGAGAGATAAAGCAAGATCTTATACTGACGAAAAGCATCCCTTGTCCCTGCACCCAATATTAGAATCCATTTATCCCCTTAAAATGCAATCCTAACCATGTTTTACTCAGAAGTATTGCTGAATTCAATGGGGCTTGCTTCCTGGTAAGTGGAGCTAGGATTGTAGCCATTAGCTCACCATGTATTTGCAGATATGGGTCTCACTTGTTTTGCAACAAAAATGGCAGCAGACAGATTAAGAGGAAGAGAACATTGGCACTGTATTCAGAAAATGCCCACCATTCAAAAAGCTAAGCTGCAAATAAGTTGTGCACATATTGATTGTACTATTCCTTAGACTGAAGAGCATGGTATTATCAATACCTCAAGGTTGATGTTACGTTGGCCTCCTGAACTGTACAAAATCCAGTCTCACTTCCACTAACTTTAACTTTGCAACTGATAAAGGCAGTCCAGTTGTTTAAATGAAAAGAACCTCTGACTCACAGAACTTTCTCACAAGGACAGAGATGCAAAATTCTTCTTAACGAAAGATACCGTGTTCAGAAGCCATGCTTAAACATGCTTGAAAAGGAAGAATAATTAGTTTGTACAAGTAGGATCACACAATTTAGTGTCCCAATCCTCATCGAAAGAGAAATATCTGAAAACCGGCAGCTTTCAAAAACTAGCACTTGTTTTAAAATTATATACCATCAATAGCCAACTTCTTCCGTGACCATTAACTTGGAGACATTTAGCATATGCGTTGAGAACCATCTGTGCTGGCTTCACTGTCCAGAAAGCCAACTCTGCCCTGCAATCTACACAGGAAGAGTTACAGTGGATAGAGCTGTCTGTTTCAAAATAGCTTCCCTGAATTCGAACGTTTCCATAAATCTTTGCTGCTGCAGAATCATGACTCCAATAATATTACTAGTAGCAATCTGCTAACTTTAGCACTTTTAATATGAAAGCACTTTATGATCCTCTCATTCATTCTTGTGACTGTTTAAATTGTAGATCATTATAATTCCTGCCTTAAAGGCCTGTTAACAGAGGATGAGCAATAGCAATTTGCCTGAAGCTGGAGCTGAACATGGAATATAAAGCTACCACCCCAGTTTAAAGTCAGCGCTCTCAACTGCAGGACTGCACAGGATCTATCAGTGTTACTCGATCCTCTCTGTGACTCTGCCCCCCTGACAGTTTAGGCAGTGATATATACAAGTCTGCACCAAACTGCCACCAGGAAGAGAAGGTTTTCTTTTTCTATTCAGCAAATGCCCTGAAGCTGCTAGACCTGACCTCCTTCACCTCTTATCAACCAGAACATACACCTTCACTCCTTACCTGATAGTATTAGGAGTTCAAGAATAGGGGCGTCTCCCACGTATGCAGCTGCATGCAAAGGGGTTCGTCTCTCTTGGTCCTGGTTTGGGGAAACACAACAGAGATAAATGGAAGGTGTTAAAGTGGAATCTAAAAGCCATGGGAGGAATCCAGCATAGCACCACGGCAATTGTTTCATCAGTGCAATGGTTTGTGCTTGTGCAACAGAACATTCGCCTCCTCCCCTTCCCCTGTTCCAGAGGGTTGAGGGAAACCCCTAGAACAGATTCAAGGGAATATGTGGAAGTCCCATTGTGCAATGGGACCAGCTACTAGAATACTGAGGGATGCGGGTGGTGCTGTGGGTTAAACCACAGAGCCTAGGACTTGCCGGTCAGAAGGTCGGCGGTTCGAATCCCCGTGATGGGGTGAGCTCCCGTTGTTCGGTCCCTGCTCCTGCCAACCTAGCAGTTCGAAAGCACGTCAAAGTGCAAGCAGATAAATAGGTACCACTCCAGCGGGAAGGTAAACGGCGTTTCTGTGCGCTGCTCTGGTTCGCCAGAAGCAGCTTAGTCATCCTGGCCACATGACCCGGAAGCTGTCTGCGGACAAATGCCGGTTCCCTTGGCCAATAAAGCGAGATGAGCGCCACAACCCCAGAGTCGGTCACGACTGGACCTAATGGTCAGGGGTCCCTTTACCTTTACTAGAATACTGTTCCATGCTGTTGTTGCCATCTAATCTTTTCAGTCTATAGACCAATTACCTTGATGTGCTGAAATATGTAGCAATATATCTGAGCTTATCTATCCAGTGACAAATTGAACCTTAAGACCTTATATAGGAAAAGTTGTGCAAAGACAAAGTAGCCAAAATTTTAAACCTGGTTGTTAACCCACGGCATTACCGACTGCAACCCTCAAAACGTTTCTGCCACAAGCCATGAAAGTTTGCTTAAAGAGTGGATCACCTTCAGCCAGGAGCAACTGTACACCCTGTAAGAAGAAAATCCGTATGCCTGTTCTGCCCCACTGCTTTTCCCCAGTAACAATGGAAGGTACACTGGCTGGTCTGCTGGATCTCACTTGCTGATCACAGTGACATGACCTATGTAGGATACTGATTCAAAAAGCCTGCACTGCATTCGAATTTGATTGACTATTCTTAACTGCTGCCAAGTTAAATGAGCTTAGTAAACTCAGATATATTGTTGGAGGATTTATTCATCTAACTTTTGCTTTGGTTGCTTTTAATGAGTCTCACAGATAGCTTAACTACAATGATGATAATTTATACTCTGCTCATCTGAATGGGTTGTTCCAGCCACTCTGGGCAGCTTCCAACATAATAAAAGCATAGCAAAAAGATCAAACATTAAAAACTTACAACCACCAAATAATAATAATTTCTCTTGCCTGTCCCCAACAGCTGCCAGATGCAGCTTTGTCATGCTGGCCACGTGACCCGGAAGTGTCTCCAGACAGCGCTGGCTCCCGGCCTCTTGAGTGAGATGAGCGCACAACCCCAGAGTCTGTCAAGACTGGCCCGTACGGGCAGGGGTACCTTTACCTTTTTAAGATGCATTGACATGTCAATCATTGCCATCAGGGCTACACAAATTGGTAGATCCCAGAAAAAAATCCAGAAACTTCAAAAAGAAACATAACAAAAAAGCTCTCACACATAGCTTGAAATGGAAAAATGGAAATGAGAATAGAAATGGCATGTGAACTCCTCTTAAGGAGTATCTTCTCCTTCAGGATGACTAGCGAAATGCTTTTGAAAGCAGTGCTTTAAAATGATACAAAGCCAATTCACATTGCTGCATATATCTTAGACCCAAGACTCAAAGGCAGCAGTACATGGCTAGAGGGAATGTTGATGCAACCATCTTGCTAAACTTAAGTAGGTCTGGGTCTGGTTAATGCTAAGATGGGAGAATATCTGGAAACCTCATGTACACATTCAGTCCCATGATGGAAGGACGGTTGACTATAAATAAGTAAACAAATGTTAGTGATTATAGCAGCACCACTACAATTGATTGGATTACAGTGGTACCTCGGGTTAAGTACTTAATTCGTTCCGGAGGTCTGTTCTTAACCTGAAACTGTTCTTAACCTGAAGCACCACTTTAGCTAATGGGGCCTCCCACTGCTGCCGCGCCGCCACACGATTTCTGTTCTCATCCTGAAGCAAAGTACTTAACCCGAGGTACTATTTCTGGGTTAGTGGAGTCTGTAACCTGAAGCATATGTAACCTGAAGCGTATGTAACCTGAGGTACCACTGTATTAAACAAACAATACACCTTAAGGCTTTTAAGCAATCTCAAATGCCGTGGTAAACAGAACAAGAAGGAATGCAATCAGATTTGGATGACTGTCTCACTCCTGCAACATGGTAAGGCCTTTATACAGTGGTGCCTCGCAAGACGAAATTAATTCGTTCCGCAAGTTTTTTCTTCTTGCGAGTTTTTCGTCTTGCGAAGCACGGTTTCCCATAGGAATGCATTGAAAATCAATTAATGCGTTCCTAGGGAAACAGCTTGCCAGGCTGGCGGTGCGGAGAAGGGCTTTTCTCCCCACCGCAAGCCTTCAGGACAGGTATGGGAACAGAGGGGAAGGCGCGCAGCGCTTTCCCTCTGTTCCCGGGGCTTGCGTGGGAGGAGGGTTTTTCCTCCCCACCGCCAACATTCAGAACAGCATTCTGAATGTTGGCGGTGGGAAGGGAAACCCTCCTCCACCCCAAGTCTCGGGCGGCGGAGGCAGCGTTCCCGGTCCCCCCGCCCGGCTTCGGTGGCGATGCTCCAAAGCCGCGCGGAGGGAGGAGGAGTCCCCGCCCCCCGCCCGGCTTCGGAGCGATGCTCCAAAAGCCGCGCGGAGGGAGGCAGCGTTCCCGGTCCCCCGCCAGGCTTCGGTGGCGATGCTCCAAAGCCGCGCGGAGGGGAGGTGGAGTTTCCCGCCCCCCCGCCCGGCTTCCGTGCGATGCTCCAAAGCCGCGCGGAGGGAGGCAGCGTTCCCGCCCCCCCCCCGCCCGGGCTTCGGTGCGATGCCTCCAAGGCCGCGCGGAGGGAGGAGGAGTTCCCCGCCCCCCCGCCCGGCTTCGGTGCGGATCCTTCCAAAGCCGCGCGGAGGGAGGAGGAGTTCCCGCCCCCCCGGCCGGCTCGGTGCGATGCTCCAAAGCCTCGCGGAGGGAGGAGGAGTTCCCGCCCCCCCGCCCGGCTTCGGTGCGATGCTCCAAAGCCGCGCGGAGGGAGGAGGAGTTCCCGCCCCCCCGCCCGGCTTCGGTGCGATGCTCCAAAGCCACGCGGAGGGAGGAGGAGTTCCCGCCCCCCCGCCCGGCTTCGGAGCATCGTTCCGAAGCCGGGCGGCGGGAGGAGGTCCGAGGACAGTGGGGAAGTCGCGCTTCCCCGCTGTCCGGGAGATTTCCCTATGGGCTGTCGTCTTGCGAAGCAAGCCCATAGGGAAATTCGTTTTGCGAAGCGCCTCCAAAACGGAAAACCCTTTCGTCTAGCGGGTTTTCCGTCTTGCGAGGCATTCGTCTTGCGGGGTACCACTGTATAATGTAAGAGTAGAAAAAGAGGGAAACCCCAGGCAAATGGGGGGGGGCAGGGGGAGAGTAAAGGGGTAGAATAAACCATTTGATGTTCAAAAGTTTATAATCCAGTGCATTTCTGACCCATCAGGTCCTCCCTCAGAGAATTTCAAAATTTCGATCTAATTTTTTAAAAAAATATTATTTTATTAATAAAATATTCTACTTTCTTCTTTTAATAAAAGTTTAATCTATTCTTAGAAAACGTTCCCCACCCCTGGGTTAGAGTATAGCAGCTGAGCTGAACTGAGCTGAGCACTAAAAGAGAGGCTGAAATTTCCAACAAACATCTTCAAACTATTCAGGACACTTGGAAGAACGACTCCCTCAAAGACAAAGCAAGGTTGTTCTGGATGTAGACCTTGCTACTTCATTTGCTTCTAAACTTCATGCCCCAAACAATCAAATCCTAAGAGCAAGGCAAACAGCTCTGATAAGGCATACAATCAAGGCTATCAAAAGGCAGGAAGCACCACTTAGATTCTGTATCAAATCAACTAGCATTTGGCCTTTGGGTTTGGTGCCAAGTGCTTGGCATTAACTGCTCAGAAGGATATCAGTGCTCTAAGGCCAAATGATCAAATGCGTAAAGTGTTAAAAGGACACAGCCCCACACTTAAAAGTCGAAGCCAATTTGAATCATGGATTGTTGAGTCCTGAACTACTACTACTACTATTATTATTATTATCATTATCATCATCATCAACAACCTGCTTTTCACCCCTATGGTTCCAGAGGCATCTCTCTCATTTTTAAAAAGAAAGAAAAAAGAGTAAGTGAAAAAATAAAAAAGAGCAAGAAAGTCTGGCAATCAAGCCAAACCTAAATTTCATTTCTCAGCTGCAGAACGACTGATTTAGAAAACTGTGCATCAGCACAGATGAGCTGATCCATTCCAAGCAACTCTATTTATTTTTTAATTCTTAGCTACTTAGGTCCCTCTAAGTGTGTTAGAGTGCACAACCAAGTGCACAACCAAGATCAGAGGAAAGCATTTAACCCTCATTCTGCAATCTTAAGCACAAGAACACTAGTTCTATAAATTTAGTGGAACTTAGAAGCAAATATAATTAGGACCAAGTTGTAAATCATTTTTATTCCAGGGTGCACTGATAGGGAAATATCACACGAGTTGCTTTCCAAGTAATTTCCTCCCAAGTTTTTAATCAATAGACCAAAAGCAGGGTGACCATACAAAAAAATAGGGGGGCATACCCCTGAATATCTAATGTTTTATTATTACCAACTAGAATGAACCACTGCCAAGTATCAGTTACTGCTATGGTCATCCCCAATAATAAGAAGTAGAAAATATGTGAGCTAACATTTATCAGAACTTCTGTTGGGGGAAATCAAAACAAGCTTTCAGAACTTCAGAGATCATCTTTAGGTACTTCATCAAAATGTACCAAGAATTTGAATTCAGGTACTGTGTTTGAAGTGAACTATAGCTCTTGAGCTTAACCGACTCATGCTGTCATCTGTGGCACAAGTTTAACAACTAACAGATAAGACCCCTACCTGGAAATTAGACACACCAGACTCAAAATATAACTGGCATATTTATTACATTGTAACACACTCCAGCGACATCAAGCTTAGCCGTCTCCATCAGATACAGGAAGTTTTGGGATCAGGCCAGGATCAAATTTTGAAAAAAGGGAGCAACAGAGGAGGCACAACAGAGGTTTCCAAAATAATGAATAATATGCAGAGAGGGGGTTGTGTTCAGTGAAGTCACAGTTCTGAATTTAAGTTACTCATGTTCATTAACTTCAAGGGGTCTACTCTGAGTAGAACTAGCATTGAATACCACCCAGAATGTTTCCTTCTCTGAAAATGTTAGAACCGGAGATTGCCCAATGACTAATAATAATAATAATAATAATAATTTATTTATACCACACCCATCTGGCAGGGTTTCCCCAGCCATTCTGGGCGGCTTCCAACGGAACATTAAAATGCAATAGTCTATTAAACATTAAAAGCTTCCCTAAACAGGGCTGCCTTCAGATGTCTTCTAAAAGTCTGGTAGTTGTTCTTCTCTTTGACATCTGGTGAGAGGGCATTCCACAGGGCGGGTGCCACTACCGAGAAGACCCTCTGCCTGGTTCCCTGTAACTTGGCTTCTCGCAGTGAGGGAACCTCCAGAAGGCCCTCGGCGCTAGATCTCAGTGTCCAGGCAGAACGATGGAAGTGGACACGCTCCTTCAGGTATACTGGACCGAGGCCATTTAGGGCTTTAAAGGTCAGCACCAACACTTTGAATTGTGCTCGGAAATGTACTGGGAGCCAGTGTAGGTATTTCAAGACCAGTGTTATGTGGTCTCCGCGGCTGCTCCCAGTCACCAGTCTAGCTGCCCCATTCTGAAGACAAATGGAAGGACTTTGCACAGTGTATACATTGAATTCACTCCCTCAGGATATACTGATAGTCCCCCAACTTGGATGGGTTAGACAAATTCACAGAGGATAATGCTATCAATGGCTACTAGTCACGATGGTAAATGTGTTGTTGGCATCTGTCAGTCTCAAGAGACAATGGAGATGAGTACAGTACTGTAAAGCTCAACAGTGTGGTTTCATTTTCAGCCTGAGAGCCAATAAAAAGTATCATCTTTCTCAAAGTGCAACAAGGATTCATTTAGCTCAGCGCACTCGCTTGGTCACCTGGATTTATGTGCTTTGCTGGCAGTGTATCTGCCATCTATGTGGCACACTGTGACTTGGATGGGGGGGGGTGAGGACTGAACTAGTCCAATGTGAACTATTGGGAGAGTTTGTTTGTCACCTATTTCAAGAGGCAGCAGACTATATCCTGCCCATCAGGGATCTGCCTAATAATAGGTTGTTACCATTAACATGGTAAACAGTTGCCAATATTCTCATTTTCATTTTGTAGATTGCATGTCGCTAGTTTGACCTCATAAAGCACCACTTTTCATTTAACTCTACCCCCTCCACGCACACCCAAGTCATCTACTGACATCTTTGCCCCTAAATAAAAGGCAATCATGCAGCCGCATCAGCCTTTTCTTAGTTGTAGGAAACATGAAGGTTTACATGTTACAATAAACCAGGGCTGCTGGCTATCCTTATTGGAATGAACACTGAGTTGCAGCATGTTATCCAAATACTCCTCCTTTACTCCTCTCCGGCACGAGTGGCAGAAACAAACCAGGAAGCCATAATTAAGCTTGGTTTTCCATGACGTTTGAATCTTGTACTGTGGTTTGTTTTTTACCTAACGAGCCGGGGGGGGGGCACCTCATTTTATGGCTGGCTGACAATCCTGGCTTGTTAGGAAAATACAAACCACGATCCCAAGTTCAGATATTGCAAAAAGTCAAGCTTAATTGCGGCTTCCTGGTTTGTTTCTTCCACTTGTGCCAAGGGTGGAATAAAGAGGGAGAAATCCCTCTGCGTTCCCGAGCAACCAGCAGCCCTTGGCTATCAACATGTGTCAACGCACCAAGTCCTCCTCTAATACTTTGTTGTAGAATTGCTCACAGTTAGGAGGAAGTTTGGTTTGGCCCCTCGCAGTAGCAAGATTTTAAAGCAGATTTTCCTAAGGGATGCTCCTTAAATTCAATTGTTAGAACACTCTGAAACTTGGGTGTCCAGAACAGAACAAATGCAATCCAAAGGAGATCCTACTAATTGCTTAAACCATCTTATTATCCTACTGGAAATATGGCCCAAATATGTATAATCTGCTTTGATGAGTATTCTTTACCAGTTCATCAAACTTGCTGCTCATGTGCTCAAACACCCAAGACTCTAGATTTCTCACATTCCTGAGTCTGGGCTACTACTGATATGTTCTGGAGACAGCCTAAGATGCATTTAATTGGCACACCTCCTGGTTTGCTCCAAACACTAAGAATTTCACCTTCTCACACAAAATCGGCTTATAATAGGCCTATATCAAATGCACCTCAGCTGAATGAGCTACGATGAAATGAAGAGCCAATTACTGTTTCGTGGGCTAGACAAGAACAAGATGAACACCACTGTAACACAGGCTGTTCTCACTCCGAGGCCACAAGACTAATCCAGAACACACTTGGTGCCAAAGAGAACAGCTGATCCCAGTGCCACCCACCGCTCTGTACAGCCAGACTAATACATCTGGTACAGCCGATTCCCAACAAAGTCAACATTTACGGGTGATGTGTGGGCCTTTCAGCCCTGTATACCAATTCGGTGTCTGCACAGTACTTCACAGTCTGTATCTGTCACCGCAACAACCCTGTGTTCACCAACATTCCCATTTTACAAATGGGAAACTGAGGTCCAGAGATGAAAACTGGGCAATAAACTCACCAAGAGTGTGACTAAGTTGGATTCCAAACCCATGTCTGTCAAAGACCAATATCCAGTCACTGCACCACAATGGCAAAACATCAAATAGTTAAAACAAACATTTAAGCTTGCTAAGCTGGGAAACTTTAGTAGATGGGTTGCCAACATTGCACCTGCGGGCACACCAGCACCTGCAGAGGCCTTACCCAGAGCCACAATTTTTAACTACTCTGCCCCTCAACCTGCTGAAATTATTTTATTATTATTTATTAAATTTATATCCTGCCCTTTATACACATCAGGGCAGTTCACAACATAAAATTACAATTAGGCTTGAAATAAACCAGCAGTGGTTTTTAAAGCCTAATTGCTAAAAGAAGGGGAGAGTGATTGCATGTGTGTGACTGCAATGTGCACACAGGTATAGTTTGTGAGTGTATGGTATCCACAACAGCTTTGCTGGTTTGCAAATGTGTCCATGGGCCCAAAGATGCTTCCAACCCCTGCTTTAGCACATCTAGTTCTTAAACACAAATTCTAAAAGGGACACATAGTACATGGATCGATTCGTACTTCCCTGCTCTACCCACAAGGTGTGTGTGGTGGTGAGGGAAGCTTAGCCAAAAGGAAATTGTAATCTTCACGCAAAGTTGAAAGAAGCAGGTTCAGTATTACAAGGAAAAACTGGTTCTCCAAAACTTACCAGTACATTGATATTCTCCTTCTGGCTCAGCAATGACCGTACTTCCTCTATATCACGATTAAAGATGGCTTGGACCAGAGGAGGCTATAAAGGAGGAGAAAAGAGCAACTGTAAAATAAGCAGGATGAGAAAGGGAAGTTATGTGCTAGCTTATTATTTCATTTTTTCCCATCTGGATCTTTGTTATTTTTACATACAGGTAACTCCGTTTGCGCAGAGGTTGCACCCTGGGTCATTATATGCATCGGCAGAGTGTGCATAAGCCCACACCACCCCCTTCTGGGGCCGAAAACGGCGCATGCATCAATGGTCATGCGCCAATTGAACATGTGCAAAATGGCTGTCCCCTGTACTTGTACAGTGGTGCCTCGCAAGACAAAATTATTTCGTTCCGCAAGTTTTTTCGTCTTGCGATTTTTTCGTCTTGCGAAGCACGGTGTCGGGAAAGTTTTGGAAAAGCTTCAAAAATCACCAAAGTCTTCAAAAACCTCAAAAAAGGCTACCACACCGCGTGCTATGAGTTGCTCCTCGAAGTCAAGTCGCAAATGTATTAACGGTTTTAAGAAAAAGGAAACAAACTTGCAATACGTTTCCGTCTTGCGAAGCAAGCCCATAGGGAAATTCGCCTTGCGAAGCAACTCAAAAAACCAAAAACCCTTTCGTCTTGCGAGTTTTCCGTCTTGTGAGGCATTCATCTTGCGAGGTACCTCTGTATTCCCTTGTTATATTGTGAGCCCCTTTGTGTAAAATGAGGCCTTGAAAAGCAGCCTCTGGGAGCTCATAACCAGGACTTCTGAGGGTATTTTGAAGGAGAGGCCTGGAGTGCTGTCTCATGGTATACATAGGACCAAGACATGTGGACGGCGAGGGAATTGCTGCGGTGACTTGCAACACCTGTACCATGTTTGTCTTCCTACCTGAGAATGTGCAACAATGCAAGCTGGTTGCCTTGCTGGAAGAGAAGGTACAACGACTTGAGGCCTGCCTTTTCACACTTTGAGCTACTGGGCAAGATGAAAAATTTCTCGCTAGAGCAGAGTGGCCTGGGAACAGCGACAAAGGTGGGGTGCCCCTAGGGAGGAGAAAGACTGCCCACAGCAGGAGACAAACCCCTGGAGGAACATGGCACACAGAAGCAGGACTGCCAGGAGCCATGCTGTGTCACTAGAGCTGCAAAATCAATGCCATGCCCTCACCCCAGACACAGATTTTTGGGCCAGAGGCTTGCAAGAGTGGTGAAAAATAATTTTCAAAGGTTTCTTCAGCTGTGCTTGAAGCAAGTAATAGGTCCTTTGTGTGAAGAAGACGGAGAATTGCTATTCTGACAGACATAAGGCAGAATTGCCTGGTGCCTGTCTTCACCCAAAAGGAAAGCAGTGGCCAACCTGGTGATTACAGAATAAACGATTCAAGAAGGCGGCTGAAGGCCAAGGTACAAAAAGAGATGGTAAGGGAACACTTAGCTACTTTGCCTCTGTCTATAATCTGTGAGAGGGGACGCGGGTGGCGCTGTGGGTAAAACCTCAGCGCCTAGGACTTGCCGATCGGCAAGTCGGCAGTTCGAATCCCCGTGATGGGGTGCGCTCCCAGCGCCTGCCAACCTAGTAGTTCGAAAGCACCCCCGGGTGCAAGTAGATAAATAGGTACCACTCTGGCGGGAAGGTAAAGGGCGTTCTGTGTGCTGCGCTGGCTCGCCAGATGCAGCTTGTCACGCTGGCCATGTGACCCGGAAGTGTCTGCGGACAGCGCTGGCTCCTGGCCTATAGAGTGAGATGAGCGCACAACCCTAGAGTCTGGCAAGACTGGCCCGTACGGGCAGGGGTACCTTTACCTTTTTATAATCTGTGAGAGAACAAGTGAGGTCCCTGCAGACTGGAGACAGGTAAATGTTGAGATCTCAGGGTGGTACACAGAGTAAAATGCAAGACAAAAACATTAAATACTTGATAAGAACAAAAACAACAAGCCAATAAACCTCCCCCCCAAACACATTTAAAAGAGGTACAGTGGTGCCTCGCAAGACGAAATTAATTCGTTCCGCAAGTTTTTTCTTCTTGCGAGTTTTTCGTCTTGCGATGCACGGTTTCCCATAGGAATGCATTGAAAATCAATTAATGCGTTCCTAGGGAAACCGACTTCAGACCAGGTCCGGGGACAGTCTGTCCCCCGACCTCTTCTGAAGGCTGGGGGGGGGGGACAAGGGCTTTTCTTCCCACCCCCAGCATTTAAAAAAACCCGGGACAGCGGAGGGCTTCTCCGCTGTCCGGGGCGATCTTAAAATGCTGGCGGGCGGCATTTTAAAATCGCCCCGGACAGCGGAGGACTTCTCCGCTGTCCGGGGCGATTTAAAAGCCCCTGGGAAGGCAGGCAGGGAGGACAAAGACATTTGCCCCCCGCCCTCCTTCAGAAGAGGTCCAGGACCTCTTCTGAAGGCTGGCGGGGACGAAAGTCTTTGCTCCCCCCCGCCTGCCTTCAAAAGCTGTCCGGCCAAGGCTTCGCGGACCTCTCCGCAAGCAGCGGCAGCGCTGCTGCTGCTTGCGGTGAGTTGCCGGCATGCCGAAGCCTGCGCGCGCTGAGATCAGCGCGCCCAAGCTTCACGGACCTCTCCGCAAGCAGCGGCAGCGCTGCCGCTGCTTGCTGAGTGTTGCCGGCATGCCGAAGCCTGCGTGCGCTGAGATCAGCGCGCCCAGGCTTCGCGGACCTCTCCTGCCTTCAAAAGCCGTCCGTGATAGTGGGAAGCGCTTCCCTGCTATCCCGGACTGCTTTTAAAATGCTGGCGGTGGGGAGCAAAGCCTTTCGGCCCCCGCCAGCCTTCCTGGACCTCTTCTGAAGGCCGGAGGGGGGGAAAGGCTTTGCTCCCCACCGCTAGCATTTAAAAGAGGTCCCCGGAGATTTCCCTATGGGCTTTCGTCTTGCGAAGCAAGCCCATAGGGAAATTCGTTTTGCGAAGCGCCTCCAAAACGGAAAACCCTTTCGTCTAGCGGGTTTTCCGTCTTGCGAGGTGTTCGTCTTGCGGGGTACCACTGTATAAGATGTTAATTAGACAAAGGCACCAGTTGAACCACCCTGGGGAGAGCATTCCACAAATGGGGGGCCACAGCAGAAAAGGCCCGTTTTAATGTTGCTGCCTTCTTTCATGCAGGGGGGCACATGAAGATCGGTCTCAAATGATGATCTCAGGGTCCAGGTACATTCATGTGAGGAAAGGCATTACTAGAGGTACTGTATTGTGGTCCTCAGTCATAGGACAAAGCCAGCACTTTGAATTGGGCCCAGAAACTAATCAGCAGCCTGTGCAGTCAGGCGAGGATCGGTGAGCAATCTGGCCACCAATTTCTGCAGCCAGAGGAATCTCATTATTTTTTTTTAATAAAAGTTACAAACTTGGTGGATCGGGGGAATGCTGTGAATGTAGTGTATGTTGATTTCAATAAAACAGAGGTTGGGCGGTCATCTGCTGTGAAAGCTTTAGTTGAGATTCCTACATTGCTGGGGGTTGGACTGGACAACCCTCAGGGGTCCCTTCCAACTCAACAATTCTGAGATGCTCTTATTCTAGAGATAAACAAATATAGCATGCCACAAAAATCTGAACAAGGTATAAAAAGCCATCTCTCTTTAAGTCTAAATAGGTTGGATTGACAACCAATAGGACAACACACTAAACTCATTTTTCAAAGGTATCAAGAAGACATCTTTCCTAACACCAGTGAGAGACCGAAGTTGGGAATTTCATATGTACAAAGCCACTGATCAAATCTGGGGCCTAATACTGAAAAATGCATACTGCAACTAAACTATGGCCCCTCCTTAGAGATACAGACTAAATAATATCTGCTACTACAAATATAGAGATTTCCAAGCACAGGATGCAAAGGGCCAAATTCAGTAAAAGCTTCTATCAGGCTTTTATATCTGACTTCTGTGAATGTATTTCTTCTTGCTTTTTTAAAAAAGCAATTGTGTTAAGTCAATTACCCTAGAACAGAAACAATACGTGTTGGCGATTATCTTTAAAGCCTTAAATGGCTATGGTCCAGGATTCCTGAGAGATCACCTCCTCCCATAGCAACCTACCTGCTTCCTAAGATCAGAAGCAGGGTGGAAGCATCTAAGGTGGAAGCATAATTGATGGTGACAAGCAATAGGGCCTTCTCAGTGGCTACACCAATATTGTGAAACGCATTAACCTATGGATGCCCCCCTCTGGCTTTTTTCACCAGCTGGGGAACACATTCGTATTCCAACAGGCCTTTGCCTTCAAGTCAAGTCAAGTTTTATTGCGGCAAAGGCCAGTAACACTAAACACCACAAGATCAAACAAAAAGAAATCAACAACAACATCAGGAAAAAAAAGGATTACACAAGGGAACTTCGCAGTGTGCCATTCAACAGAAGCGATTTACGCTTCCTGATTACTAAAGTGCAAAATTTGGCCACCTCATATGATATTAAGCTTGAGGAATCTTCCAGAAGGTATTTTCGTTGGAATTCGGGAGAGGATTCCAAATAGTGTTGTAAGGGTATAAATTTTGATAAAAGCGGCAAAATAAGTTGAACTCGTTCTTCACTATAAAGTTCGCAAAATAGAAGGATGTGTGTGACAGATTCTACCTTATTAGACATACAGGGGCAGAGACGTGCATGCATTGGTACCCGCGTGAATTTGCCGTACAGCACTGCTGAGGGCATTGTCTCAAAACGGGCTCTAGAGAAAGCCCATCTATAAGCTTCGTTAGTGATGTTAGTTAAGTAAGGGGCAGCTGCAAAATTAGGGCAAGCTTTTAAACATCTATACGCCTCCTGGCCTTTGCCTTCAAGGTGCTGCTGTTTTATTTAAACCTATGTTTAAACCTATGCCTGTCATCTTCCTTCACATTTTATTCTGCGTCTTTATTTTTATTGTATATTTTTCATTGAATGTTTGTTTTATGTTGTATTGCTTTAAATTGTTGTAGAACACTCTGAGTGGTGCACGGACACTAGAAATGTGAGACAGAAATCACTATATAAATAATGAGCCAATTAATCTAAATACCCATAAAGCAAATGCTTAATTTGACAAGTCAGGGCGGATGCACCAGAATTCTCTAGACTACTGAGACAGTGTAACTACAATTCACCACGTCAATGAAGGAAAACATTTACCTAAATTCACAGGGTTGGCGCATGCAAATACTTTTGAGCTTGCCTTTTACCGATGATAGGTAATAAAGAGAAAATTATGCTGAATCTTCTGGCTAGCTGTAGTTCCAAAGGCAAGTATCCATAAATTTTGGCTCAGCTCAGTAGACAAGTGACTATTCTGGGTTGCCACTGACATTTTCTCCTATCCCAGATTCCTGTGGTATGCACAGCTCTACAGCAGGCAGAATCAGCACAACTCTTGGTGCTTCTGCATGCTCCAAAGCTCAGTGTAAAATGCAAGAACCTCCCCCGCTTCCAACATTTCTGGACTCAAAAGAAAGGAAATAGAGGTCTTACGTCATGCTGAATGTTGGCACTTCTGCCTGTTCCAAGCTTCAATGCAACAACACAGGAGACCTCCCCTGAGTTCTCTGCAATTTGTACTTCCTTCTGGACATTTAAGGCTCCAATCCCAACCACACTTACCCAGGAGTCACCCCACTGAATTCAACAGGACTTACTTCTGAATGCACATGGTTAGGATTGCAACCTAAACCTATAAAACTTACGAAGATGTCCTGGAGTTTGACCTAAAGATATTTCCCAATTGTTTAGGGGAAATAAAGCACACGGATCTAAGAGCACAATGCCTATTCAGCTATACTGTCAGCAGCTATACCTTTCAATACCACCCAGTACACACACACACACACACACACACACACACCCTGCATATTTCTATGTACACTGGTCAGAATGTAAATTCATTTTGACTGCATAACTCTATCAAGCCTTTCCTTGTGCACACACAATGCTTAACACGCAAGGCTTGTAAGACTCAATTATTTATCATTTATAGCTCTGGTTTGCAAGGAATACACTGAATAGGCATGCAATCAAAGTACACAAGCAAGACGGACCCCTTATCTACTTGGCACAGCTCTAAACAGCAATCCCATGAGAAGAGGGAAAATACAGTAGAGCTGTGCCAAATGCCCCCATGGCCCTCCTACACACAGTGCAGCTTAGTAGAAAGGCAGAGTGGTTGCCAGTCCCTTCTGCTCATCTCGTCTTCCAAAAGAAAAACTCCAGCCTCTGCAAATCTTTCCAGATGCAGCGTTTTTTGTCCAGCGAACCCCAGGTTTACTTCCCTCCACCAGAGAGCTTGGATATAGCAGCAAAAGGAGGAAGGCATAAAGGGGGAGGGATGAGTCATCCAGATGGAATGCAGGGGACTCTGCATCCCTCCTTTAGGGAGAAGAACAATTCCTAGATGATCATCATGCCTCCACAATTTAGAGTTGGGCACCTCCTTGAGCAGCTGGAATGACACACCCAATAAGGTGAATGCTTTAGCTTCAAAAATCCAAGTTACATTTGTGTGGTTGAAGTGCTGGACCTGGAAAACCTAATGACACCTATCTATCAACATAATGGGAACATTAATGGGGCTGGAATTTTTTTTAGAAATTTCCAAGAACCTGTTTCAGATTTTTAGTGCCAGCCAGAATGGGTCCAGAGGTAAAACCCACTAACAAAAAAATTCTAGCTCAAGCTATCGGAAACGTGGAATTTTGCAGGCCTAAATATAAATGATTTACCTCATAGGATTGGCATGAAGATAAATGAGAATTATTGCCATGCACTTTGCGACTGAATATGCTTTGGAAGCAATTATCATATATGCCAGATTCTGGCAAATGGAGGAGGCAGTGCATCTGTTTGCACATACACGTAAGTCCCTGACAACTACAATACAAGACAGGCCGGGGGGGGGGGGAGGCATTGTCTATCATTCAGGCAAGTGAAGCCCAGAGACAGTAATGGAGAACCAGCTCTGCTCCTTCTTTGCTCAATAGCAACAGATGGATAGCAGGGAAGGCCCTCCACTCATACTACCCAAAAAAGCATTTCACCAATAATAATGATGATGATGATAATTACTACCACTAGCAGATCGATCAGATGGGAGTTTAGAACTCAAAACACATCTTGACCAAACATTTAAAGCACGCTTACACCACTTTAATAGTCATGGCTCCCCACCCCCTAAACAACACTGGAAACTGGGTTTTTTTAAGGGTGCTGGGAAGTGCAGCTCTGTGAAGAGCCTCCTAACTAAGTACCCTTTATGTACAGTTCCCAGGATTATTTGTGGGGAGCCCTAAGAGTACTTTAAATATGTGTTTTGGATGTGATCTCAGGCACTGCAGTGAATCTGCATTGGCCAAGTAAACATTGCACACTTAAGTAAAAAGGCAAAATTCCTCAACGTGGGTGGTATTAAAAGAATAAATGTTTCTGGGATGTCTGGAGAAACAGAAAAATGAGTAAGATAGTTTTGGTTACTATCCCTAAGTTTACTCATGCACATACTAATTATTTTCTACATTAAGTAAGGGAAGCCCCTGTTACAGGAATACTTAATGCAGAACCCTTGGGGTTTCATTATATGCTGTAACAGAATATCGAATGGTCAACTGTCACCAAGTTTACCGTCTTCTAAGAAGCAACGGATGTAAGAGAAATTCAACATATGTTTCCTGCTATATTCACAGAATGTGGATCAGATGCCAATCTATTGGGAAACATAGGGCAACCCTAATGGAAAGAGATCATTTTATGGAAGAGATAAGCAAGATTAACCTCATGCAAGTAACAAGAATGGAGAAAATGCACAGGCTATGCAAGAAACCAACACAAAGGCCAAAAGCACTAGAAGGATTTGAGATTTACAAGGTGCAAAAGGGGAGAAGGTGGTAGAAAAGGGGCAAATCACCTTTTGCAAGTGTGTTTATATGCACGTGAACAGGAACAAAGTTCATGAAAAAATTCTTGCCCATGTGTGCCACAACGCAGCTGAGCTGCAAGCCTGACTTTGGCCAGAAGGAATTGTCATTTGCCTTGGACCAGTGGTTCAACTTCCAAGGCTCTGAAATGGAGAGATGCTTAAGAAGTAACAGGAGGCTTGAACCATGGGCAGATACGCTGGTCTGTATAAATGAATAGGGACATTAGAAAAAAATAACAGAGGAAATAACAGAGGCAGTCCAAAGACCTGGCCAAGTGTGATGCAGTGATGGATGGGGAAAGCAGACTATGGACAAGGAACAGGCTTGCTAGAAAAATCTGTCTATACCTTGGGAAGATTCCTGCACCTTTTAGAACTTGCACAGAAAGAGAAGTCCTGCCAGGTGCAAGTTCTTCTTTCGCCCCAATACTATGATGTGTGTGTTTGTGTGAAATTCACCTTTCTGTTGCCACTTCTAAAAATACACAAAAGGTCCTGTGGCAACAGAGAGAAAATATCGTTTAGGATTGGGGGGGGGTGCTTGAATCTCAGAAAGCAGGAAAGAGAGATAGATAGAAGCTAGCACAAAGTGTTAGCAATGGGGAGAGGAGAAACGTGTGTATGGGGGGGGTGAATTCGCAGGTGCAAATGCGAGTCAAAAAGCTGGTTCCGAGGATTAGATAGATAGCTAACTAGACAGAGATGGAGGGGAAAGCGAAGGGATTTTCTAGCAAGAGGCAAGGAAGAGAGCCGAGAGCCTGGAAAACAAGCAGCCCCTTCGCCTTAGGCGGGAAAGAAACGAGGCTTCTGCGCGGAGCCCGGGCGCCGACGGCCTTCTCGGGATGTCGGCGGCGGCAGCATCTGGCTCGGGCCCAGCTCCGCCCGCTCGGCTCCTTTTTCTCCTGCCTCCCCTCGTTCTCCAGTCTTGAGGCCGGGGTTCCCTCAGACGAGACCCCAGGGCCGCTCCCGGCGCGCGAGGGTGGGCGGCTCCAGACTAGGCCGCGCATCCCCGAGCTTGCGTAGCCGGCGCGGCCGAGCGCGGGAAGGCGGGAGCCGAGGCCGGGTCTGGTGCCGATGTTTGTTGTGCCGGATGGTGAGGGAGGGAAGGAGGGCGGCGAAAGCTCCTTTTCTCTCTCACACACACACGCACCCCCCCCACCCCGGTACCTGGTCCGTGATGCTGAGAATCCCCATCTCCGGGCGGGGCCGCCCCCCGCGCTTCGCTCAGCAGCGCCGCCGCCTCCTCCGAGCTCCCGGCATCGATCGCGCTTCGGCTGCCGCGGCGCCCTCCGGCTGCTGGTGGTGGTGGGGCGGGCGGCGAGAGCAAACTGAGCCCGCCCACCGGAGGGAGGAAGGCAGCGAGAGGAGGAGGAGGAGGAGGGTGTAGGCCTGCGCCGAAGCAGCGACCCCTGCCGGGGAGGCCCAGCCGCCGAGGCCCGCCCTGTCCCAGGGGGCGGCGAGGCCGGCAGCCCGCCCAGCGCATCCGGAGCGAGGGCTGAGGGGACCCTCAATTCCAGGCCTTGTCTCCTGAGGGGAGAAATAGCCCGTGCCTGAGGCGCTCACGCAGCATCCTGAGAGGCGGGAGGCGGCTTATTATTTTTACCTCAGGCGCTTCCAACGGCTTTAAATTTATTCTGGTTTCCCTTTCCCGCAAATATTATTTTTGTTGCTTCACTTAATTCGGGGATACAGGGCACCTCTGGCGCCTCGGAGTAACACCCAGGCGCGTGGCACTAGCCATGCCATATCCACACTCAGCCATATGGGCTGGTAATAAATAAAGTATTATTATTATTATTATTACTACTACTACTACTACTACTACTACTACTACAGTATTATTATTATTCCTGTTCCCAAATGCCTACTGAAACATCCCAGGCACCATCGCTTTTTGTTTTCTTTCCCTACACACAAAAGTACTGCGATTTGGTGTTTCTTTGGGGATCCTCCCTTCTAAATTTCATCGCCCATTATGTTGTGAGACCTAAGGGACTGGGCTGCAAATAAAATTTTTTAAACGTTTTGTGAAGTGCAGTATACAAAATGCGGCACTAGCTGGCAAAAGCGAGCTATGCAAGATTCGATGTATTTTTTCAAAACGTTTTTTTGAATTAAAAAAGCATTTTCACAGCGTTTTTTAAAAATATGTGTGCAGATTCCACCCTGCTTGATGCACAGTCAGGAGTGAGCAGGAAAGGCAACGCCGAGGGAGGGTTTCCAATTTGATTTAGCCGTTCTGATCTGAGACTGTGGTGGTGTTCGCTCTGTATTGATTAACGTGAAGAAGGCAGGCGTATGCAAGCCGCTATCGGAGTGATCCCCCAAGGCTCAGAGTTGGCGCTAGAGCCTTCTCAGTAGTGGAGCCCTTCCTTCAAGATGTCAAGGAGATAAATAACTACACAACTTTTAGAAGACACACCAAGGCAGCCCTGTTTTGGGAAGTTTCTAATGCTTTATGTTTTATTATGCTTTTATATATGCCAGTGTTTCCCAACCGGTGTTCCGCGGCACACTACTGTGCCGTGAGACATTGGCTGGTGTGCCGTGGGAAGGAGGCGGGCGAGTCGGGCGGTGAGAGGCGGCGGCGGCGAGGATCCGCGTCGAGCCGGGGGCGGCTCCGCGGTGGTGGTGCCGAGCGGCGGGGCAGCGCGTGCAAAAGGGAGGAGCGCGAGACAGCGGAGGAGGAGGAGGCCGGCATGTCTGGGCAGCAGCAGCAACAACAGCAGCAGCAACTCCCGGCGACGGCTCCTCAAGCCCCGCCGCCGCCCCCTCCTCCGCCCGCTATCGCCGCCACCACCACCACAGCCACCGCCGCCTCAGTTGCCGCCGTCCCTCAGTCCCTCGCTCTGCTGCCTCCTCCCACCCCCAAAGCTTGGAGGTTCCCCGGCAAGGGGGAGGGAAAAAACTTTCACTTTCGTGCGTCCCTCCCGGCGTGACGCTGCGCGCTGACGTCACGGGGCGGGGCTTTAATGGTGGTGTGCCGCGAGATTTTTTTTCAGTAAACAGGTGTGCCGTTGCCCAAAAAAGTTTGGGAAACACTGATATATGCTGTAAGCCATTCAGAGTGGCTGGGGAAACCCAGCCAGAGGGGTGGGTTATAAATAATAAAATTATTATTATTAGCAAGCAGACATAGCCAGGGTTTGACATGGAAGAAGCCCTAGCTTCAGTTCAAGTGAGCAAGGTGCTCCTAGGTGAGCAAGGGTGCCAACTTGAAAAAAATATTGGAGGAGCCAGGTAAACCCAACCCTGCATTTGATCACATGATGCATCACATGCACACCATTTGAATGGCAATGCCCATCAACTTTTTTTGAGGAGGTGACCCCCTGAAATATTTTATTGGAGGGGCCGAAGACCCCTCTGCCCCTAGAAGCAGGTGCGAGTGCTTTAAGGTGGCAGGCCTAAAAATATTGCAGACCCCCCAAGTGTCCCTATTTTCTGGATTTACAGATTTGATCCTAGAACGCCCTTGGGACGTTCCTTTTTTCATTGGAGAAATGTTGAAGGGATGTTCTTTGGCGATCACTTGTAGCTGAGTAAAATAGCCTTCCATGAACACAGTTTTAACAGTGAGTCCGTAAGTGACTGTGGAGGCCAAGTCTAGATCCACACGTCCTTCCACAGTGGGCACATAGGTTTCTAGGTGGGAATTGATCATGGTGAGGGTTTGTCAAATGTGTCTTCCTCTTAGCATGTTTCTCCCTTTTGTCCTGAGTTCAAGTGTCTTCAAAACCCATGAAACCATTGGTAAAGGCTGTTCTCCAATGGGAGCGCTCGCAGGCCAGTGTTTCCCAATTGTTGATGTTTATACTACATTTTAAATATTTGCCTTGAGAGAGTCTTTAAACCTCTTCTGTTGACCACCAGCGTTACACTTTCCATTTTTAAGTTCGGAATAGAGTAGTTGCTTTGGAAGACAGTAATCAGGCATCCGAACAACATAAGCAGTCCAACAGAGTTGGTGTTGAAGAATCATTGCTTTAACACTGATGATCTTTGTTTCTTCTAGTACACTGGCATTAGTTGGAGGGTATGGGGTTATGCGACCCCCAAACCAAGGAGACAAATAATTATACAACCTTTAGAAGACATCTGAAGGCAGCCCTGTATAGGGAAGCTTTTTAATGTTTATTTTTTATATATATGTTGGAAGCCACCCAGAGTGACTGGGGCGATGCTGTTAGATGGACGGGGTATAAATAATATGATTAGAAGTAGTAGTAGTAGTATGGAATAGGACATCCCTATTTTCATCAGAGAAATGTTGGAGGGTATGTTAACTGATTAATAAAAGCTACATGTGCAAAACTCATGAAAGGTACAGGCAACTCTCTACTTACACTGGGGTTACGTTCCAGGGGATAACGTGTACAGCCAAAATTGTGTATAGTCAAAACACGGGGTCTGGCAGGTGGGATTGCCAAAGTCTTTTTTCCCTGGAAACCCACCCACTTTTATTTTATTTTTTTAAATTTCACCAAGTGCATAAAGCTGAATGCACACAAGTTAAATGTGTGTAAGTTGTGAATTACCTGTGTATGTCCCGTTTAAATAAACAGCGTCCATGTTTCTCAGTGCCCACAATATTCCTCAATAAAAAGGTGTGGCATGTATTGCTTCTAGGAAGATGATTATAACAGGGGTTCCCAAAAGGTGGCCTGTGGTGTGGACCACCAGTGGTCTTTAAGCTTCATTCAGGGGGACTACAGCATTTCTGTAAAAATAAAATAAAAATCATAGCATCTAGCATGGTACTGTATGTTACAATTGCTACACAAGGCAGAACAATTATTAAATGGTCCTCCAAGACCCTCAGCAAATTTGAACTGGTCTGTGGGGGCGGGAGAGTTTGAGAAACATTGGCGTGTAAGATTAGAGCCATAGGATTTGCACTGTTAAATAAACATCCAGATTGATATCCTGTGTTGGGTTTTCAGGCTGTGCATAACTCGTGAAAGTTAGTTTCATAACTATCCAGAGAGTAGAGAAATAATGACTTATAATAGCGTCAATTTAATCTGGCATAAGCATGCAATTACAGCTGAGTTGAACAATAGCCACTGGCAGGAAAATGTTTATGACTCTTCCCTAAACATAAAATGACAGACCTCTCACAGGTCTCCTAAGAACAGATTTCCAACCAAGATGTCTCAAGAGTATGCATTTGATCCTGTCCTGTCATTACAACCCATGCTCATTCTTCATATGGCCAGGATCAGACTATTACATCTTGTCACATTTGTTAAAAGCAAAGCAGAATGTCAGATAATTAGATTTCCTGTCAGTTCCATTTATTTGGCATATTGGAGAAGAATTGCTGTCTTTCTTTTTCATTATTTCTTCACACTCATTGCATTATTAACAGAATTGAGATCGGCTCCTACCACTAGCCCAATCTCAAACCTCAAATGCGCTTTCCTTTCTGTATATCATAATGAAGATACTGTGTCAAATATATGTGTTGCTTTTACAGGATTGCATGGGGAAGGCTGCATTTGTGGTGAGGCTTTGGCACAGAATTTCTCAGGCCCAGTAGAGGGCAGTATCCACTGTACTTTCTGGTGCCATGGTTAAAAATTGCATGCAGTAGCCAATGGATTTACAGTTGCCAACTTCTTAATCTACCCCTGCAATTCTGCTTCTAACAGTGGCTGAATATGCAGAACATGAGCAGGAGGTTATGCTTCTCTCCATGCTGTGAAAAGCCTTGCCTGATTTCTGCAAGTCACTGTTAAAGGCACAAGGGGAAGGCAAGCTTTCACCTGGCGCTGGATTAGACCAGAGAAGTGCCTAAATTGCAGCACTAATAATAATAATAATAATAATAATAATAATAATAATAATTTATTATTTGTACCCCGCCCATCTGGCTAGGCTTCCCCAGCCACTCTGGGCGGCTTCCACAGAGACCAAAAAATACACTAAAATGTCACACATTAAAAACTTCCCTGAACAGGGCTGCCTTAAGATGTCTTCTGAATGTCAGGTAGTTGTTTATCGCTTTGACATCTGACGGGAGGGCATTCCACAGGGCAGGCGCCACTACCGAGAAGGTCCTCTGCCTGGTTCCCTGTAGCTTTGCTTCTCGCAATGAGGGAACCGCCAGAAGGCCCTTGGCACTGGACCTCAGCGTCCGGGCAGAACAATGGGGGTGGAGACGCTCCTTCAGGTATACCGGGCCGAGGCCGTTTAGGGCTTTAAAGGTCAACACCAACACTTTGAATTGTGCTCAGAAACATACTGGGAGCCAATGTAGGACTTTCAAGACCGGTGTTATGTGGTCTCGGCGGCCGCCCCCAGTCACCAGTCTAGCTGCCGCATTCTGGATTAGTTGTA